ATTTGGGTAAATAAAAGTTTAAGTAAATAAAGTTGCGGCCTACTTGTTTATTGATTAAAATTTCCATATATCGAAATTGATCAAAAGAATATGAAAGTACTCTCAAACAATTTTACTTTTTAGATTTTACATTTTTTTTTTTAATTTTACTTTTAGAATTAAGCTAACACAAATGCCTTTAAAGTCTGACTGTAGATAATATAATTCATATATAATTGTATAATAATAGTTAAATTGTTTAAAAAAAAGACTTTAACAAACTTTAGGAAAGTTCTTTTAGGAATAAAAAAAAAGGAAATCGAATAAAAATCGTTGTTTTTTTTTTTTTTTTTTTTTGTCAAAATCATTATTTAAATGATAAATTTTGAAATTATCACAAAAAGTAAAAAGTCGTTAAGCTATTATTGTCATCGGAGTTAACATTATTTTTCTTATCGAACATATAAATACTTTAATAACTATATATTTTTTGCAATTACCTATTTAATTTGATCTATATAAAATACATCGAAAAAAAAATATTAATATAAATTATAGAATTATATAAGATGAAATAATCATTAATTAGAATTAATCGAATTATGAAAAAATTAATTATTAATTAAAAAATAAAAGATAAGTAATTACATTCAGAAAAATTAGTAGATTCATAACTTAATTACTCATTTAATATATTTTTTTATTGTCATTCATTGCTTTTTTTTTCCACTTTACTGTTACAATAAAAATTACTGTTACAATTAGTAGAGATGAGAGAAAGAGAGAGGAAGAGAGAGGGACAAAAATGCAAATTGCTTTCTGTTTATCTGATCAGAAATAAATAAACAGATTTCTCGATAATAAAAAAAAGTGAGCTTTTTTTTTTTACCTATAGCAAATAAATGGAATAGCAAGAATGAGTCTCAATTAAGTAAGTGTTAATTTAAAAAGTCTAAAAAAAACACATTTAGAATTTACTATTTTGATTTTTATTGTTTAAAATTAAAATCTTTTTTCATCATTTTTGTTAGGAATCAAAATGAAAGGTTCTTTTTTTTTTTTTGCATAATTGTTCATAAATAAATATATTTAAATTACGTTCAATATTTTTCATTCAATAAATTCTATAATTAATTGTATTATAACTCATTTGATTAGAATGCGCAAAAGTCACATGAATAAACGTATGACAAAATCGCATGGTATGAGTTAAACAAGATTTATAGAAAAGCAATAATCTATGTGAAATGAATTTCTATTATTTTGCTTCACAAACTTTCACAAATAACATGGAATTAAAACTAGAAAAGTTTATCAATGACAATAGGATTACTCATCATGGTGAATCATTGATTGTCAATCATTGATCATCAGCAATAACAGTTTTGATCATTTTAACTCATTTATGAAAATATCATTGCAACAGATTATTTTATTCTGATAGAACTAATTCAAACATAACTTTTGCATTGTTACTCATTGATAATCTTAATATTATTTTTTGCATTATCTTATCTTATCTTATCATAGGGAAGATATTTCATTGGCAAATTAAATTATTACTTTATACATTTTCACATTAATTTATCAACTCTATTCTCTTTCATTTCATTGTATTATTCTCTTCCTGTTTAAAAAGAGAGATGAAATGGTCAGTGGTCACATAATTCTCATTGTATGATATAAAGCATTTTGAAAGAAAATCATTTATCATATAATTTAAAATGTTTTATCACATTTTAACTTATCAAAAACTTCATTCCAACAAATTTTATAAAGTATAAGTAGTATAAATGTATAAGATAATTAATTGTCGCTAGTGTTTTTCTTATCAATTTCTGGCATTGATAAGTAATTTTCCTAATTTTCATTTCTTTCTATTTAATTATCTTAGTTAAAAAAATTTCCTAACAATGAAATAGGAAGATGTGTTGACATTTTATTCTTATCAAGAGGTTTAACATTTATCATTTCTATGCATGATTTATCATCTCCACTCAACTATTAAATTTCTTATCAAAGTTGTTCTCAACTATACATTTTTGCTATTACTTTAAAATTACTTTATTTCTATGAAAAGTTGAAATTTTAATGACAATCGATTAATTAAATTTGCCAATATCATTTTAAAAATTATAGCAATGGATGTTTTAATGGAAATTTTTGCACTATTTATAGAATTTATTTCATTTTACTTTAGAAATTTACTTTGCACTTTCATTAGATATTTCATTACGTATATTTTTTCATTTGAATTTATGAAGAAAGGTATCAAATGTGTCATTGAAGTTTGATTCATCATAAAATCAAATTTGGATGATAAAGCAATGAGTTAAACATTTGTAGGCGTAGCAGTTACCATTCTATAGGAAAAAATTTTTCAAAATAATATCACATTGAAAGACAATGAGTTATTCGTAAAGATATGTTATTCCCATTTTTTTTTTTTTTTTTTTTTTAAATTTTCCACTTAATTTTAATTTTAGTTTTCCATTTAAATATCACTTAAAGTTATAATTTACTCTTCAGATTAGCAGCGATTTTTTTGAACACTAATTTTACTAATAAGTATTAGTAACATTTTTTTTTTCACAATTATCAAAGTATCATCAAAATAGTTATCATGATGATGATAATAATATTCATATCATTATCATTTAGCAATCTTTTTCGATTGTGATTTCTTTTTTCCATTGTAAACAGAACAAAAGTGCAATCATTTGATAGCATTTTTCTTTCTCACTCAAATAGATTCATTTTCATATTTAAAAATTTTTTGTATCATTTATTTTTGTCGCTTTATTCATACAAAAATGAAATTTGTTAGTATTACTTCAGTTGAATGCACAAATATAAAATAATACTTTTGCGCCATTTGTTAATTTTTCTATTTGTGGAAGTATTTATCATTAGTCATTTTTCGGGGCTTTTCTAGAGAGCTTCAATATCATTTGCATTTTTTATTTGTAAATAAATAAATTCATATTCCCAAAGTTATTATTTCTTTTCAAAAATCTTTGAAAATCTAACAAGAAGCTTGAATGATGCAAAAATTTTTAGTTTAAATATCAATTTGCATAGCAACATGAAATGAAAATGAATGATATTTGAAGAAGATATTTGAATTTATTCAAAAATTTATTTTTGCACTTTTAAAATTTATTTTTTTTTTTCTTTTCAAAATTCACTTTCATTTTTCAACAAATGAACTTTGTAATTATTTTAAGAAGTACACATAAATCATTAAATACAGATGATACAAATGTTGTTTATGCTTCAATTTTCTTCTCTTCATTATAATTCATTTCTTAAGCTAAAACAACTGTCCAAGTAATAAATTATCAGTTAAACTGGTTGAAATGTCATTTTGTCGAGTGATTACAAAGTTGTCAATCAAATAAGTTCATATGTATATGTATTACATAATTCCCATATTTCTCTAAATTTAAAAAAAAAAATAAAATAAAATTGAAAGAAACTTCCGTATATTTGAAACATTTTTGTACTTTTTTAAATTAGATGATCTGATTTTTTTTAATGATATTAATTAATAAAATGATTAAATATATGAAAGATTTTAAGATTTAGCATTCTATGATGACATTACTATAGAGATATAAAATTAATTGATAAATAAAAATGTGTTTAGCATTGCATAAATTTATGAATTGAAATTTCAGTTCTTCTAAAATTTTTTTTAAATGATATTGATTAAAATCAATAAAAAATTAAAGTTAATTAACTAAAATCAATAAAAAAAATTGATCCGTTATAACCGATACTCTCAAACCCATCAAGTATCAATTCACTGAAGTTAAGACGCACAATTTCGGAGAAAACAGGATTATATTCTGAAAGACAAATTGTCGTCAATTTCCGGATCCAATTAAGACATATCTCATAACTCTCGAAAAAACTCTTCTAAAACTTGTCAATTTCAGGATGATAAAACAATGGGGAAGAGAATGGGACAGAAATTTAATTCCGGATACTTCTTTGATTCGATTCTTAATTTATAGTCAGAATATTAGTTTAAATAGTTATAACTTACCGGAAGAATAGAGATTTATTTAGAAGTAACAAGCTTTAGTCCTAAGTAGCAAACCTTTCTTCATGTTTACTTAGTTCCTAGCTTTCCTGCGGGCCTAAAAGTTTTCATAAATTTCATAGAAGAAAATGTTAAACAGAGTTTCACTATTACGCATTATTGTGAGTGAGGAGATTTCCGGGTGGTTAAAGAAGTGATAGTTCCGGATGAGTGGAGAAGTGACAGTTCCGGATGAATGGAGAGGTGATAGTTCCGGATGAGTGGAGAAGTGATGGTTCCGGATGGGTGGAGAAGTGATAGTTCCGGATGAGTGGAGAAGTGATAGTTCCGGATGAGTGGAGAAGTGATAGTTCCGGATGAGTGGAGAAGTGATAGTTCCGGATGAGTGGAGAAGTGATAGTTCCGGATGAGTGCAGAAGTGATAGTTCCGGATGAGTGAAGAAGTGATAGTTCGGAGTGAAGATAACAGTTCTGACTGATGGAGAGGTGTTTGCCTAAATACACTCACCTGTATGATTCTTTCCTATCCCAGCGTCTAGCATGCATGCTCACATATCCGGTTCCTGCTTCAGCAATCCGGAAAAATTGTCCATCCGTCCGTCTCGACCAACCTTTCTCACTCCTTCATCTGTCTCTCTCCCTCTCTTCTCTTCCCTCAATCATTATATCAGTGGCGAGTGGTGCACCACATATGACACTCACACAGACACTTAGCTAATCTTTATACAATTGATTTGTCTGTATGTGTGTGTGTGTGTGTGTGTGTGTGTATATGTATGTGTGTGTGCTGATGAAATGTAGCTTTGCTTTTATTGATAGTATTTTTTCATTTGACATATGAATATAATAATGTACGTCTGCATGCAATGAATGGACTTTTTTGTACGCCTTCTCTGTATTCCCACTCTATTAGGTCATTTGCGCCGGAGGCAACGTGTGAATTGACTTCGGTGACATTTGGCTAACATATTAGATGCAAGCAGTAAATGATGGTACAGTTAACAATATGCTGCACATTGAGTGCAAACATGTAGACGATAATGTAAGGAATGCTGAAACCCGCTCGGCTCCAGGGGATCTCGAGAAGCCATCATCTTCTCGAGAGTATCACTTCTCCCGTAATGGTATTTCTTTTTTATTAACTTCGTCTGTTGCATCAGCTATGGTTATTGATTGCATGATTCATCTTCCCTTCAATAATTATTCATCACAAAAAAATTGCACATTATTTTATTTTGAATGATTTTTAATACAAAATCAATTCTTTATTACAGCTATTGGCAATAATTCCGAAAGATCAGAATCACCAGGATCTGGTGGTTTTAATGACAAATCTCAATTATCTAAGTCAGAAGAGTCCAAAAAAAGACCCGCTGGACATTATAGGTCAGCTTTGGCCAAATAATTCCATAGTTTTTATTTATTCCAAATAGTTTTTCAAATAAATGTTTTACTTTTCTAGCAATCATTTCTTGCATATTATCACCAGCTTTGAACGAAATACCCTGAAATTCTGTATAAAATTATGTGCTTTAGTCATAGAAATTATTCGACTTTCTACTTTAGAAATTATAATAATGGTTTTGCGTCGGGTCCACCATGGCCAATGCAAAAACGAGAAAAGCCTTGGTCAACAGTATGTGTGTGGCAAAAGCAACAACAAATTCAGGCTATCGAAAAAGAGATCAATGTTATGGCAACAGAATCCTTGGTTGGGATACGGAATTGGAGGTTAAAATTTTTGTTTCTCCCTTCTATTATATATTTTTAAGTTTTATATTATAATAATTAAATAATGTCGTAATTTTTTCTCTGCTTTGATTCAAAAAATAAATTTGATATCATTTATGGATTTGTTCTTTACTTAATGTAGTAATCTGTAGATATTTTAATCTGTTTTTTCATCTAGTTTCTTGGATTCAGTAAACTGGATTGTCCTTTATCTTTGATGTTGTTAGAACTCCTGCGGTTGTAACATTTGTTAGTAACAAAGCTCTATTTGTCGTATATATATATATATATATATATATATATATATATCTTTCGATTCCACTGCTTGATTCAATTAATTGTGGTAGGATAACACAGTGGCTAATAAACTGCTTGAAATTTTGTCAATTTCATCACTAAAATCAAGTATTTTAGGCCTAAATGGTTGCAGCGGTTTGGTAAAAGAAATTGGATGTTGTTGTGGTTATGTTGGTTTTGTACAGTACAGGGATTGCTTGTAAATGGTTTGGTCCCTTCGGCAATAACTTCTATAGAACGAAGATTTCAGTTCAACTCATCAACTATAGGTCGTATCATGCAGGTAGAAATTTGTCAGCAAGTTGTTCTTAATGTCTCTCTTTTCCTTTCATTAAAATTGTAAAACTTCAATGAAAATAATGTGCTAATAAATTTTATAAATTTGATGCAATTTAATGCATTAAAAAACTTCTTCTTTATAGTTCTACGATTTTGGCTATGTACTTTTGTGTATACCTGTTTCTTACTTTGGTGGACGTCATTCAAAACCAATGGTGCTTGCAGCGGGATTATTACTGATGGCATTAGGCAGCTTTATTTTTACAATGCCACACAATTTCTCTGATTCATATACTTCTACCCATAATGCTCATGAACCTACATTTAGTAAATGCCATCCTTCACATACATCTTCCGGTTAGCATCGCTTTATTTTATTATTACTGTTATTATTATTATTATTTTATTTTTTATTTTTTTTTTGAAAAGACTGAATTGTTCATTTTACATAAAATTTTATGTTGGACCATTTCCTGTTGAATGTCTCCTATACTGAATGAATAGGTAAATAGTAAAAGCTATTAGCAGCTGTAACTATCGAAATATTTCTGATGCTTTTAAGCACTGAAACAGTTGAGATTTGTAAATATTTTCATTTTTATATAACGATTTCTGATTAACTCGCACTTTTGCTCATAAATGTGAATTACTGCGTATATTCATAACTCACTAGTTAGTCATTTACCTCCTTAAATGTGATTGAAATTTTCGTTGAAAATACAATTTAGATGGAACTAATAAAGTTTATGCCCTGCTTATTATTATTATTAATAAAGTTAACACTATGTACTTTAGGAAACTATTTTTTTTTTCAGGACTCAGAAAAAATTATGCTCTACTAAATAATTCACTTTATGCACTAATGTCAGCGGCTAGTGCTGAAGCTTTACGAAGCTGTCCATCTCCCGAAAATCAGGTATTCCACTTTAGATTGGTAGCATTTCATTTTAGGCTTAAATTACTCAAAAAATAGTTTATATACAGTTTCAGTTTTTTAGCCCGGTACGTTCCGATACGTGTTTCTATTTTGTCTTGGTCACTTTCTTCATGGTATTGGTGCAACACCACTGTTCACTCTTGGTGTTAGTTATATCGATGAAAATGTTGGCCCAACTCTTTCTTCGCTTTATCTTGGTAGTTATGCATTTTAGTTTTTTTTTTTTTTTTTTATTTTTGATATTTAAGAATATTTCAAAACATCCATAAACTAAAAGTTCTAAATTCATAAATGCACAAGAAGCTTCAAAGATGTCGTCGACTATCAATTCATCGGAAGATAATAGATTTTATTGCACCATACTATACATCACGAAATAAAAATTTTTTTAGCAGTGATTTATAAAGTCATTAACCAAATATCATTTAAAAAAAAATTCAATCAAAATCATAACATATTTTATGAATAGGTATACTGTGTGTTTGCTAGCTGAGTGCGTGAATTTATACTTTATTTTTAAAATATATTAGTAAGTATCATGCTACTTCAGGTATTTTCTATGCCTTTGCAATATTTGGTCCGGCTTTTGGCTTCCTAATGTCTAGTTCATTTTTGCGCTATCACACAGATTTCTTGCAATCAGAGCTTCATATCAAGTTAGTCTCCTAATGCTTAATGTGCTTTTATTCGACACTTTTCTGTATTTTTATCTGTAAAATATTTTTTTAAGGATTTTAAATATCGATGAAACGGATCCAAAATGGGTAGGTGCTTGGTGGATTGGCTTTCAGATAGCTAGTATTTTAGCTTTAATTGCCGTTTTTCCCATATTGGTCTTGCCGAAAGTCCTTCCGGAATCACTTAAATGGCATCGGTTGGTTCAAGTTTGTTTGCTTTTGTTTTTCTGCATTTAATTTCGATAAAAAATTTGATTGAAAATCAGAAATCAACGGTAGTAAAAAAAAAAAAAAAAAAAACATTTGATATACAGTATAAAATTATTAACACTTAGATTTTATTTGTAGAACACGTTTACATGAAGAAACGATAGGCAGTACAAAAAAACGTAGTGCAGAATGTTGCGGTATTCCATCTACCAGCAAAACAGCTGCAATTTGTGGACCTCTTTTGCCAGCGGAAAGTGAAGGTGAAGCAGTTTTTTGTGTGTACACTAGTCGTATAGTGTACTTGCAGTCAACTAAATGACACTGAAAATCTGTGTTTTCGGATTTTGTGGAGAGTTATTTCAGATTGATGAACTAATCATTACTTCACTATCATTAGGCAGCGCTGATTGCTGGATTTTTTCGAGTTTTTTTTTTTTAAGTTCTACTGCATTTTTTAAATCGATTTTTTTTTAAGTTTTACTACATTGAGAAATAACCTTTTCATCTTCATAATGAATAGACCTCATAGAAAAAAGCTGTGATGTTAAACTGAAGTTAATCTGAGTTAGTTAGTTATAAAAAATTTCTTGTCTTCTTTAAATTTCATAATCTTCAAAATGTGTGGGAATCCTCACTAATTCATTGTTTATCAATTTTGATTCATTATTTATCAGTTTTGATAATGTTGCGGAATTTCTGGATTCCAGCTAAATTTTTTGATTTTAATTAAAAATTTTGATATAAAAAATTAATCTTTAAAAGGTGCAACAACTGTTCAAACTATAACAATTGGAGAATCAATGCCAGCACTACAGAATAATCGTGGTCCATTCTGGTACCACATATGGCTTGACGTACGACATATACCAATAGCTATCTATAGAATAATATCTAATGGTAGTTATATGCTTATAACTTTTGCCATGGCTGTTGATGGTATGTTTTAAAGAAATTTTTTGATATTTTTTTTTTTGATGATTGTTAAATTTCGATAATTTTCTAAGTCATTATGAAATAAAAAATTACTTGACTATTCAATTATCGTAATCTGTCCAAATATTCCTTGACCTCCGTACTTGTACATACTGCGTAATCCATATTGCGTGTTATTTTGATCATCATGTTCAAATTTGATTTTCTGCTTCTTATTTCGTATTCCATTCTTTTGGATAAGAGGATAGGTGCTCCATTGAAAACGGCGCATTTTGTTTATTGATTTCAGCCTATCATCTTTATAAATTGATTCTTCTGTTTTGTTGCCCATTATTCTTTGCCATTCTGTTTTTTCAGTGCCAGAATTTTTTTCTGAAATATGAAGATTTGAAATTTTTAAAGAAATACTTTTTTTTTTGTGCAGTAAAACCTAACAGCTATCAGAAACATGTGCACTAAGTTATCTTTCCCCAATAAAAAAAAGAAAAATTTTTTTTAAACATGTAAAACTCAATGATTCAAATGCACTTATCTGTTCGGGTAAATCCTGTCAACCAAATTAGAGTTATGACAAATAACAACATTATGCGATCCATGATTTCACATGTAATGCATATTTTCATCCTTATTTATAAATGCAAATCAGGCGTGGCATAAGGTTTTTATTTTAGTTTTTTTTTATTTTATTTTTTGTTTTTTGCTCTTAATATCTTTTCATTCCTTCACAATTTTGAAAATTTTCAAATGTTTTGTATTGGATGTCTTGATATTGTTGGAGTTGTTTCATCAAAGGTATTTATTCCTTTAGGGTTTATTAGTAGTATGAAATTTTCGGATTCTTTCAGAGTATTGTAAAAAAATTAAAATGTCTTACGAAAAAGGGAATAATTTTTAAAAATTGAATGCCTAATTCTGCTATAGGATATAAGATATCTGAATTGCCTAATGTAAGGAACAGGTTAAACGTCAAAAAATATGACCTAGATTTTATGTAATGCATCAATGATTTTTCAAATATATCTATCCAAAATTTTCAGGATTTATTATAACGGGTGCATCGACATTCATGTCAAAGTATCTTGAACGACAGTTCAGCGTTGCACCAAGCAAAGCAAATATGTTGATTGGTTCAGTTCTAATTTATAAATATTTGAAATTTCAACTTATTCTTCTAGTTCAAATCTTAAAGTTTCAAAAAAAAAAAAAAAAAAAAAAGAAAAAAAGAATTGCTTTCAGGTTGTATAATGGTTCCAATGGCTGGAATAGGTACAATGTTCAGTGGTTTCATCGTTCAACGATTTCGTTTAAGCTGTGTTAAAACTTTGAAATTTTGCATAGCATTACTAATGTGTACGCTTATCTTATCACCAATGTATCTTGTTTATTGTGATCACGATCCACTTGCTGGAATTGAAGAGCATTATGAAATGGACGTGTAAGTTTCTGTTTCTTATTTTGTGTTTAGATTTTAAGAATGAGAAATTGTATTGTATCTAAAATTTCATAGTTTGAAATTTTAATTTAAATTTCTTTTCACCATAAATTTTCAGCATTATTCTGCAGCTTTTTCATCTTTTATTTAATCTATTTTGCAGCGCTTCAAATTCAGATCAGAATAATAATGCTACAGAAATGCTACCATCTCTAAAATCCACCTGTAACCGTCATTGTGACTGTGTTCCAAGTGAATATCATCCAGTATGTGCTGAGTTTTATAATGAAAAGCAAATCTCTTTCTATTCGCCATGTTTCGCCGGTTGTCAGCAAAATTATGAACCGCTCAGAAAGGTTGTTCATAAAATTTTGTTTGTTTTCTAACTGAAAATATACTAGGATTGTATGACAAAGATTTTCAGTCTTCTTTATTATGAAAACCAAGGACTAAATCACTGTTGTAAAATAGGATAACAGTGATTGCTTCAAACAAACAAAATTCTAATGCAATTTCTTCCAAGATTTAATTTCGATATTGATTTTAGATGTATTACAACTGTTCATGTGTGCCTGAAAATACTAGATTTGGATATCGGACTGTTAAGAATGGATTGTGTGAATCAAAGTGTAGAGGACTTTTTGCATTTCTTGCTCTATTTGCTCCGTTCTGTTTTTTTGCATTTGCTGTTGGAGTTCCATTAATTTCAGTAGTGTTAAGGTATTGTTAGTTTAAAACTAAATTAGAAATTTTGAAAGATATTCCGAAACTTATTTCAGTTTTCTTAATTCATTAGAAATTAATAGTTAGTTTAAAAATTGGCAAGCAGTTTAAATAACTTTTTTCACCAACTGTATATTATGTACATTACAATGTATAAAAATTCCAGAATAAACTAATTCTTTTTAGAACAGTTGATTATGCTGAGCGTTCATTTGCGCTTGGAATTCAGTGGATTTTGGTGAGAGTTATTGGCACTATTCCTGCACCAGTTCTTTTTGGATGGATGTTTGATGTGTCGTGCATTCGTTACAATTTAGATGTTTGCTCCGGAAAAGTACGCTACTCATATTCCTGTGTTATGTATGTGTGTTTTTTTTTTCTTTAATTTTGCATAGATTTGGTTTTTTTACTTGCACAATTTTCAGCAAGGAAGCTGCATGCTATATCAGAATAAACTTTTGGCCGATCTTTTTCTTGCTTTCAGTGTGATTGGTCAGGCAAGTTTTCTTTATGGAATAATTTTGCTTTGAACTTGAACAGCGTTACAGTAACACAATTAATGGACTATATATTTCAAATTTATAGCGGATTTTGTTTTCCGATATGTATTTTAATGTAATAAAAGCATTTTTAAAATTGAAATTTACAGAAAGATATATATATATATATTTCAGACAATTGCCATGGTGTTCCTAATTTGCACATTATTATTTTTCTCATCCCAAATGCGTGACGATCCATTGCCAACAGAAGCGGTCATTGAGAATTCAGAATTGAATCAAGTTAATGAAGAAGCAGAAGTGAATGTGCTGAAACAGCACCAGAAATAGTTAATGATGAAGTGAAATAAAGATTCATCATGTATCTTAAAGCAAATTTATATTTGTAAATTTCAGTAATGCATCTATTTTAAGCCGAGGATGGAGTAATAATTTTAATAATTTAGAATGGTCACTGGTTATAACTTTATAAAATTGCAGAGAAGGGGATGTAATTTTTTTTTTTTTTTTTTTATAACTTAAGAAGGTGGTTATTTGAATATACTTTTAAATAGGGTGATATTCTTAATGCTAACAATTTCTTTTAAAATTAAATGATTTTTGAAAGGAATTAATATATATATATATATATACGACTTATTAAAAAAGATTCATAAGATGATCTTGATACAGTACTGGTTCACTTGGTTAGACTTTTAATTTAGTTATTATGGCATTAGTAACTTTCTATGCCTTTTCTTTCATCATCTGTATCTCCCTTAGAGAATCTCACTGTGATTTTGTATCTTCGTTTTTCATCAATTTAATTTATTGCATGTATATTTTGCTGCTGCTTGTATATTCTCCTTATATATTTTAGTGTATAAATCATCATCTTTCCTTCCATTTCTTTCTTAGTTTATTATTCATTCGTAGTGGGTATATTATTAAATCTCTGGATTGCAAATGAATACGAGATCTTTTTCATTTTTTTGTCTTTCTATTCAAAATGTAATTTTCTCTTTGCACAAATTAGCTGTTGGCAGTTTCTTTTTTTTTTTTTTTTTTTTTTTTTTTACGGAAAATTTTATATGCTCGAACAAATTTTTTTTTTTTGCTTACGGTTTTATACTACATATGATTATTGTTAGCTCAATATTCAAAACTTTTCTTAAATCTAAAAATCGGGAGAACATATATAAGTGATTTGTTGGCTATTCATTGTTAACTTCTCGGTGTTTCAAAATGCTTATGCTACTTGTCCATTGTGTATGTTATTTTTAATTAGGAACGATGAAGTTCTAAGATTGTTTCTTAAAATAAGTTTTTGTAAGTTTTGTTTTCTTTAATTAATTATTTTTTCTTAAAAAGCTTTAAAAAAAATTTTTTTTTTCGAAAATTCATGGTACATTATTTGCAGTTTATTTATTTATTCATTTTTCTATCTCTCTCAATGTATGTGTGTGTGTGCGTATGTATATGTATGTGTATGGTATGGAGATCATAACTAAATTTAAATGCCTTCACAAATACGAACTATTCGATTTGGAAATTATTAGGGCTTCTTTTTTTTTTTTTTTGCATTGCATTGAAGTGTTGCATATCAATAAATCGATTTCGAAATAATATTTTAGTTTCAACATTTTAAAGTGATTTTTTTGTTAGATTTAAAGTTTCTACAAAGTGTCATTTTAATATCTTCAATAGTATACATCTGCCCGCAAAACCACGAAGTAAAATCAATGAAGAGAAATTCTAATGATTGTTCCAATTAAATTAACCACTAGCGGTTTATATTACTACTTACTCTCGATCAATGTTGTATATTATTAGCATTATAACACATCGTTTTGATTTGATTACATTACAGTAGTGTAAAGTATGTAAATTGCCTATATTTTTGAAAATTTTAGTTCTAGATGAAGTGAAACGATGCATTTATAAAGTGTAGCAAGGTTAGCTATGACTTCATTGTTTTCTTTAGTCAAAGCTTTACGGTTATATTTAATTGTTACTTAGTGTTATTTACTTAAAGACCTTTCTTAACAGCTACATATCAGAAGAAGCATTATAAGTAACTATCTCTATTAATCTCGCTTCACATTATTCAATATTAACCTGAATTTGCTAGTGTTACTTCCTAAGGATTACTTAACATTTACTTATTTGAATTTTACTTGACTTAATATCATTTATTCTTATCAATTTTTTGCACGAATATACCAATCTGAAATTGTTCATTTATTTTTGCTAATTATGCAAATTTGCTTCACTTGCAGTAATGAGTAGTTCCATGGATGATCAGCAGCTCTCACCGATGCAATCAACATCAGAATTTGGTGATTCAAAGAAAGAATTAAGACAAGAATTGGAATGTTGTGTACATGGTCGACCATGCATTATTGCATCTAAGCTATCACGGGTATTATACTTTGTTGAAATGTTATCAATTTAAAAAAAAAAAAAGACTTAAACGTTATCAATGTTCGTTGCTTGTATTATGGTTACATAGACAACATTTTTAGACATAACATCTATACTCTTTCATTTGAAATTATGAATTTGACACTCCGAAACAGCTATTATCAAACTGCTGTAAAGTTTTATTCACATTTATAGTAATTTTTCTCAAGTGATTACTTTCTTGTTTTTTTTTTAAGTTCAGTTAAAATAGTTAATATAAAAGAAAGAGTTTAGGAAAAAGGAGAAGAAACGAATCGTAACCTTTCATCAGGTTCTTACAATTTGACAGGATCTAATTACAAAAGTGTTTTTGAGAAATCGGAGCCACATGTAAGCCAATATGATGATATCTCATACAATCTAAACAAAAAGGTTGAACGTGAAGGTATTTGCCGTTTATCAGAAATTGATTTTTTATCAGCAAGAAGTTAATACTCGTGATAATCTTGAATGCATTGCTAATATCATCAAAATTGAAAGTGCTAAAATTTTTTTTACGTATTCATAAGGTAGAATAAATTTCTGATGATACATAAAAGTGGAGAAATTAAATTTTCACTAAAACATGTAGTTAATGAGTTAGTCTTTTTTTTTTTTTTTGGTTTTAGCTTCTCAAACATTTTCAAAAAAAAAAAAGAAAAACAAAACAAAAAAAGAGACTCATGAAGTTATTCAGAAAAGATTTGAAAAGATATATAAAAATCTGAAATTTATATACATTTATCATTTATGTCATATTTTCCAAAAAATATCGTTTTGTAGCATTGGATGTTCCAGTACGTACATGGAATTTTCGTGCACCACATTTATCATCCTCTACGCTTAGTTCTAAATCCAATACACGTATTTCTGAAATTGAAGACGTGAGACTACCGTATATTCTCGCTAAAGAAGGATTTTATCACTCTTTTTGTCTTTTTAAATTATGCGAGAATTTTTCAAAATTTCCAATTTTAAAACTTTTTTTAAATTTTCACATTCTTAACGTAATATTAGTCTTTGAATTTTAATTAAAGAAATTTTACATTTTGAAAAAAGATCATAGTACAGTCTATCAATGAATGACATCTCTTCTAGACAACAAACTTTTTTATATAATTTTATTTATAAATTATTATTGCAGCATACTGGACGAAGGGTAGAACGTTTATGTTTGTCGAAGACCTTAGATGTACCATCATCCATTGGTCAAGTGGACAAGTTGACCACTTCAAAGAAAAGCTGTGATGAATATGAAATGATGCTACCGTAAACTTTTCATGAATCATTCCAGCATCCATAACTGTCCTTGTCAATTCTATTCTCACTCATATGTCTGTCATCTCAATTCATATTGCAGAACCACTGTCACACCTCGACTATTGTCCAAAGAACAAGCTGTGTGGACAGCACGAACACCTGGTTCCATGGAATTACCACCATCGGTAGAAGCTTACATTGGAGTATTAACTGCAAAGCAAGCAGAGGAATATGTTATGAAGCCTGCTTCATTCAAACTATACCATATGGTCATTCTCTAATAATTAGGTTGTGAGTAATTAAGCTAATCTCACTAATTAGATTAATTTATTTATGTATAATTTCTTTCAGATGCCAAAAGTGAAATCATTAAACAATGTATTGCCATCACTTAGTCTTTATATTATTTATCGCAGTGGTTCTGGCATCGTATAGTTCGCTTTATATTACTTTCATATATAAGTAAATTATGTTGCTTTTGAAAGATTTCAGAATTAAAAAAAAAGAACTCTGAACAGCAATAGATATAAGAATAATGCAACCAGAAACACCATATCTAGGAGAATAATGCAACCAGAAACACCATATCTAGGAGATTCGTCCTAAACTTATTTATACATAGAGAACAGTATTTATTTATCTAAAGATTCCTTACAAAGTTTTACATAATGCTTAGTTCGAGTTACTAAAAGTTCTTCTAGTCATTATCCAATCAAACAACGAAAGCAACATGCGGATTACTCAAAGACAAGATCAAAACCTGAAATGCTAAATAATCTTCGAGTTAGTTGTTTCCAGTGAAAAATCTTGAAATCATAAATTCTTTATCAACTTTGTAAAATTAAAAAAAATTATATTAGTTTAGGTGATAGTTTTGAAAGAAGTTTAAAACGATAAAAAAAAACAAAGGTTTTAAGGAACTAAAATTTTCATCTATTTAATATAATTATCACTTGAAGTTCTCCATCTTTTTCATTCTTTTGAAAAAGTCATTAATTCATTTATTGATCAGTGCTACATCGAATTTATTTCTCTAATTATAAAATTTCAAAGTTACTTAAGGTAGAATACGGTGATCCAATGGCACCATGGTTTTTCACACTGGATGCATTAGTCAACTATTACAATGTTTATGTCCACTTGCATGAAGTGAATGGCGAATGTGTCGCAGATATATTTCCAGTTAATGGAATGCAGAATAAGTCATATTAATACATATCATCAATGTCACGCTGATAATACTCGAAAAGCTTTGATATACATTCTGTAAATCACTGCTTCAAGTTTATTAGCAAAATTGCAGATCAAAATTTACATAACAATGATTGAAATAAATCTTTTGCAAGCTTTGATTAGAATTATATTTATCCAGTTAATAATAATCTTGTTGATATCATTAAATTCACGAACAGCAATAACTTTACATGCTTCAACAAACCATCAAGGACCGTTTTCGAAATTTCGCTATTAAAACTTCCGTAACATTAACCTACGTTTTTGCTATGTCGCCACCATTATTTGAAAACCATTATTGATTAGGCTAAATGGAATTTCATACTTCTAACCAGTTTTCCTCTACTGTTTATAAATGTTAAATTTACACCCTATTTCAAAATGAATCCCGACAAGAACTATTTAAATCAGGAAACACCTTCGATCCTTGCTTCAACTTTCGGGAATTACGATATCTCTACCCTCATTTTCTTGAACTGTTTCAATTAATATACTGAAAGCCATAGTGCATGGATAGAAAATAAATGAAGCGTAAAACCTTTCACCTGAAAGACGCAGACCTGGGTGAAAAGCTTGATCTTTACTTCTACTAAGACTGAACTAGAATGCACTTTAAAGTGACTCCTACCACTAATACTAGTTCTCTCTTCCTGACCGGTTTTTAAACCAAGAACTCATATTTCAGCAGATCAAGTGTCACCAATAAACAGTGAAATGCCTGCAGTTAGCATTGAAATTTATGCTCTCAACCCTCATGCATAACTAGCTCGAAAGAAGTTGGTCAGAGAACTAATAAAAGTTGCACTTCTGAGGATGAAAATTAGAAAAATCGAAAGAAATTTTCTCTGCCATCAGACAATTAGACACAATGTCCTTTATTCAATGACCAATATGTATGAAATGCGTAACGGCTACTGTTATTTTAATAAAAATGATGAAAGAAGTTATAAAAAACATAGAAACAATAATCCACAAAGCATAAACATAAAACACAAATAAGAACGTTTGGCACTGTACAATTAGCTAAAGTAAGAATCAGTCAAATCTTCTTTATTATTCAGCATGTTTCTCTTTTATATCAATTGTTTTCCTTCAGAAAATTCTTACTTCATTGAACCAAAAACCTATACGTTCTATTTAGCAATGAAAATGTCAAAATTTCATTGGAATTTAATCTATTCAGATATTAACTTATATAATCAATCCAACCAAAACGTCCTTTGGGAAAGTCAACTAACACCTGAAATGAATCACATCATAGTCTTCTATTTTGGTAATCTAGCGAGCTTAAATTTATTTGAAATGAGAAAGTCTAGGACAGGAAATGAAACGAATTACCACTAACAAGACATTAAAGCAAAGCAAGTCAGAAAAACAATGATTTCCAACAAGTTCCGAAAAAGACCAATGACTCTCACAAATGATTTCGAAATCCAAGAAACAAATTTAAGGAGACAATAAGTAAAAAAGGCTTCGAATTTCGCTCTTAGGATGTAATATATGTTGCGTAAAAATGAATTGAAATTAAGCCAGTCATAGTCATAGACGTTTAATACCTAGTTTCACTTATAATTTCAATGATGAGACATGCAAATATTTTAACAATAAAATTAATAATTATAGAAAACATACCATCAAGAATCAGGAATTAGAAAGCATTGCTCGTTCTAGAGTAAAGTAATAACAGTAATCACGATCCAATTGTTCAGAATCACATTTCTTTAATTCCGGTAACATTTCCAACTGAAAATTTCTTTAAAACTCACCACTTAACAAACATATAAACAATGACTTTGGAACTTAGGAATTTAATTTAAGAAATAAACTGTTATAATTATACATGGTCTTCTACTATATCCTTTAAACATTTTATTTTGCATAGGAAATGCAAAAACTAGATAAAGCTAACACATATCTGCTAGAATATATGCCAGAAGTATTCATCACTGCATTTCAATAAGAATGAATAGATACTTTTAACGGTCAATTTAATCGCAAGAAATCATGCTTATTATATAACTATAAAATCAACCAAAAAGTGACAGAAAATTCAAGTAAAAGGCAAAGGGTAGAAAAGATTCTAAAGCATTCTTTTCGACAAAAATTTGAATGTTTCCCATTATAATAACAAATATCTTACCTTATTTTTAGCTAAAATGCTTTCCACCTGAGGATTCAATCTGAAAGGAACATCTTCCACACCTCGTTTCACACCCGCTTTTATAGTTAAAGCATTTTTTGTTGTAATACTAGTCATTTTTGTTCTGTCCAGCGCAGGAGTGGAATGTCGGGATTCATTGGTCTCAATGGGTGGGTATAATACAGAAGTTGTGCTGCAACTAGCATACTTAAAAGCAATGTTTTAACTTGAAACTCAGTAAGAAGGCTTACTATTCTGAATTGGATACTGCCAGTCGAAGATAAAGTTATGAATCATTCAACAAAGCTATTTTAAATACATCAAGTATACTTAGTTAATAGATATTTAAAATATCAAGTTGTGAATAACTTACGATCTGCTACGAGGTATTGCGACACCAAATGATGATGGAATTACGATATGTTTGAAGCATACCAAAATGCCATCTATTTCACTGAAATTAAAAAATTAAAACATCGGATTTTCAATATATCATGTGACACATATATCATATATTAAAAGCCAACAGAAATTATGAATGAAGTGGAATTTTTCGATTAGACCAACAAATTAGAAAAATGAGAAATTTTAGACCCCTATTCCAAACAGGCACTTTAGAGAATCGCACTTTAACATTACGTAGTCAGATTTTTTTGCGTGACAAGGACTTTTCTGAAGGAATAATTTTTATTGAGAAATCTATGTTTCTCAAAAGCAAAATCTGATGTCACATGGAAGTTTTCAAATATTAATAACAAACTTGATGAAGGGTTAAGTTTTTATTCAGAAGAAGTCAGCTAAAACAATGAAATGTAAGTGCATGAAGAACATAATCAAAAAATAATGTATGAATAAATTATTCTTGTTAATCAGACTTTAGAGAATCGCACTCTAACATTACGTGGTTCTTGTTAATCAATTTATGATGGTAACTTCAAACAGCACTTTCGAAATTAGAGAAATAGTAAATAATCGGAAATACAAACCCAGCAGATGAATAATTCTTGGGTGGCTTCCTCATCTTACTTAACAAAACTATTTCTCCAACGGCGTCAACAACAGCATCTCGAGCTACCGTGCGCACACAGAGATATTTTTTGCGTAAAGCTTTTTCCTCTGCAAAATATTTTTTGAGTTTTTCCTTTACGAATGAAAAGCGAAAAAAAAAAAACAGTGTTTGATGCAACATTTTTAAAAGCATATGAAAAAAGTACACCATTCACTGCTAACCAATACTCGGAAATACAAACCCAGCAGATGAATAAAAATCAACCTTTACGTTAGGAAAAAAAAAAAGAAAAAACTGTTCCAGTTCAACTCAAAGATCCAAAAACAGGGTTCTGGCAAACCATTTTTCGTGAACCATAATTTTGACAAAATACAAATAGCAATAATAAGCTAAGAAAAATATTAAGACTGCACTATACTTCTCAAAGAATCGAAAAGAATTAAACCCAGTGATTCTGTATTAATAACTTACTTGAATCTGCCGTATAATCGATGGCGATAAAACCCATGGGAATTGGGTCGGAGTCCTTTACGACACATAAATCTGTCACTACATGTGTACTAATCTGAAAAAAAAAGAGCAAAAAAAGAGGGAAAAAAAAATTTGTGATATATTAAATAAAAACACGTATACTTCATCACAGAAGTATGAAATCTTGAATTAAAGAACTGAAAAACTTCTAAGACCAAATCAACTTTCAACGAAGGAATATGAATAGCAAAGTTTTTTTCAGAAACACTGCTGGAAATTGGTTTTAACTATGTCCTAGCTGCATTAGTTGGAATTCCAAAACCTTAAAAACATACTGTGTTTTGAGGAGTATCTCTAGTGATTGCCAAATATCGTACAGGTCGACTAAAAAAATTGAATGAACTTTCCCTCCATAAGTCAGCATCATTTTGTTCGTCGAACGTTTTTGTAATCTGAAGTCAGAATGAGCAAAAATGAAATAAAGTGGATGTAAGAAACGACCAAAATAAAAATACATAAATAAAGCCTTAATATGTAATAGAAATCACAACTTTTTTAAAGTGTAGCTAATCCAGCTCTATGTCAATGTTAATCTCAACGGATGTGTTTAAATCACGCCTAGTTTTGAGACAAATGAGCACATAAATAGGCAATGAATATATGGTTCTAAATATATCTTTCATGATTAATTTAAACCAAATTTGAAAAGCTGCAATTTTGACATCTTGGCAGATTCAGTGCTACAATCAGGAATCATAAGGATAATAATAAGGGCTGAACTACTTCATATGAGTGATAACCTGACGTAAAAACATAAGATAAAATTCTTGCATTCAATTTAAAGATGCATGAGTCATACCGGACTGAATCCACGAGGACATCGATTTTTATCAGCAACAATAATTATAGACGTAATCGGATTAACATTGTTTTCATCACCCATATCTGAAGAACGGATCATCAACACTTCGTTCATTTCAACAATCGTCCATTGCTTCATGAAATACAAGATAAAAAATGAACGAATTCGAGAATTCCATATTAAACTTATAACGAAATTAGCAAACTTATCAGAGACAAATATGATATTTCAGCAGTATCTCGATCTATGTTATCAGATCAATGAATTTAATCACCTCACTGCTTACATTAGCTACTAAAAGGTCACGCAACGTGACCCTACCAAACTAAACACAACACACCCCTACAGTTCCTCATGAAACAATTACTTTACATTGTTTGCAACCATGTCGCGTACTGCAATTATGACAGCGTAGCCTAAGATGAAAATTTAATCCCACGCTTGCTTAGTATGAGAGAGATAATCGGATGAAGAAATTAGTGAATACTAAATTTGATAAACTTACTGATTTCATTTGATAATTTCAACTTTGTGTCTGTAATTTTCTTATTTCCTTGAATTAAAAATCTCTTTTAAAATTTTCCCTCAATTCAAAGTGATCAACAAATGGATTCCAAACAAGAAATAATTATTATTTATTAGAATTGAGAAGTAATTATAGATATACTTTCCATATTAATTAAGTACTAAAACTGATTATAAGCAATGAGTTACCGTGGTGACCGTAGTGAATTACCACTGTACTTTCTCAGCTCCTTTTATTATGCATTCTATTTTCCAAATATTCCTTAGCAATTATTATTATTATTCAAAAAATTTTTCACTTATTTCAATTTTTTCTAATGTATTTTCGGGAAAAATTTCTAATTCTCGACAGGGTATCCTTTTAAATTTTCAAGTAGGAAAATAAAATTTAAGGTTAAGATTATTCAGCTATGGACATTATTAATGATAGTTCTATTGACTTCATAATCTTTTCAAATTAAATGAATGAAGAAGTTAATAATGATTCATAATCGAGAATATTCCACATGATGAATAAATAAATAAATAAATAAAAATGATTATAACATTTCGATGAGTAAGTGATAAAGAAGAAACGATAATAAAAGTATTTAAGTAAAGAATGAAATTAAAGGAAATTATTACTAAGATTTCCAAAATTGTAAAAGAAATTCAGAAAATTTTACTGAAATTAAAGAATTTTCAAAAATTTAAATTTCTGTATAAATTCAAGCACAATTTACGTTGATTTAGTGTCCAATGATTCATTTTTTACAACCATTCTTTGCTCATTTTATTCCAATCATTTCAGAAGAATTGCAGTAAAACTTTTTCTCAAAAAAAACGAAAAAACGAAAAATCTTTGTTTTGTTAAATCTTTGCTCTTTGTGTGAAAAAAAAAAATAAAATAAATATTTTACTGCGTTAACCATAAACTACGCTTATTTGGAATGCCAATTTTCAAATTAAATTTAATCGGTTTCACATTAGCAATTATTGCAATAGTTATACTTTTGTATTATAAAACTTTTTATTAATATTTATTTACCTACTAAAAAAATTTATTAATATTTATTTACCTGTATTTTGCTCAGTTTTATGCAATAATTTACTTTCTATCTTTTCAATATTTTCCCTTTGGGTAGTGTTAATTTTTAAGTTTCATTCATATTATAATTTTATCATCTCTTCGTTGTCATTTAATTAGATTAGATTAATTTTTATACCAACTAACAAATTCTGAGAAATGACACTATGAGAAGAAATTGTTTGTTATTGCTAACGCCAAGAATTTCCATTTTAAATTGCTAGCAGATTTATATTTCAATTTATATATTTTGATATTAATCTTTAAACTTCATTCTGTATTTAACAAGTTGGAGTGAAATTTTATTACTTCAACAATAAAAAATACCTAATTGTGTTCAATTTCTCTCTCTTTTTTACTGTATAAAATTTTTTCTTCATTATGAAATAATTATTTTTCATAGAATTTTTATTTAACTCATCGTTTTTTTTTTTTTTTTCTCTTACAGATTAACAATTGAAAGCATTTATTTAAAAAATATATGATTATATGAAAGAAATAATAAAGTATATTTTAGGAAGTCAACAATATTACAAATAGACGAGAAAATAGAAAATATTAACTTGTTTACTTACACACTGATTTATTTGTTAACATTATCAAATGGCACAAAATTCAGGATTAACAATCGTTTTTATCGGCTCATCTGAAAAAGAAGAACTGGTAAAATTTGATTTACTTATTTATTTATTCATTTATTTACTTATTATTATTATTATTTTGTATTGTAAGAAGTTTTAGGAAATTATGATGATGATGATGATAATAATAATGATGACTATTTTTTGTTCACTATAGTGAAATATTTAATTTACTAAAATCCATTGGATTGAATTTATTAAAAACGATTAGATAATATATTATTATACATTGCTTAAATGATCTTCATTTCTACAATTTTTTTTTTTTTTTTTTTTGTTTCTTCTGCATTTGAAATTTTAAAAATTTTGAATTACAGCTAGAAAAGATTAAATCAACAGCAGTACAATGTGAAAGACATATTAACTATCAAGATACTTACTATTTAACTTATATTGTTGATGGTTCAGAGGCTAACATTGAATTGATCGATTCAGGCATAGTAAGTAAATAACAATTTCAAATAAAATTTACATCAATCATTTTAAAAAAAAAATCTTGAAATTAACAATTTTAGGAACATACAGGAGCACGACAAATGTCAATTCGTAAGGCACACGGTGTAATATTATTTTATCGTATTTCATCACAGAATTCGGTTAATCAATTACATGATGTGGCACTTGATTTTCAAATAATACGAAATAAAATTAAGGTATTTCAGTTCTAAGAATTAATAATAGTTAAATTATAATAAAAAGTTTAAGTTAAGAAAATTAATTTTTTGATGCATTAAAAAAATCTGTAGTGAGAAGAAAATTTTTGGTAAAATCGTTTGAAAAGATTATACAAATTCATTATTGTTAATAATTAATTTAGTTGGACATAGCTTATCTCGGTGAAATGATCAATTTTTCAAATGCTTCTAATAATTGAAAATACTGATAAAATATGCTGCTTATCTCCTGAAAAAAAAAAAAAAAGGAAAATTAAATGCTATTTATACGTTGAAATTTTTCAAAAAATTTCGGTACAAGAAAATATTAGCTATTATTGTTTACTTAAAATAATTTCTTTATGTTAATAGCAGGAAAAAATTTTTTTGACAACATAAAATATTTTTAGGGAGCAATGATCACAGTTTAAATGATAACTTTTAAATGTTAGCTATCTAAAAATTTTATGAGTCTATCAGCATATGGCTTCTTAATGCACACAAATTTCTTATCTTTTCAAATTGTCATCATTAGAATTGTCATTAAAGATAGCAAAATGTCTCACAAATCAAGCACCATTTAAAATTTTTTAATTACATTTAAATTTTAAAAGCAATGATAATCTAGAAGTTTCCTTTTTTTTTTTTTTTTTTCTGATATTCTTTTCGTTCTATGGTATCATTTTGATTTCTATCTAAAACAAAAGTATGAAAATATTATTTTGAGTTAAGAATCATAAAGCTCAAAGTTCAAATGCTTGTTTTAGTTATTTAAATAATACATTTATTTCAAGTTATGATAATTTTAGTTATTAATCACTTAACTTAGCTTTTAAATATTAGATATAAATATTTGAACTTTGCTTACAATTTTTCAAATTTGTTCCCCCTATAAAATTTTTTGAAACAATTTTGACAAACAGAAAAAAAAAAAAAGCCATAATAAAAATATTTGCTATTAGCAACAAAATATTTTGCAATTTTCAAAGGTAAATTAACTGCTTGGCATTTCCAATTCTTCCAATACTAACTTATACAATTGATCTACAACAAAAGAAAAATTCAAATTTCCATCCTTTTTTCAATCAATTATTGGCTTATTCAACCATAAAATTTTAAATAAAATTCCTAAAGTAATACTTTAGGAATTTTTTAAAATTATATAATCATTAATTTGCAAACTCACTGTTGTATAAAAAGCGAATTGTGAACTACAATTATAGCCACCAATACTTTTAATTGGAAATGAGGATGTAGACGAAAAGTGCCCAGAGCCAATAATTCCATTGGCATCTCAAAAGTATAAGTCGAATTCAGTGCATCCATTAATGGTTGAAAATGCAGTTAGAACGAAAACTGCAATGGATTTGAATCACAAAAATAATTATAAGCGATATGGAAGTACTAAAATTACAACAATTCAGGTTGAATACTTTTATTACTTGAATTAACTCATAATTGCATCACAGTTTTGTCAAATTTTATTGATAATAATATTAGCAATGATAACAATAGCAATTATAATTTGAATAATTTTATCAATTCTTAATGCTTACGAATTAATTTCAAAAAATTCGAAATAGTGCAAAAGTAGTGAATACTGCTTATTCTAGTCTGAAAGATTAACTGAATTAAAATAATGAAGGAAAAATTTCTCAAATAATTAATGTCGCAGATTTGAAAGCTAAGTAACATTATGTGACAATCTCGATCAGACGATGAAAATTTTACAAATGAACACTTATAATTTGTAAGGTAGGATGACAATCCAATCTAATGCCACATACAAGTGAAAGAATCTGAAAGTAAAGTTATAAACTTCAGTAAAAGTAAGCCAATTACTTGTTTAACCTGTAATAAAAACGCTAGCAGAGATTGTCACCAATGAAATGGATAATTAATTTATCTTAAATGATTTATTTCTAAAATAAGTTGAAAAAAAAAAAAAAAGAAAAACTATTTAAGATTTGTAAAATCGACGAATGAATTACTTATCGATAAAGTAAAAATAAAAGATTGTAACTTATCTGTAGTGTTTGAAATATTAAGCAACGAATATCAATAATAAAGCAATTAATGAAAAGACAAATGACAAAGTATAAAGTAATTCCACAAAATGTTAAAACTTTTAAAGATTACTTTTAGCAAGTATGAAGAAGTAAATTGGATAAAATTCTAATTTTGAAATTGATTGATGCTAATTATATTGCCTAATCATATTATGATCAGTATAATATCAAAAAAATCAATTATTATTTTAATGATTGATCCATCGTTGAATTATTGATGCAAAAATTAAAGTTAGAAAAGAGTAATGATTATAAAAAAGAATTTAGATTACTTTGAGATTACTCTTTCAGAGACAAAATGTGGCAAATTTGTTTGGTACACATTGCAAATTGTTGTCTATAACAATACCAAATTATGATGGAACTTTAAAATTTATGGAAGAAATGATTAGAGCAATTCGATTGCAGCGAGAACAACAACAAAAAAGTTTGCTACAATGGTTTACAAAAATAAACAATGAGAAAAGTACAGAGAAAATGAAAACTAAAATTAACTCTAAAATGTGTTCAATAAGTTAAATATATAAATGAAATATATTGTCTAATAATGGTTCTTTTAATTGCAAATTTTTATTTGTTTTTTGTTGTTTGATATAAAAGTAATTTAATGAAAACAAAAAAAAAACAACGGAATGCGATATTTTTTTAATTTCAAAATTAGTGCTAAAAAATTAACTAAACTAACTATTTAAAGTAACATTTGAAATAATTATCAATTTGAATGAGAGATTAGCAGAACAAAAAAAAAATTTAGAGTTAACGAAATGAAATTAAACCAAATTATTTTAACAAACTTTCTCAACGAATAATTATTATTTGTTCAAAAATTATTCAGAAAAAAAAAATATTAAAAAAAATTATTACGAAAAAAAAAGTATAGAATTTGAGATCTACTTTTTCATTTCTGTAAAATTCTAACTGAACTATTTTAAACTTCTAGCAGATTAATTCCAAAATTTAACTTCATCTCATTTTTGCATCTATTTTTGATATGAACTCTAAATTAGTTTACTGATTGATTAGTTTGCAATTTAAAAATTTGATTTCAAATCAATAAAATTGTTTTTTTTTTTTTTTTGATATATCAAATGCTGTTAAATATATTATTTTGAGAAAAGCAAGAAATGATGTAAGTAATGAAGAGAAAAGTAAGTGTAAAGGAATAGGTAAGTTAGATCTTACTGATTTATCACTAATAATAAATAAAGATGGCAAGGTGAACGTTTTGAAAAAAGGCCTAAAATTTAATTTACTATTTTAAATTGAAATAAGTAATTGAAACAAAATGGTTTAATTTTATTATTTTGATATTTCTTTTTTAAAATAGCAATTGTAATCAGTTATTTATAACAATTATTTCAAGAAACGATTAATTTCAATAACAAATTTGTTAGTTTCTTGTTTCAAATTTATTGTGACACTATTCACATCAGTTATTCACAATGAATTTCATTTTTTAAAATTGTTTGAAGACTTGAAATGGTTCAAGTACCATTCCATTATTTAAGTTATTTAACACATATGATAAGCAATTTTCTGTTCAAGTATGGTTTAGTAATGTGACAAATGTATATTATTTGATGTCAACCGAAAATTTCTTCCTTTCATATAAGCTTGCATAATTTTCTTCTTTATTTATTAATAATGAATGACTAAAATTTTTCTTAACTTTGTAAGAAATATGTTTTGAAAAAAAATCTTAAATGACAGAAATATCAAAAATGAAAGAAATAGCAAACAATTTTTCTAGAAAGAAAAAAATTTATCAACTTTTATCCATCATATCGTTATAATTTCGATTCATCTTTTTAATTCGCATACAAAAGTATTATTCAATTAATTAATTTACAGTGATATTTCAAAAAAAAAAAAAAAAAGGAATTTTAATTTATTTATCTTTTAAAATTCAATAAATTATAAAAATGTTTTCAATAGTCTAATAAAGACTTATGAATTCTTATTATTATTCATTTCAAATGTGTTCAGATGTGATATAGCATATTTGTGTGTTTATAATGATATTTAAAGATTTAACACTTTATTTTCTGGCTGTTACAATTGAGTTAATTCATTTTCTAAAATTTGAATTTCAGTAAGATTAAAGTTTTAAGATTATTTTGAAAGCGATTCCATTTGTACAAATTCGTCATTTCACTGAATTACGCAAAAAGGTGAAGGTAAGTATTATCTTGTAATTTCTGAATTTCCCTTAAAGTGATGTTAAATTGCTAAGATTTTCAGAGTTAATTTTTCAATTGAAAATTTCTAATTGTAATTTACTGAATGCTTTCTTTTTTAATTTTGTTTTGTTTTGATAATCTATCATTAATTTCATTTTTATTATTTTACTTTTTATTAACAGACCGTTAAAGTTATTTGTCCATTAGATTAGACAAAAATTTTTTGTAGAAAATTAGGAAAGATTTGAAAAAGATTGTGTCTTTCATCTCTTAAAAAATAATCTCACTTCAATTTTTTTATTAAAGTACTAATGTTATTAGCAAAATTCATATGTTTCTTTCAAAATTATCAAATAAATGCTAAATTTGAGTTTAACTATAAATCATAATTTGTGTTAAGGAAAGATTATGTGCTGAAATTTTTTAATCAAATTGTATATGAAAATTACATCATTCTGTTTTATGATAATAATTTTAGATATGATTATACTTAATAGTGTTACTTATCATATTACATTTTTTTTTTTTTTTTTTTTCACTCAAAATATATAGGTAATAGATTTTGTAAAGAAATTGGCAGCAAATTGGTCAAAGATAAAAGAAATATTACTGAAAATTGCCAGATTTATTGGAAGGTTTAAAAGGCTATCAAAATTGATTGATTAACACTTTTGAATAGATCAATAATGAGAAATGTGAGGATAATTAATATTATAATAAGTTCGTTTTGAGAAATGAAAATAATTTCATCTTTTCAATTTATTAATTATCTTTTTTTTTTTTCTTAATTAAAATGCCAATGAAATGATTATCATTAATTTTTGCTTCCTTTATTGTTTTATCCTTTGGCTTCATTATTGGCTGTGTGATACTATTGGCTATGTCAAATGTCAAATGTCAAATGATGCAAAGATGATATTTAATAAGCAAAGCATTCCCAGTCATTTAGATAATTTTCATTCAGTTTGCTTTTAGTATATTTTCTTTTTTGTAATATTTTGTTTTTTGATAGTAAAATTCATTTTAATTAATTACTCAATTCATAATTGATATATCATTGTTGATAATTTTATTTTGAAAGGAAATTACTGTTGAAAGTTTGTAAAAGTAACCGAAATTCTTTCTTTTTTTTTTTGCAGTTTTCAATTTTGTTTATTTATTAATTATCATATATCATAGCATTTATTTATCATAATTATTTCATCAGTTTGAAATGAAAACATAAACTCTTCATTTCTATTACTTTTCTTCTTCTATACTTTGACAGAGATTCAATAACATAAGAAATTGATGTCAAAGTATGACGTAATATTCAGTTGTTCAAATATTAATAAACGTTTGATAAGGAATTGTTTAAGAGTTGCAAAAAATGAATGAAATTGTTGTACGCTTGCATATTCAGTATTGACTGAATTAATCATTTATAAGTTGATGTCACGTTTACACGTACGGCCCGTAATATATGTAGCACATAAGAAGTGGAATACATAGCACAATGGACGTGGAATACGCTTTACATTGAACGAATTGAGGGTTTGATTATTTTAGTTTGTCAGAGAGTTTGATGTTAAGATGCAATGCACGTCTCTGTCATACGTGGTTGATATATGAGTTGACATTCTCGCATTTTAACATTTTACGATTGCACCAGGAAATTCGAGAAAATATTCGATAAGTAAACGTGTAATTATAACATTAGCTTACACTCATATTATAGGATTTCAGGATATAATTACAATTTGTATGAATAATAGTAATAATTTAGAATTAATGTCAAAAATTATTTCATATATGATTGCAAAGGGAATATGAAGCTGTGATACTTTGCCCGTTTGTAATGAAATAAATTTGGGATAAATACGAAATTACAGATAATAATATTAAGAAAAAGTTGGATGCAAAAATGGAAGAAAATGGTGAGATAAATGCAAAAAAATTGTATAATTTAGTCATCAGATAAGAATATAAAAGAAAATTTACTGTTGTAGCATTCATTTGTTAATATTATTTCTAGTTGAGTGGTTACCTTAAGAAATAATTAACTTAAAGGTAAATTATTAAAATCATCTGTGAATGATGGAGTGGTAAGAATCGTAGTTCAATAAGAGCTGTCATCAAATTCATGTTTTTGTGAAAATAACTTTCAAAATGGAAAAAACTTAAAGTATGAAAATAAATGGATAATAATAAATGTTTTAAAACATATGGATAGATTGATAATGGAAAGTTCTTTTTAAAATTGATGAAATTAGTTCTTTCAATCTGTGCATAACAATTTTTTTTTTTGGAATTAATTTATAAAATTATTTAATTCAATGTAGGTTAATTGGAAACTTGAATAACTATTAACAACTGATGAATCCACCGGGACAGCACCGCGATATTCGGCCTTCCGGTCATCGATCATGTTTCAATGATGCCGATTTCATGTCGTTTAATGAAACAGTCAGACGAATGTTTGAAAACCTGTTTCATGGCTTAGAGCAACATTACCGCCAATTTGGAATAGGCTGGGACGGTTCAACGACAAACGCGCCATCATATCAATGCAATTTTGGCGGTTTACTTAGACAGGTTTGCATTCTTAGAATTTAAATCAGATTCATAAGAAATTGTTTATTTTTTTTTTTTTAATTTTTGAATTGAATTTCATTAAACGCTCAAAATTGGAGGACAAAGTTTTGCAATGAGAAAATTTCATAATTTAAATTCTTATATTTTTTGCCTCTTATTGGTGTTTTATATTGAATTATCACTCAAAGTAAGGTTAAAATTTGATGAATGAATAGAAATGAATTAATATTTGTGAAAATTTCACATATTCCTTTCTTCTCAGGTTGCAAACGATGCGGAAAATTATGTTATTGAAATGGATGTGTCACAGTTTCATCCGAGCGAATTAAAAGTCAATCTACGTCACGGTGAACTTTCAATTGAAGGACATCAAAAGCAGCAACGTGATCAGCATGGTTTCATTGAACGACACTTCGTTCGTCGATTCACGTTGCCTGATGACGTCGATAAAACCACTTTAACTTCTCACTTGAAAGGTTACTTTTGCAATTTGATAGAAATTTAAAGGTTCTTTATAAAAAAAACAGTGAGGTAAAAAGGAAAAACGATCCCTTTTGATATGGTAATCAGATATATTAATCGGGCATACGGTAGTCAGGTGTGCGGTAATCAGGTGTACGGTAATTAGACACAAGTAATAATCGCATATGTTAATCAGCGTACGGTAATTAGACACATGAATAGCAATCACATATTTTAATCGAGTATATGGTAATCAGGCATGCGGTATTCAAGCATATAAATAGTAAACGTACATATTAACCATCAGGCATACGGTAATAAGGCATATAATATGGTAATCAGATATACTGTTGAGGAAGAGTTTTTGTTTGATAAGAATTGCATACACTTACTGTGACATAACTAAAGACTGTCACATTCAATCAAAAATAATTAAGTCGAAAAATTATTAAAGATTATAAATTTTCAGAAAATGGTATTCTAGAAATAAAAGCTCGGAAGAAGAATGTTCCACCAGTAACTCCGACGCGAAATATTCCAATTCAAACGTATAATGTTGATCAACAGCACTCGAAAACTGCAAAACGTAGCAATGCAAGCTCAAGTAGAACGGGAACCACTGATCACTGACTGAACACAATACATTTTTAACATTATATTTTATCACTGCTATTCCAAAATATCGAATAAATAGATCAATAAAATTTTATCACTACTATTCTGAAATATCAAATAAGCAGATCAATAAGATTTTATCACTGCTATTGTAAAATATCAAATAAACAGATCAATACTGACAATTTGCCTTCTTACATTACAAAACTTTTCTACAAAATCGCGTTGTTTTGAAATAATAATTGGCTAATATAATAAAATTCAATTTGTATATAAAAACTCATTGTTTTCTTTAATAGAGTAGCAAAATTCTTAGTTGTTATAATCTATTGATAACTAAAAAATAAATTATTTTTTAATCCGGTTGCATTGGTGGTAATTGCATGCACTTTTAAAGATGAAAATTTTAAGAGAACTCTCCATTTAATTTAATTATTGTTTATTTTATTGCTTAAATTAAGTAATTTAACTGTAAGTAGTGGTTGAATAAGATAGTAAAATCAAAATATTTGAGCCAGAAATGAAAGGAGACAATTCGATAGAAATGCTTCCATTTTGATCACAAATTGAAAAAAAAATGCCATAAATTTGAATTAGAATTTATTTTAAATAAATACTTCTTTAGTTAAATTATTTGATTACCCTTGCAATTAGCACTTGCAAAATTGCTAACCAACTTTATTTAAATTTGACAATTTTCTGCTCTTATCTACTACAAAAATTATCCATCTAAATGTTTTTTTTTTTTTTTTTATTATAACCTTCAAAAATTTCTGGAATGAATAATTTTATTTATGGTCTATAATAACAATAATGTGTTAAATTAGTCTCTTATTAATTAAAACTACGATCTATCTCTCTAATTAATTTGAAATTCACCCTACAATCTCACACATCAAAGTGAAAATTATAGCATTTCAGAAATTTATTAACAATAATTCCAAAAAAAAAAAAAAATAACAATCAAAAAATAAGGATGCAAACAGTTCCATTTCTAATGACATCCATTGCACTTTATCAAATTTCAACTAATTATTTATCACTTTTTCAATCTAAAAAACAGTTAACGTTGGGATATTTAATAAAAATAATGAAATGCCTTTAAAAAAAAATTCACTCATTTCAATTTAAAAAATTAAAAAAAAAAATGAAAATTACATGAATAGTATTCTATTAATTATTAATTATAAAAAATAGTCTATTAATTATTGACTTTCCCTTATTTTCATTCCTTTCCTGAATGAAATAATAGTTGGTTTTTTTTTTTTTAAATTTATTTAAAAACAATGAATTTTCCTCTTATCACATTCTTTCTTCTCTCCGTTTTCTTATCCTATTCTTTGAAGTGATAAGCTTTTTTTCAAAGCTGTTCACCAGAAAAGATTAATCTAACATTTTCCTTGTACTTTTATTGATCCACGATTACTTATCATTAAGTGGCATATAAGCATCTCTCAAAAATTTGAATTTAAAATATAAAATAAAGAATATTGTAATTCTTGCAAATACTAATATTTTATTTACCGGAAATGCTAACCTTTTTACTTCCAAATCACATCGAATTTTTAATTTGTGTAAGGAAGGGAAAAAATTTGTTAAATTTATATAAATATTTATCTTTGTCGAAATTATGTAGCAAAAAGGAAATAGTTTTTATATGCTAAATTTAAACTTTTCGCTTCACATCTTTATAACATATTTTAGAGTTCACAAATTGTAAAATGACTAAACAAAAAATAAACAAAGATGAACTAATTGAATTTTTATGCTTTTTTTCATAAATGTTTGCAACAAAATTTTATGAAACAAATAGCTGATTCAAATATACTACTTTATTTAAAAATATTAATAATTATTTTGCATTTTTAAGTTTTTGATTTCTAATTTTCAGTTTATCTGTAGTAAATGACTATATTCGGCCAATACAATTAAACTTGGACATCGTCCTTCGCCTTCTTTTGATCATTTAAAATAAATAATCTGAAATCTATTTTCTTTCAACGAATTATTGATTGACTGATTGATTGATTGATTGATTGACTGATTAATCATTTATTTTAAATAATGAACAAATCACTCACTTTCAACTATTACTCCATTATCCCCAATAATATATGTTTTGAAAACATTTTCATATTTTTTGTACTTCCAAAAAAAATTCGATATTAATACTATAAATAAAATTTTTCTCAACTAGTTAACACTTTTTTAAGCTTATTTAGCAATTGCTAAACTTTTTCTTAAAATTTTTTCAAAAACAAATTTTTTTTTTTTCAAATGAAACTTGCAAAATTATCAAAGTAATGAAATAATTGATAGTAAATGCTGAACATTCAAATTGTTTATTATATTCAACGTTTTATGAAGAAACAGGAAATCTAAAGAGCAGCGCAAATTTTTGTCATAGCAAGGACAGATATGATTGTTTACGACAATCGCTATAAGTTATTGAAAGTTTGAACTACTTCAATTACCTTACTTGCAACGCTGCTAAATAATTCAATTCGTTTTGCAATAATCCTAACTATTTGGAAAATTAAATTTCTTTTTTGCTTTTATGTCAAAAAAAAAAATTGAACTGTATAACATTAAACAGTATAACAATATAATTTGCCTGTAATTATTTGTTCATTTAGGAAATAATTAAGTGATTTTTTTTTTTATCCAAAAAAAACAACAAAAAATTATTTTTAATAAAATCTAAAATTTTCTTAAACCGAATGTACCCTTTGTTATAGATTTGGTTGCAGTAATATTGGTGGTAATATTAAACCCTTTGTTATTGTTGTTGTTGTTGTTTTTATTGTCATAGAAGTTATTGTTTTGTTTCTCTTAAATTTTAAACAATGAAATAAAAGACTAAAAATCATAATCTAAAAATCGAAATAAAGAGCTAACTAGTGATATTGCTATTTGTTAGAGATTTTCTTCAGAAAGAATAATAATACTTTCATTTTATAATCTTTTCGGTAAACTAAAACGAAAATTTAATCTAATTGCAAGGGTAGTTTTTTTTTAATTTTTTTTTCTCTAGTTAATATTTAATTCTTCTACACTCCATTAAGATTTTTAAAAAAAAAAAAAAGTTTTATATAATTTGATCAATCACATAAATTTCTATAAAGAAACCTGTTATGAATAAATAATTTATATAGAAATTATAACATATGAATTGGAAACGAATGTTTCACTCTCAACAACTTATTTCCAAATTTTTACAAATTTCAAAAAAAAAAAAAAATGAAAAATGAAAAAAATGAAAAATAAAAAATCACAGAACAATTAATTTCAATAACAAATTTTTGAAGTAAACATTATCTAATAATAAAAGAAATTAAATGTAATTTGTTTATATTTCTGAAAGATCTGCAAGAACTGATATGAGATGTTAGAAATGTTGTAGAATTGTTTGGAAAAAAGAAATGATTAAATATGATGGAACAGACATAAAAGAGCATATCATATCATATCATATCATGATATGTCATGTCATATCATATTCATAGAAATTTGAAACGAAAATAAGTGTAAATGAAATTGAAATATGATATATGATGCAACGATGAACCTTTTTTGAGTGATAGTTTATCTTTCTCTATCAGCTTCCTTCCTGCTGATAAGATATGATATGATATGATTAGTGATCTCTGTGATAACATTACAATTCATTTCATTCTATCATCGCTAATTTCAACAATTCCTTTCAAAAAAAAAGTAATATTTCAGATCAAAATTTCTTAATATCTTACTTCCACGGTGAATGATTTCATTTCTTTAAGCATTGTGAAAATTTTGACATTTAACAGTTATAAAAGATCGAGAAAGAGAAGAAAAATATTACAATTTGCAATCAGTTCATTGCACCATTAAAATTCTATTCTCTGTGTTACTTTATGAAAACAAAATATAAACAAATAAATTGGAACAGATAAATCTGACCATTGAAATCGTCAAATGTGCAAATAAATGAGTGACCACATACTCTTCCACTGGAATGACCTTAAATCTAAGTATAACTTTGCAAGATAAGTCTTACTTTCTTGGAAGGATAAGTAGAAGACTGAAATGAGGGTGAAGCTGTCAGCACAGATCAATTTTGCGCTCATAGATGATACCGCTGCCGCTGCTACCGCCGCTGCTACCGCCACTGCTACCGCAGCTGCTGCTTGTACTGCTGGAATTGTTGTAAAGTGCTATTTATAATCATCAGGCAGAGCTGGAGGCATTCTTAAAGTGAGAAGCTAATATCAGATAAGCAATGGTTGGAAGCGACGAAGAAGAGGTTTTTCATTTTTTTTTTTTATTGTTGTTGTTTCATTAACTCAATTTATTTTATTTTTTTAAATTCCAATCTTACTTGTAACTTCTAAATTTTTGAGTTAATTTAATGCCAAAAAAAAAAAAAAAAAATCTAATAAATCCAAATTTACAATCCAAAAAATTCAGGTTATCTGAGAAAAAATTAAAGTTTAGATTCTATTTGTTATAAATTTAATTTCATTACTTATTCTAAATCAGTTTTTAATACTAGTTATCTTTATATCATTTTGAGTAAACAATACTATTTATGTTGAATTCTCGACTAACTTTGGTATGATTTGTCAAAGATAATTAGGATTTTGCATGCGTTATTTTTCTAGAATAATTATTTAATCGTTAAGATCAAATATTTGAGGTAGAAGTATCGGATGTGGAATTTGAAGATGAAGAAGAGGAAGAGGAAATGGAATGTGAACTTGTTTGTGAACCTGCACAAAAACTCACTGATAAATCGCCAGGTGTTCCTTGTTCCGATCTTCCGAAGATATCTCAGAGAAATCGATCAACTCCAGATGCTACTTCTAATGATAAAGATGATAATATCATAATGCCTGATGTTGAGGTTTGTAATTTTACAACAAATAACTTCATTTAATTTAAAACTACTGAAAGTCTAATTGCAATTTCGACAAATTATGCACTTTTTGAATTTTAGATTTTAATAATGTTTTAATGCAAACAAATTACATTTTGATGCAAAACGTTGAATATTTTTCTTTATAAATGCATAAAGTTGTAAATGATTTTAGCACATGTTTATTAGATATGTACATGTTTACTATTATTACTTGTAGTATTTACTTTCATGAAAAGTATAAACAGATGCAGTGAGCATTTCATTTTTGTTATGATTCCTTTCAATGAGAATGGAATATAAATAAAATTCAAAAAAATTTATTAAAATGAAAATGAAATCATTTTTAAACTTTACTTATCAATCTTAAATTTTTTCAATATTAAATATTCAATTTCAATATATTTTCTAATAATAAACAATCTTAAATTTTTTTAATATTTTATTTGTTACCGCAAGATTATTTCCTTCTGAAATCACTCAAAACTTTTGGGCTCAAAAATTTTTTCTTTTTGTCAAAAATTCTCTTTTTCATGTTTCCTAGGAAAAGGATTTAAATTAAAATATTTTAAGTTTTTTATAATTTGTAAGCATGAAATGAAGAACTGTGATAATAGTTCGATTAAAACAAAAAAGCTCACCTCTCAGTTCATTTCTGAACTGTTTTGCTTTTTCAGGAAGAGATATCAGATACCGATTTTGAAGATGAGGATGAATTAGAGCCTGAACAAGTTTCGGAATCTGAAAAGCCTCCAAAACCAAGCCACGATATTCGATTCAAAGAACCAGAAAACCAAAAAACTAAACGTTTAGGAGAACCTGAAGAACCACAAAAAGTTTCATCACCAGCTACTAAAAAACCGAAACCGGCAGAAACATCAGAGAAACAGTCAGTAATGAAGGAACCTGTGAAATCCACAAAAGATGATCCAAAATCGAAAAATAAGTCAAAGGTAGAACCCAAAAATCCAAATGTTAAACCTCAGGAAGAATTAGAAAAATCGGATGAGGAACTCGAGCCAGAACTGGTATCGGCCCCTGCATCAAAAAAGCCTGATATTAAGCTGAAAGATCCGGAAGGTACAAAACCAAAGAGGCCACTGAAAGTTAAACCAACAGAGGGTAGTCCGGAACCTGAAACAAATGTAACTCTTCCAATATCGAAACCCAAGATGAAACCTAGTATTAAGCCACAGGAACCGGATGATGAAGAGCTTGAGCCAGAGCTAGTTTCAGCCCCCACATCAGGAAAACCTGATATTAAGCTGAAAGATCCGGAAGACAGAAAACCAAGAAGACCACTGAAAGTTAAACCAACAGAGGGTAGTCCGGAACCTGAAACAGATGTAACTCTTCCGATATCGAAACCGAAGAAAAAACCAGGTGTCAAGCCACAAGAACCGGATGATGAGGAACTTGAGCCAGAACTAATTTCGGCGCCTACATCGAAAAAGCCTGATATTAAGCTGAAAGATCCGAAAGGTGCAAAACCAAAGAGACCTCTGAAAGTTAAACCAACAGAAGGTAGTCCGGAACCTGAAACAGATGTAACTCTTCCGATATCAAAACCGAAGAAAAAACCAGGTGTCAAGCCACAAGAACCGGATGATGAGGAACTTGAGCCAGAACTAATTTCGGCGCCTACATCGAAAAAGCCTGATATTAAGCTGAAAGATCCGAAAGGTGAGAAACCAAAGAGACCTCTGAAAGTTAAACCAACAGAGGGTAGCCCGGAACCTGAAACAGATGTAACTCTTCCGATATCGAAACCGAAGAAAAAACCACAAGAACCGGATGACGAGGAATTCGAGCCAGAATTAATTTCGGCGCCTACATCGAAAAAGCCTGATATTAAGCTGAAAGATCCGAAAAGTGCGAAACCAAAGAGACCTCTGAAAGTTAAACCAACAGAGGGTAGCCCGGAACCTGAAACAGATGTAACTCTTCCGATATCAAAACCGAAGAAAAAACCAGGTGTCAAGCCACAAGAACCGGATGACGAGGAATTCGAGCCAGAATTAATTTCGGCGCCTACATCGAAAAAGCCTGATATTAAGCTGAAAGATCCGAAAAGTGCGAAACCAAAGAGACCTCTGAAAGTTAAACCAACAGAGGGTAGCCCGGAACCTGAAACAGATGTAACTCTTCCGATATCAAAACCGAAGAAAAAACCAGGTGTCAAGCCACAAGAACCGGATGACGAGGAATTCGAGCCAGAATTAATTTCGGCGCCTACATCGAAAAAGCCTGATATTAAGCTGAAAGATCCGAAAAGTGCGAAACCAAAGAGACCTCTGAAAGTTAAACCAACAGAGGGTAGCCCGGAACCTGAAACAGATGTAACTCTTCCGATATCGAAGCCGATGAAAAAACCACAAGAACCGGATGACGAGGAATTCGAGCCAGAATTAATTTCGGCGCCTACATCGAAAAAGCCTGATATTAAGCTGAAAGATCCGAAAGGTGCAAAACCAAAGAGACCTTTGAAAGTTAAACCAACAGAGGGTAGTCCGGAACCTGAAACAGATGTAACTCTTCCGATATCGAAGCCGAAGAAAAAACCACAGATAGAAGCTAAAAAACCAAATGCCACATCTGAAGAAGAGCCAGAAAATCCTAATGATGAAGAGTTGGAGCCAGAACTGATTTCTGTTCCCGAGCCTAAGAGACCTAACGCTAAATCTGGAAAACCAAAGGCAATCAAACCTAAAAATCCCCTCAAGGTTAAATTAACGGAAGACAGTCCTGAACCAGAAACTGACGCCACATTACCTCTACCGAAGAAAAAACCGAGCGACAAGGAACAAGATGAATCGGAGGAACCGGATGAGGTCTCCGAAACAAGCTTCACTGTTCCAGAATTACCCATCGAAAATGAGGTAAGATCGTCAGATAACACTCAAAATGAGTAACAATAAAATTATTTGATCGTTAAATAAAATTTTTTTTATTGCACCAAATTTGAATTTTCCTCCTTTCTATCTATTAAATACTACTAACAATGAATTTTAAAGACTGCGTTAATTAGCATTTTCTAACTAATCAAATAATTTTACAGATTGAAAACAATGAAAATGTATCGCCAAAGAAGAAACCGAAACAGAAAAAGGTCAATGCCGAAATTTGCATTGTTTATTTATCATCCCATTCTCCCCAAATATCCTTCATTCTCTGTTTTTTTTTTTTTTTTTTTCCGGTTTCCTTAGTTATTCTCATATTTCAATTAAACATTTTATCATTTCCATCCAATCTATAAACAAATCAATTTGTCATTGTCAATATTTAAACTTTTTCTTATTCCCTCTCTCTCTCTCTCTCTCTCTCCTTCTGCTTTCCTCAACAATTTGTCCTTTTTCAATTTTACTTTCTATGTTTATTGAATTTTGCAGAAAAAATTGAAACCACAATGGATTCCACCACCTAGACCACCACCAGAACCATATGAGATGCCACCGGATGAAAAGAAATTGGCCGATATTCTGAAGGAAGAAAAAATTCCACCAACAAAACGATATGCTAGAAAACCGCAACATTTGTACGCATTTAATCTTTTCCTCTTCCGGTCTCCACTTTTAAAGCAAAATTCCGTTTTCATCACTAACAGACATTCAAAATTCGTAAAATATTTCTTCTAAATTTTAACAATATAGCCAATAATGAATAATCATAAAATTTTCGAATTCAAGAGACGTTTTTATTCCATTCGAAATACCATGGGAAAATCTACCCGCACTACAAACACAAGAAGGTATGGGAGCATTTGGACATACCCGAGGTGCAAGTATAAAGGTTGATCAAGGTTCCAAGCACTTAGTACAGGTATGCATCGTAAATTTATGAATGTTAATTAAAAATATTCTTACGAAATGATAAGATGATTGGGGTTCATATTTTGTTGCATTTAAATTAATTTAAATTCATAATGATCACTCCGATTTTTAGTATAATATTTTGATACAAATGAGGTAAAAAAAAAAAAAAAAAAAATTAATTATACATCATTTTCAATCTTAGCTCTTTAGTTTATTTTTTTTTTTTTATCGAGAATAATGTATTAGGATGTTATCTGATAATTTCCATTGATACTTTGATCAACCCTTACCTATCTAATAAATCCAACATTTTAAACACTTTTCCATTTTATTTGAGATTTCATTTCTCCTTTTTTTTTTTAAAAAAAAAAATTATAGTCCGACATACGGCACTGCTGTGATATAAACAGATCAGATGCTGAATAAATGATAAAAAATTAGTTCAAAAATAATTTATGCACCTAATTTTTTCATCTTAAAGATTATTCTAGTATTTTCGATGAAAATTGAAAATTGATTTATCTTATTTCAGGGAGATCTTCATTCCGAAACTCTCATCCCACTCTTTTCACAGGCAGTTGGCGATAATCGTTCCGGTATGCTACCTTTCGGATCTTATCGAAGAAATGTATCGGATGTTATTGACAACCATAAATTTGATGAGTCTAAGGTATAATGAAATTTTCTTCAAAAAATTTTTGTTTTAATGAAATTTGAAATACAATCAAAATTTAATTTTTTTTTTCGTCGTTTGTATTGATAAATCTTATAATTTGAACATAAGTTACATAAATTTTTCACAAATTTTTGAACAAAATTGTTTGAAACTTCAGAGTTATTTTAGACATTTGAGAATTTACACATAAATTTTTGAATAAATTAACTGAAATTATTATTATTATAGATCAAAGAAAGTAATCGTTTCATTCCGAAGTTAATGCAAGGTGCAATACAGCCACAAAATGCGGAAACTTTGTTTGGACAAATTCGTAATCAGGTAATTTCTTTGCAAAATTTATTACTGCAAAAGTAATTACCACTATATTTTCTAATATCTCACTTTTTTTTTTTGAACCAAATTTTGAAAAACGTTTCCTCTTACAAAAGTAATAATTTATGATAAATAAACATATTTGCAATTTTAAAATTGTTTCAGAAAGTTAAATAGAATAAGCTTTTGATAATTTTGAATATAAATTAATTGTGTTTATAAATTCTATTTAAAAGCATTTCTGAAAAGAGAAATACACAGATATTAAACGTCATTCAAAAATTGCTGTAAGATTTTAGACGCCACATGTGAAATATTTGGACTATATGTCGCCAAGTTGTGATCCAGAATCTCACGGTTTCATCAGCCGGCAATTTGCGCCGACATCTACCGAAAAAGCTGGCAGTACAATCATAGACAGACGACGAAATGTCATAGCCAATGCACAGGTTCTAAAATTCTTTCTGCTATAAATTTTTGAACTAATCGAAATTGAACATTATGTCACACAGAATTGAAACAAAATGTAATTTAGTAATTTATTAACTTTCAGGTATCCTTAGTTAACAAAATGTAATTTAGTAATTTATTAACTTTCAGGTATCCTTAGTTAACAAAATGTAATTTAGTAATTTATTAACTTTCAGGTATCCTTAGTTAACAAAATGTAATTTAGTAATTTATTAACTTTCAGGTATCCTTAGTTAACAAAATGTAACCTGTTGAATTATACTATGATACATACAAGAAATTGAAATTTTTTGTTAAATAAACTTGAATCCATTTCTTTTAAAATCAGAATTAAAAATTTGATTATCTAGGGTTCCGGAAATGATATTGGAGTATTTGATCGCGCTTCTGAATCAATTATGCCACTTCTTTTCAATGTTCAAGATATCTACCTTAAAGGTGGAACTGATTTTGGTGCTTTTCGACCATTGATCAGTGAATCAGAAGGTGGTTACCGGATGACTCTAGATGACGAGATCAAATGTAAACTTGTTGTTCCGTATCAGGTTGACATCTTCCTCGTATCTTTTTTTTTTTTTTCTCTTATATCTGGTCGTTTTGATGATTTCAATTTTTAATGATTAAATTTGAGATATAAAAAATAGTGCAGAAGAGTTTGCAGAATGAAAAAGAACACTTAAAATGCTTTCATTGTTCTTTTTCCTTCCTCATTTCTTCTCCTTTTTCCTATCTTTAATTTATGCTTACTCTCAAACTTCCTGAAAAAGAAATTTTTTCCTACTTTAGCTGAATGAAATGATGAATTAGACAAGTATTGTTAAATATTTACTGTTTCATTTCTAGGATTCAAACTCAAAATACATTATTATTTATTATATACACTAATGAATTTTACAATTTTCAGACAGCGCCATCATTTGTAACATGAAAGAATACAACTTCCATAAATTCTTTCTGGATTTATTTACTGGATCGATAGTGAACTAACTGATAGTTTGAGCTTTTATTTATATCTAGTTGTCTTCTCTGACATTTTAGTTTTGTTATAAAGTGTATCAATAAATAATTCAAATATTTTCAATAAGCAATATTTGTTTGGTTATGTTAACTTATGACACAAATTATTAAGATAAGGAATGGTTTTCTTTTCGAGAAAGTTATACAATACTTTCATTTCTTAAAAATCAAATGAATCATTTAAAAGTTTTTTTTTTTTTTTTTTTTTAAACAATTAATTTAGCTAAATTCTATGAAAATGTGGAATTAGTAATAAAAGAATTAAAATTTTTTAAGCTAAGAAATTTTAAAATGAAAAATTCTATTCTAACACAGATAAACAACAAACACAAAGTGTGACATATTCGATCAATTAAGCATTGAAATATGAAGCATTTAACAAAATTATTGTTCTAGAATAATAATTTAGTAACAAAAAAAAAAAAAGAAAAAAAAAATGATTACAAACAAAGTGCTAATTTATATCCAATTTATTTATAATATTCTGAGCTTTCATGATTAGTCTCTCTGAGATAAATGTATAACTGAAATAAAAAAATGAATTTAATCCAGTGATATTCATTTAAATCTAATCAAAATACAACAGATTATCAACAATAATAATGAAAATAAAACAAGAAATAATTTCATTGAATGAAATAAAACTATTCTGCATAAATAGAAATATCCAACGAACCAAATAAAAAAGATGAAAAAAAAAAAAAAAAAAAAAATGGGGCGAATTTTTCTTCCTCATTTTGGTCTATTTTAATTTTTAACAGATTTTCCGATTTTATAAATTTAGGACAGAAAAACTTTTTGAAATGCAATTAAAATAATAATGGTTTTAAAATAATAATAGCCAAATGTACATTTCATTTTATCTTCAAATTTATTTGAAATATTGGCATACATTTTAATTTCATATTGTAATCATACTGGAATGGTATTCGTTAAATTGTCGACTATGTAGAAGGAATTTAATTTGTTTTAGAGAAATATTTATTAGCAATTGTTATGATAATTTTAGATAGACAAATAAATGAGAGTAATACGAGAAATATTTATCAGATTTTTTAGAAATAAAAAATGTTTACAAAGCGATTAGAGAGAGCAATCGTTTTAGTGGTAAACATGATGACAAATCTAACTTGATATTATTAGTTGTTAAATAACTGATAAGTGATAAATGATAAAATAATAAATGATAATTAAACTGATGGATATTTTCTGAATAACTTAAATTGTATGGATAGAAATAAAAAAAAAAAAAACAAATTCTTTTTTCGTTTTCATTTCTCTTTTCTATCCATCTCATCCATTTCACATTTTTTATTTTTGGCATTCATTTTTTGGTCATCTAAATGCAAGCATTTATATACAAAATTCATTTGATGATAAGGTCAAGGGTTATTCAGTTGCAAAATTTTTATTTCGATATATCTCTTCATTATCGCTTATGAATTTTATTTCTATTTAATATAACCAAATTGCAAAAAATGATTTAATTTTTCATTTGCATTAAAAATTCAAAACTTTTTCGTTTTTCGTCTTTCCTATCCCCGATATATCAGATAGCATTCCCCATGGCTGACAAAATTTAATAAATTTTAAAATTTTTATTTGAAAATCAAACTGAAAATTTTCAACAATTTTCAATCCAATTCAGGTTTGTTCATCACTTCACAAAATGAATGCATTTACATTGCCGAATGATATGACAGATAATTATTAACAACAAATTTCGGAACATTTCGCGAGAAACCTAATAAATAGCATTTAAGGATGTACAGAGAGAGAGAGAGAGAGAGAGAGAGAGAGAGAAATCGACTACAATATCGGTTGTCGCACTGATCTCTTTTCTGTGGTTCATTCGAATTTGCTGTCACAATATGGAAGTTCCTCTGTGCTATGAAAATTTAATTATATTGATGAAGTTACAATTCAAATCTCTCCGCACAAATAGTATATTTAGTTCCGTTTTAGTGTTTTCACTCCACTTTTCCTTCACTATACTTTCATTGTCCTGTTATCAAGTTACCAGTTGCATATATGAATCTATTCAATATGATACCATATGCGCCATCCACATGCGCCTTCTCCCTCTCCCTCTCTTTCTTCATTTAGAATTATCCCGCCAATTGTTCATCCTTTATTTCTCTCTCATCAATTCAAAACTTCCAGTTAGTTATACCCTCTGAATACAATCAATTATATCATCAAACACAATTATACACACACACATATATATATAAATATAACTCACTACGTAGAGTCATTCATTGTCACTGGGAACAAATTTTTGCATTTTGAGGCTGTGGCAATTAATTGGCATTGAGAGAACGTCGCGATGTCACTTCTGTATCGGTTGATCGTAAAAGTGGGTGGGTTTTTGGTTAGGGTGGGTAAGGTGGGATGGGTGGGTTGTTTGGTTATTTGGTTTACGGGTAGGAAAAGTTACATTGTCATGCTGGACAGATGAAGTAGATTGCTTCAGCATTATTCTCGTGCTTTCACTCATCCAACAATAACAATCAAAGTGTTCCACAGCTACCAATCGATTTTTTTATGCTCTCATTTGAGAGTGTGATTGTTTCGAACTTAATTAAACTATGCATTGAAAGGTGACAGACAATGCATGCTTCATGATGTCGTCTTAATGAATTTATTCATAGGAACGAGTGCAAGAATACGATAAATGGCTATATTTGAGGGTTGAGATTTTTTAAGTGTTCGAGATTTAATTATATTTTAAATTGGTTAAGACATCCAGAATTTATAATGCATTCCTGCTGTAATTGATTGTAATAAAGCAATGACTGTGTGGACTCATCCTCTAACTGATCTTTGCTAAGGCAGAATGTTTTGATAAATGCCAAACCTGTTGCTATCTATATAATGTATGTGGTGGGAAAATTAAGCGTTGTTTGACTTTTCTTGCTCGAAATTTAAGTTCTTTATCATTATGCCTTAATGCTTACTTTTGCATAACATTGTACCGTAGACTAAGCCGTTTGTACAGAAAATTTTTTCTTCCATTGATGGTCATTTTTTAGAAAATTTGCTAGAAAGAAAATTAGATGGCTTACATGGTTTGCTATTAAAGTGCACTTTCAAATAAATATTGCTAAAGTTATTAAATGACTTTATTCATAATTTGTTTATATCAAAATCGGTTAACAAAAGTGTGAATGTGATACTTTATTTATTTATTTTCTTACGTGCTTGAATGATGTGGGCAATTTTTGTTGTCTTTGATGCATGTAAGTGAATCATTTTTTCCCTTTTCTCTATTTCTTTATCTCTGTTTTGTGTTATAAAAAGTTCACTTGTTAATGAATAACATTAAAAGTTGTTTGCTATATTCAAGAAAACCAATGTTAAAAAGTGTCATAGTGTACGTGCAATAATATATAGGAAAGCATAAATGGAGGTACAAGTTAGGTACTTCCCACTCCAAACAAATAGAATCGTTTTAATATGAAATGAAAGAAACAGGAAAATAGAAATTTCAGCTTAGTTTTTTTTATACCTTATCGTATTTTGTGTTCACGTGCTATTTATCGATCTAGTTCTATTTCCAGGAAAGTGATAACAATTCAAAGCAGTTTCAACAATAATTGGCAATAAGGAACTGTAGAACTTGATTTGAAGAAGTCTACTTGAATAACAAAGAAGGGACCCCTGTTATATCTTAGAAATTAAGGGGTCCTCAGAGGAAGTTGTTTGAAATTGATGGGTGGACATCGACGCGACCAAAGTGATTCTCATGTACCTCTTAAGCAGTCTGCTGAATTTCAACAATGTGTTTCAAGTAATAGCCAAGATCAGATTCGGTATCTCACAGAAACATCATTGAATATTGTGGAGCCAGTGCCTAATGGAACAATCAATTCCCTATCCTCAACCGACTTGCCAATTCATCGCAATGATTCCATTTTCCATCGACAACGAAGAGTTAGTGATTTCCTGACCTACTATTTATTTGTTCACTTAATTGAAGCCCAGAGAATTTATGAATATGATCGCTTATTCAGTCGTGAAACGATGATAACCGTTAACTGTGTTGGTTAAACTTCACTAACGCATAAAACTAATAAGTGCTATTGTTTATACTTCTGAGAAAAAAGAGGCATTATCTCTCTTAATTCTTTAAGTTAATAAGTCAGGAAAATAATGAAACATTAGTTAAGCAAATCGTCCAATTACTCGTAAGTGACCAAATTAGTAATAAAGTGATTATTAATTAGTAATAAAATGCCAAATCATTACATGGCTCTTTAATTTTTTGCTTATCGACTCTTTTCCTAGAAATCTTGTTCCAATAATTCATTTTAATAGCACTTGATTTTATTCTCTTGAAGGCATATTATTTCAGCATGTGACGACATGTAGAGTTACGTTCTATTTAGGTGTAAATTTCATATATGTGTAACAAACCACCGTTGAAAATGTACGAGGAAGTAATTTTGGTAGAATTATTTCTTGGTGTTTGGAGCATTTTTGTTGTCTAAAGAATACAGAGTTTTAGACGAACAACCATTTAACCACTATGACATAAAATGATAATTTTTTAAATTAGTTTACAATTGAAACTTCAAATAATGTAACATTTTAAAATTAAGATTCAAGTTTTTGTATCAGTTAAAATTTGGAAGAATTCATACGGCGAGTTACTGTAGCTGTTGTTGCTGACGTGTGTGTGTGTGTGTGTGTGTATGAAAGATGAGCAAACATCATTTCCATCTTGCTGATTTTTTCTATGATGCATAACGTCTTCGTTGTCATTATTATTGTTGCTTGATGAGGGTTGGTTTCATTATTGATGCTTCTGCTTCCTTACAGCTACAACTTTTGCCCAAATCTTCTCAAAATGCATGTCTTATCGAAACAGAGAACAAATGCAGCTTATCAATTTCTAAACGTTTCTTTTAAAATTGATTATAATGCGAAAAATAACATAAGCATGTTTAGTGAGGAAGAATCTTTGAATTTTGGACTATGGAATTATGTATATAAAATTTATAAGAATATATTTATTGTTTGGCGTTTTCTATGAAATGAATTACCGTATTCAAATAGATTATGCAAATAATTTTGTTTTTATGGTGTACAAATTTAGTAATTGTTGAATTATATTTCTTGCAGTTAGGTTTCTGATAGAATGTAAAAGTGGTAGCTGAGTCAGTGAATCAGCATCTCCGTGGAAGTTTTATTTTACAAATTTTGGCAATCATTGAGATATTAAATATTCACGGTAGAATTTTTAAAAGTAATTTAATGTTTTAGGTTTCATTTTACGGAATTATGGTTTTTCGATACTTCTTTACGTATACGCTCTACTATTTGTGAAATATAGAATATAAATTGAAGTGAAATTATTTTTTATATTTATAAAAAATTTCTTTTTTGTCTTTTGTATAGGTTAAATTTAGCAGTTGATGGAATCTTTGAGGTGGTAAGGTGCATAAAAGGTTCAAAAACATTCAATAAATTGGCGTTAAATAACTCATTCTAAACTTTCTTTTTTCATCAGTAAAACGGCAGCAAACATGCCAACATTATTTTTCCATGTCGGAACTACTCCATTCCAAGCAGTGATTTAGAATAGAATAGAGCTTTCAACATTGTCCTTTATTATTGTAGGCGATGTTTTTATTTTATTCTTAGAGGTTACTTTTTTGTTCTGTGAAAATATTCATTTGCCGTACTGCCATTATAGTCTTCACATTAGCAGCTCTCCTCACTCTAGGTATGCGAATTCTTTTTATTCGATTTATATACTTTAAAAAATTTTCTAAGGTTAGCTTTTTATTCGATTTATATACTTTAAAAAATTTTCTAAGGTTAACTTTTAACTCAACCGAATTGTTACTTTAAATGACGAAATCAACTTATCATTTTGTTGTAATCATGGTGCTACTGATTTTTTTATCACAGATTATTGAAAAAAGAACTTATCGCGGGTGGTGTGATACCTGTGATACTATGATGATTACTGCTATGCATAAGCAGCAACATTCGGCACAAATCCCCTTGGCAAGTTCTTGAATGTTTATAAGTTTCTCCTGTTTTAGAATTCATTTTGTCGGTCGGTTCCCAAATATTTTTGTCTGTAACGTTTATTATTTCTTTCTCCCTTTAAAAGCACCTACAGGTGCTTATTTAATTGCCTGTTGGCGATATTCAAAAATTACAAAAGTAGATGTTTTTATCAACTTTAGCGCATGTTAGTTTTATGCATATTAGAAAGCATACTTTAAATTTTAAGTTTCCTAGGTTGCTAATATTACTATAGTAATTCTATTTTCCATTTGACGTGCTGTACTGTCTTACTTCCCTATCTCTCCTTATTACGCAGTGACACTGGTCTTCTTTTTTCTTTTCCTGTATTAAATATTTCATATTCTATTTTTTGGTCTTTGAATTAAAAACAAAATTGGGTCCATCAATTAATTCAGCAATCAACAATAATTGATATTTCTTCTTCCAATATTTGTTTCTAAATCAGTTGTTTATTACAAGTGGTACTTTTTAGCAATAAAATTTGTTTTAGTTGATATGTTTTTCTTCTTGCCGGTTTCTGGGATAAAAGTATGGTTGTATTTTAATGTTTAAGATGTCTGAATTACTTTCCTTTTGTGTTTTGGTAGCACACGGCTACTATATATAAAATCTTTTTATAAGATAAGAATACTAAGTTTGTACAACAGAATAATAGAAAATAAGTATTTAACTTTTATCAGAATGAGTAGAAAGCAGGCTAATTTTTAATATCTCCTCAATGCATAGTAGAAAAGTTTTCTTCAGCATATTTGTGAGGTTTACTGAGGTTTACAAAGAGTCACAATATATTAAATTTTAAGCATATCTGCTACGATGCTGCTCAGTAAGTCTTATATTCAAAAAGTCGTCATAATCTTTAGTTTATAAGTATTTTTAAGGTTCAGAAGTAGATTTTTTTTTTTTTTTTTTTCAGACATGGCAAAAGGAAGCACTGAAAACGTTTGCTGCATTTGTTTGTTTGTTGATATCAGCATTCCTCAATTTTTTCCTGCTCACTGTGATTCACGATATAGTACCGAGGGAACCCTTGCCAGACCTCGTTTTTATGCTGATACCACAGCAGAGGTGGGCTTGGGTTGTCGGAGACATATTTTCTACTTTAAAGTTAGTTTTTTGTCTAATTCTATCTATTAAAGAAGGACAACATCATATATTTTGATAAACATGAAATTTCAAGTATTTCACAAGCTTTAAGCAAATTAAAATGATTCTATACCACGTTTAAATGTTGAAGTTTGACAGAACAAACTTTTGCTAGCTAGCCAGTCGTCATCCATAGTTTACGGTAGTCAAGCCTATTTTTTTGTTTTTGTCTTATTTTAACTTGTTGTGTATTAAGTTGAATCTTAAAATTCATCTTAATACTCTAACATTTTGTTTTTCCAGTGCTGTACTTGGTTTCACATGTGTCCTGCTGCATAAAAAACGGTTAATAGTGTTTCGTCGTGTGCTGTTACTTGGAGGGATCATGTATGGGTTACGAGCAGTAGTTCTTGGATTAACATTTTTACCACCATCATTTCAAAACCGCGATGAAATATGCTTACCGCAGGTTAATAGAACTGCTATGTATGCTACAGAAATAACGACAAGGTAGTAGTTGCTCATTCACTTTGACTTTGTATTATCCGATATGATTTCACTATTAAAGATAAACTTGCTATGGCGTTAAATCTTTAAACATCAGAGAAAAATAGATTTATCTCAATTTACGACGTCAGAGGAATGAAATTTTCTTTTAATTCAAAGTTTTAAATTCACTATTTTTTCTTTCCTTTATGAATTTCAAGTTTGGGAATTCCAAAATGTAACATTGCTCAAATATGTTCTGCATTTGGTGTTATCTTGATAATAAATCACAGTGGAAACTGGTTCTCTTGTTAGTCTTGAATGATCACAAATAGATCAGTGCTGATGTTATAGTATTATTATGTTCTGCGATGTACACCGTAAATCATTTTGTTTTTCTACTCTGTTGTAAATTTCAGGTTCGTAACATATGTTGTAACGTTAGGTTTAACTTCGGGTCAGGATAAAATTCTCTGTGGTGATCTCATGTTCAGCGGTCACACCGTTGTGTTAACGATTATGTATTTTACCTTACTTCAGTATACGCCAAGGAGATTGGTCTATTTGCGGTTAGTATTTTGAATTGTGAATTAAAAAACGGCAGTAATACCGACACAACTTTGAAATATACTGTAAGTTGATAATTTATGACGAAGGTTTTTAGGTACATCGCAGCACCGTTAACATATATTGGAATAGCAGCACTTGTCATTTCGGGTGGTCATTATACAATGGATGTACTTATAGCTTATTGGCTAACCAGTCATATCTTTTATGCTTACCATCAAGTTTTTGCAATGCCAAGGTTTGTTTTTACAAGAACCTAAAAGATTTTCTTATTGGTTTTGTTCCCAATTTACTAATATTTAATGGTTAAAGTAAATACATCTGCTGAAACTGACTGACAAAGTTAACTTTATATTTTCTTTTCGATTTTTATAATATCACTGCATCATTTATTGTACATATGAGCTCTGAACTGCTTTTTGGAAGTACAGTGCGTAAGTTTGGTGATTTTGACATTCTATATTTTTTAGGGTTGAAAGGACCAAGGCGCCTCTTTCTCATTTATGGTGGTTTTGGTTATGCTATTGGTTCGAAAGTGATGTACCTGATGGTGTATTACGAAACGAATGGGAATGGCCATTACCGGGCCCAGTCTGCGTGCATCATTTTGTCCAGCGAATAAGCGATAAACTACAATAGTATGATCATTGCTGAGTTTATGTTGAACAGTTTCAAAGTTCTGCTTTTTTTGTTTATCTTTTTTCTATCATTTAGCTACATTCTGCAGTTAACACCTAAAAGTATTCTTGTGAAAAGTTAAGAAATTTGCCATTTTTACTGCAGTTTTAAAATACCCAAAAACTAATATCTTCCTCCATTTCCAAATAAAATTTTTATTTGAAACTTCTAAAAGTGCAATTTATATCCAGGAATATACTCTCATCACGATTTACTGTTAAACATTTTGTATAGTTTTAAGAGAGCGCATTAATCCACCCAGTCATTTACTCATAATTTTTGTACTTCATTATCTTGGAAGAAAATATTAGTCTTGAAGAAAAAGTTCTCATATAATAGGTGCTATTTTTATAATGCTATAGATGTGCAAAGTTCCGTCCTACTTATTAGCAGATGTAGTTACAAAGTATTTTGTTTCTCTTTCTTTTTTAATTGTTTCAATCTCTGTTCATCTTTTGTACATATTTCCAATATTACGTGTTCTGTTATCTAGATTGCTTATTTGGAGCAATATTCACTCGAAATTTCAGGTATAATTCAGAATTTGCGTAACTTTGACGTCTGCAATAGGGGAAATCCGGTAGTAGTTGAGACAAATAGGCCATACCGTATGCAATATTCTATATCATGCTTTATGAAGTTCATTTCCAGAAACCGTCAAAGTTTCGGAGTTCTGTGTTGCATAAATCAAGTCATACTTGTAAGATAGTTTTTGTTAGTTTAGTTGTCTGTATATTCATTAGAAGCTTGTTTTTTTTTTTTTTTTTTTTTTTTTAATATTATTGAAATTTCAAGCCTAATGAATTTGTCTTTGCTGCACTGGAATACCTGGTCAGTTTTTGAATATTTCGAAATCTTTTTGTCGGTCTAATGTTGCGTTTTTATAACTTATTTATATCCATTTTTCATATGTTGTAATATATGTTCATAGACCGCTAAAAGAGTATGATTTAAGCATGCTTTAAAGGATTTGCTCTATTGTCGTACTCATTTACGTTTTATGAACTTATTTGTATCCTCACTTTCTTAAGCGCTCTGGTACATAAGAGACACTAAGTTTTCTTCTAAAGAGCAGAATGAAATATTCATGTTCATAAAATATTGTCCCAGTAGGACGTTTTTTTTTTTTTTTTTTACTGTTATTAATTTGCTGCCCATTTAATTTGTAAAAAGTAGTGAATTTATTCAGGAGGCTATATGCTTGCCACTTTCTGTTCCAATATATAAAAGAATTTTCCGTTTATATTTAAAGCTTGTTTCTTTCACTTTTTACACTTATTTTTTGCTCTCTTAAAAAAAAAGAAAAAAAAAACGACTTAATGCATGCACTTTTTCTTCTCTTATAGAATTATCTGGCAGTTGTATTTCCTCCATACATTCAGTTAGTTTTCAGATATTGACAGCTTCATAAAAGTTAATATTTGATGTGAAGTTTTTGCTTATGCTGTTTAAATTTTGGGAAATGTGAGTGAGTTACGAAACTCAAACAATTAAGAATTCAAAGAGAATCATAAACTTTGGTTAGTGTTTGTTTAGCTTACTACTAGTCAATGTGATATACAGGAATGATGTTGTAGTGTCATCGGTACAACACTACGAATACATTCAAAACCATGCGAATTTATTTATCTTCCATAAGTTCTCCAGCTTATCACTTTATTCTTCCCTCCATTCTAACTGATTGATTACACCATAGAACTTCTCCTATTGTTGTTCGAATAGTGTGGGATTTGTTTTCATTGCGTTCCACACCAACACCTGTGCTACAACAACAGAACATTTGCTGTTATTGTTGTCGTTGCTGCTACTGCTAGGCAAGATCTGTTGATACGGATTTCTTCCGGTGTGTATTCAGTGAGGTAACATTTCAGGATTAAGCATTGATATTTAAGATATGGTATTTGTCTTTCTAATTGGAAATGGTAGTTGTCTTGTGAAAGATTTGGTCATTAATATTAAAATATAATAAAAATTCTTAGTTTGCAAATCAGGTTGCTGATTTGATTGTCATCCTTTAAATTTCTTTTTTAGACAATAATTTGTATTTGGGGATGTGATCTTTTTCTTTGAAATGAATTCCATTTCGATATAATGTTTGGGGTTGAAGCTTTGAAAGATTCGCGAGAGTTCTCAGAAGCCCGTTTTGGTGATGTCAGTACCGTACAAGGAGCTAGTATTGGAAAGGTAATTACGACTTTGCAATTTCTTTTTTTTTTTTTTTTTATATTTGCTAGTTCAGGTCACAAAGGTTCACGCTTGAATGTTGAATTTAGTTTATACTTCTTTTTATTTTAAGTGATGCTGTTTTTATCACTGAACTTCAGTTGTGTAGCTGGTTACTGACTCATATGCAGAAGTTGCAGAAAATTTATTCAGAATAATCTTTCTCTCGATTTTCCAACTCTCTACGGTTAACTATGACCCAACGAATTGGTCATTTTGTATTTATCTTGCAGGAAACACTTCTGGCCAATTTAGGGCCATTCGCAGATCTGTTAGATCAATATGCCAGCATATGTAATGAAGTTATATCACTCTTTGCAAATGTCATCTTACGATTACTGGAAACAATCAATAATATTGGGTCACCCTTGGAAGTGTTAGCAAGTTCTTGCTCTTTTTTACTTATTTTACTGTATTCAATCTTTCATCTTCTCATTCATGAAATCACTTGTTTAATAGCTTGGCCGTTTTGCGCTTTGCTAAATTTGTTAATCTCCCATCCATTTATACTAACAGTGATTTCCTTAATTTCGATCCTTACTTGTACTGCGTTTATCATTGTCATTAAGCAAATCTCCATTGTGCAATTTGGCAATGCTTCGATACGATTTATTGCCCTGAATTGTCGATGCCTCACCCATACTGCTTTTCTTTATTTGTATCCATTAATTGTGAATGTGCTAAATTTACTGCTTTTGCCGGTGAGTTTTTTATGCGATCTATGCATGAAATTAATAGGGATGATTCCAATTTCCAGATCAAATCGATTAAGAAGACATTCTTCGAATTGTGGTGCTGACGATATAAGTCGGATTACTTGTTGCATTTGTTTCATCCATGAGAAATCCATTTTACTGCAGCCTTGTAACCACATTTGTGTTTGTGCTAATTGCGTTGAAGAATTGTTAGAAACCTATGAGGAGCCGTTATGTCCATTGTGTCGTTCCGTCATTACATCCTATGTTGATGTCTATATTTAGTATATAAAGTAAACACGGGATAGGTGATAATCTATTGAAGATGGTATGATATCAGTGGTTATTATTAGACAGGAATAAAGTATAAGTCATTTTAATGAATTTAATTTTAAAGCAAAAAGATTGCAACTTGTAAGTTATATGGTGAAGCAAATATGAAATGAAATTAGTGTATAAAGTAAACACAGGGATAGGATTAGAACTACTCTCGGGGAAATGCAAGTATTATTTAGGGAATCAAGTTAGGTAGAGAACAAAAATGTAGTAAATTATACATAATGGTCAGTTTTGTCGTAAGCAATGGTTGTTCAAACTCAAATCTTTGAACAAACTCGTATGTTTGATAACACATCATTTTTTCCCATGTGAGGGTCATATATTTTGTAACATCAGAAATGATTTCTTTTGATTTCCCCATCTGTTGTTTTGAGTTTGATTTCTAAAATTCTCAAGCTGTGGTTTTTGTCCATCCCTGTCTACCTCAGTTTTTTTTGCAGATTTACCTACAGTAATGTCTGTTTGTATTTATACTATTGTATTATTACACTGTTTCATTGCAGACATTTTTTTATACTATGTGTTTCATTTATCGGTGCTGTTGTCTGAACATACATTTTAGTGAATTGGAATTAAGAAATGTTGTGAAATCCGTAAATAATTTTAAATAGTATTTGTAAGTATAAATCAGGAATGCTTGTATATATATATATCCATATATGTGTTTCCTCAAAACAGTATTTTTAGTATTGAGAGCTGCTTATTAGCTTATGTCCATCATTAAATACGCCGTGATTGAGAATATACTGCATTATACCATATTTTATTGTGTTTTGCATGAAGTATTGTCAAGAAAATATTTACCGTTCTTGCTTTTAAATTTATTGCGTAAATTTGATTAGAGAATTCAGGGTTTATTAATCTTTTTTATTGTATTGTAAAATCGCGCAAAATATAGTCTTTGACGGATGGTTTTATTCAGTTACTGCCTTCAATAATGGAGACACATTTTCATTTTATCAAGAAGACAATCATGAAGCTTTTAAAAAAGTTTTTCCAATTTTTACCGAATTTGGAATATTGATTGATGTGAAAAGAGCATATTAGAATCAAAATCAGTCGCTCCCTCACACAATGCTTTCTGGTAATTTTGTCAAATTTTGTACATCCTTAATCAGTGCTATAACTTTTTTCATCCATTTGCGTTGCATTGACTGCCAAAGTATTGTTTTCTCTTTTAAAAGCTTATTTCAGCGTTGAGCATAAGGATTTTAATTCTTTGAACATTGAAAATTGTAGCGAATGTAACATTATAACTGCATAACAGCTGCATTGAGTATTGCTAATTCATAGAGCAGATCAAATGTTGCAAAAATGCAGTGGACGTATTAGTGTAGTGTTGAATTGGTAGTTGTGTAATTGCCAGAATAAAATATATTATTAGATGTGCGTAGAGCAAAGTTTAAAATGATTGATAAATGAAATTGAAAAAATGCTGGAAAACAAATTGTGAACTTCAAATATTAAATTCGTTTAAGTCTTTTGATTATTACCTTTGAATTGTCATTTTCCATTAAGCTGTTATTGATTATTGCTGACATTTGTTTCGTTGAGTTACTTTGAAAACATTGTTTCTTGAGTATTTCATATTGCCGCGATTAATTAAGCCTCGTAGACAGTTACAAATTTGCTTCTTGCGAGAGACAAGTGCAGGAGAGATTCTATAAGGGTTTTTTTTTTTTTCTTTTTTGCAAGCATAGAACAGTAGTATTGTATCGATGAAGGACATTTCGTTTAAAAAAATGCTTCTACAAAAAATGAATTTAATTTTGACTTATTTCAAAGTACTGACGCAGTCTTTTCCATTTCTGGGTGAAATAGAATTGGTCCGATGCGTTGGGAATTTTCGGATGATTTCGATGAATGCGAAAGCAAATGATATTTGCCATTTAAACTCAATACTGAATCTGTCGTGTCCCGCTCTGAAAATTTTTTTTTCTTTTTTTAATTTGAGAAACTTTAAGATAAAAGTGCGGAAGAAAGCTATTCTTGATGTAATTGTTTACATTGATGAGAATTGCAAGTAATTAATAAAGAAAGAAGGAAAAAAAAAGAAAACATTGATATCAATAATAGATGATTGAGGATTTATCAATTTCTGCAAAGCGAGAAAACGACCTCCTTCATGATCTATTTCATTCTTATCAGATTTATCACTTTGTATCTTTGAGTTAATGATCGTAGAAGTTTTGGTCTCATCACCGATTTGTCCGAATGATGACAGGAACCTTTGGCGCCAGATAAGAATTTGGTTTTCCGTAAATTTCAGTTCGACTTTCCCAAATGCCCACTTTACTTTAACTTTACCCATTCTCTGCAATAATAATATTCACAATAAGTAATAAAACTTTCAATTTAATAATTATTAATATTTATAAGAATAATGTTTTTTTTTTTTATAAAAGTTGCATGATATCTTGGCAATATTTTCGATGTAATTTTATGTTTTTTTTGAAATATTACTGATAAATTAAATTACAAAAATGTGTGAAAGTGTTTGGCATCCTTTCCTGATCAGTGATTAGATAAATTTACTCCAATCAGTGAATGATTAGATAAACCTACTTTATTTGCGGAAGTTTTCTTGCGTGATATTCTCATGTATATAGCAGAGCTTAAATTGAGAACAAAGCCTGCAACTTTGAAAATCATTGAAACAAATTGCAAGAGTTATGGAAAGAAGAAATTCAAAAAAAAAGAAAAAACTATTCATTTCGAATATCATTAAAATTATTTACTTTTATTTTTCAAAAATGTATTAATCAATCGTTAGTGCAAAGAATAGATTAGCTGAGCAAAAGTCTAATTTTAAAGTCAAGAAAACATTATTATCACAAACTGAAATAACAATATATTTCATTTGGTAAATTAAACTTTCAACCTGTTTTTGAAATGTGTTATTCCTTTATTAGTAATTAAATCTTTGTACTATTTACCAAAATAAGACTTTTTGGTAAATATCTAATAGTTGAGCAAAAGTTTTGATAACTGAATTACTGAACATAATAATGCTAAGAAGCAGTGATGATTTCATCATTATCATTCTCTAAATGATAATGATTTTATCAGATTCTCAGATGCATCCTTCATTACCCTTTTCAGGAGTTATAAAAATAATGAGAATATCATCGCTTGTTCGAATAACATAGCATAAATGCCATCCAGTGATAGGCTGTCTTTGTAAGCAACAAATTTTATTACTATTAATTTTAGTTAGCACTTTGCCATGTTCCATATATTTACACTTATCAATTGGCCAAGATTCTATTGGTGGTAATTCTATAAGCTGAAAAATATTTATTTAAAAAAAAAAAAAGAAAAATTTTTTTTTCCTTTTTTGACTGGGAAAAATTATTCAATTGACAAATGCTGCTTAGATCAAATTTGAGATTCTGCATTATATCTGAATGGATTAATCTATAATTAATTCAAGAATTCTTCAAAATCATTGAATTCTTAAATTTCATCGATAGCATAAACAATCATATCTTATCATGCAAAATATCAAGATAGCAAAAGTAGAGAGAGGTTTAATCAAAAGTAATCTAAAATTAAAACTTACTGTTTTAAGATCTTCGCTGAATTCCACCATCTTTGGACTATAGCATTCCGTCATATTCTTATCAGATGAATTTGATCAAAAGCAACCAGCCAATGTGAATTAAATTTGACAATGAATTGAAGCACAGTAATGTCTTCTTTTTATACTGTTTTGAATTTTCATTATGCAAAATTTGAATATTTGAACTTTTTTTTTTTTTGCGTACAACAATTTGCATACTTAAAAATTTGTAAAAAATTTGCACAATTAAAAATAAACAAAACTGTTAAGTTTATAATTTAGTTATTTCAAGTTTATATTTCAAAGTAAATTATTGATAACGAAACGCTGTATGAAAAGTTAAAAGATGACGCATGAAGAACATGAACTGAATGAAACTAGGGAAATTGAAAGGTAAAGAAAGCAAATTTTAATTAAATTTTAATTTAAATGCGCTTTTTTACCTTAATTATATTTCTTTCTTCTTCTCATTGCTTACCTACAATCTTCTTTTATGTTACATTAACATAGTCATTTATACTTCTAATTTTTCATAATTAAAATTATTTATTAACAATTTTACCTTTAGGTTATATTATAAACTGAATACGCCGAGAAGTCGATCAAGGCTATGTTTCTTGTTTTATTTATTCATCATTCCACTTTTTATCATTATTGGTGGTGTTACTTTTTCGGTAAGTTATTTATCAACTAATCAAATAACTTATCAATAGGGACAATTTCTGACATTCAATTATTAAAATGTAAACAGTATTAATTAATTTTAGGTAAAGAAGTTAGTTAATTTAGTCCGTTTCAAGTAAATCAGAAAATTTGCAGTTATCAGAATTAGTCGCATCACAAGAAGCAGAAATAGGAAATGCTCAAGTATGCGTAGCTGAAAGAAAAAAACTAATGGAAAATTTAAAAACATCGCTAGAAGATAATTTCTCAATAAATTATAGAACATTGCAAAATTTTACGAATATTTGGCAATCAATTCAGGATACTGTTATCGAAGTTTTTATCACTTAAACATTTTTTAAATATCATTAAAGGGACTAATCATAGTTGTTATGATTATAATTTTTTTTTTTAAAAAAAAAACAATAATAATATGCTTTAATATGATTAATTGCAAAGATAGAGTATGTTTCCTACTTCGTAAAATATCTTAAAAAGTTTTTTTTTTTTCAATTCTTACTTTTAGATTGAAAATTGCCATCGAAAAAAATTATTCGAATTGCTACCAACGGAAACATTTGCTTTTGGAAATGCAGCACTGTACTCATTTGGTGTATACACAACGATCGGTTATGGAAATTTGGTAAATTTGAATTAAATCTGAATAAAAGATTGTTTCTTTGTTAAATTGATAAATTATTTGTCAAAATTGAATTTTCATATTATTTTTGAATAATATTTTACATATATCTTTGTTATTACAATTAGTTATAAGCAAAAGTTATTTCTTTAGAAAGTTTAATATTCTTTAATCTTTACTATTTGTTCATGTTTACACTTTCAAGTTTTATTATCATTCATAGTAATAATTTGTTTAAATATGCTAAATCATATAAAAAAATAAAAAATAATTAATGAATAAATTAATTTGTTGAAAAATTTTCTTTTAAATTTCTTCAATCTTTGCTCAAAAATTATTAATTAAATTAGCTTAACAAATTGAAAATTAGTAATTAGAGAAGTGAAAGGGAAGAAAAAAAAAAAAAAAAAACAAAGTGTGAATAAATCAGTTTTAATTAAATATTATTAATTAATTATAATTAATTAACATTTCTTTAAATTTAATGATTCCAATTATAAGTATTTCAGTTTCCACACACTGTACAAGGTCGTATATTAACTGTAATATACGCTGTCATTGGCATTCCCTTAAATGTGGCATTTATCTCAGATCTTGGAGAATTAATTGCTCGAACAGTACAACGTGCGCTGCACTGTTTTCAACGACGTATTCTAAATAAGTAATTAATTATATTCTAATTAAGTATTTATATTCCAGAATTTAACTTTTATTCCAATTAATAATAATAATAATAATCAATTTTCATTATTTCATTTCTTTTCTCTTTTTTTTTTTTTTGTTTTTAGAACAACAGAAGATCCATGTATCGAATATAAAAAATTTGCATTAATTGTATTAATTGCATTCTTGCTTACTCCAATAATTGCTATTATTGTTATGGTGATTATTCATTTTATATTTTTTTTTTTTAATAATTATATTTAAATATATCTTATAAATATATTTAAATATCATTAAATTATTTAAAGCCACTTATTAACTGAATAAAATTTATATTTATCATTAAATTTCAACAAAATTTTTACTTATCATAATAAATTAATGTTTCTTTTTTTGCTAATTAATTTTGTATATTAATTTTTAGGAAGCAGAGCGTTCAAGAAATTGGAATTATATCGATTCATTATATTATACATTCACGACGTCAACATTAATTGGATTAGGCGATTTCACCCCTCAATCATCTTATATTCAATTTTTTGTTTTAATCCCACTTTTCTTTATTGTTGAAACTTTATTTGCATTAGCGCTTGGTTTTATTACGGTAAAATTTTGCTTTGTTTTTTTTTTTTTTTTAAATTTTTTATTAAAAAGTATCAGAAAATTAGAAAAACAAAGATTATTTGCAATAAATCACATCAATAAATGTTTATTTCTGATTGTATTTCATTTCTTTTTCATATTTTCATCAAAATTATATCTCAAAGCAATGAAATTTATTTGATTATTACATATATAAATAGCAACTTAATGCTTACAATGTTGTTTAAAATTAAAATTTTTAAATTTAACTATTAATTAGTATGTGTTTGTTATTTGCTATAAATTGATCAAGGAAAAAAAAAAGGAAATTTTTAAGATTTGATGAGATTATTTTTTAATTTAATAGATTGATTCATTCATATGGCTTATTAGTTCATAATACTTATTGTTATCCTGAAATGATAAGTTATGATAAGTTACGCAGAGCGCAAATGTGAATTTGAGTAGACCTTAGAGAATTTGAATTGTATTTTAGATTAGATACGGATTTTCAATTCTTCAATAATAATTACTTTGAATATTTTCTTTAACTTCAATTTTATTATTTAAATGTGAAAATTTTTTAATTATTAAAAAATCAAAGTAATTAAATATGAATATTTTTGATTTATTATTCCATATAAATCTAACAAATAAGTAGAAAGAATATCTGTTGAATAGTTGAAAAGAATTTCAACAATTATTCAAAAAAATTTTTTTTTCCTTTTAATTAACGATTCAGTTATTATCAATTAACAATTTTTATTATTTTATTTGCAGCATCTGTACCGATATGAATCAGTAATACTGTTCAAATTAATTAAACACAAAATTTCGAGATTTTTTTTGCATCGTCGTTTACAGTTCATAAAAAGTACACTTCATGGAGAAGATTTGCGGAACACACAAGAATTTATTAAATTAAGTACTGATTTACTGAGTAGTAAAGTAGTAAATTAAGCAAATTAAATTGAGTTTAATTTAATAATTTAACAAAAAATTTAATTTTGCTTAATTTGATAACAATTATTTGTTATATTTCATTATTTTGTACAAATGTTTGAGAAAGTACAAAAAAGAGTGATCGTTTCTGTTTCTGTTTTTTTTTTTTTTTTCCTCTCTCTCTTTTTTGTTCATTTTTCACATTTATTATTTAACTCTTCATGAATTGAAAAATTAAAATGAAATCGATTAATTAATTAATTAATTAGTAAATTATTTCTCAGATGCAGAAAATGATGCAACAAATGGTACTTTAACTGCTGATGCAAACATTGATGATGCAATTGCTAAATTATCTGCTCGTGAAATGCGTATGGATGAAAAAATTGACAGAGTTAGTTAAATTTACATCATTTTAACAAAATTTAATTAATACTATATTTAATAGAATTTGTTTACATATAATAATGATTTTATTTATTTATTTATTTTTTTTTTTATTTAGGAAATACAAATGTTAGAAGCAATACCAAGTCAAATTGATGTGGGAATATTGAATGCACAAATGAAAAGTATAACAATAAAATTATTTTTTGTTCTGAAAAAAAATTTTTTTTTTTTTTTTACCATTTTTAAATTTTTTCATATTTTTAAACTTTTTAATGATAGCACAAAAAAATTTGCACTCATTAAACATTCTATTAAGCTGTATAAATTTTTTTTAAAAAAAAAAAGATGAAAAGAATGAAAAAATTGATTAAATTATTAGAAAATGAAAATCTGTTAAGAAAATAAATTTTATTTTAACACTTTCAGTTGTCTTACATTTATAGGTGATAGTGATGATAAGCAAAGATTTCGTTATACAATGAAGAATTGGTTGAATCATAAAGAAAATGAAAATATGAAATAATTTCAAATGTATAAATTTAAAAAAAAAAAAAAAAAATTTGTTAAATTTTAATTTCAAATTTAAAATTTTGTTAAAAACTTCTGTTAAGAATAAACAATTTTATTGATTTGATAATTTTATTAATTAAATTAAATAATTTATGCAAAGTTACATTGCTAAGCATTATTTTATTGTCGTTTTTTTTTTTTTTGTTTTGTTAAAAAGATACTTGAAAGTTTTATCACTGAGTACTTACATTTTATTTTATTTATTCAAATTAGAAAGAAAAAAAAAAACATTTTAGTTAAACATTTCCAAATTACAAGTTAGCTAAATAATTATTAGCACTTCACCAACACATTGAGCATATCTGTAGACAAATGTTAAAAAATGAGAACAATACAAATCATCAAAGATAATTTGATATTATCATATCAGTGTTATCTAGTGGTGTTATTGAGACCAATTTAGAACAAAAATTTAGATTATTTTTTCTTTTTTTTATGAATTTAGCTAAATGCTTTATGTATTACTGTTATCTAAATGTTATTTAAAAAAAAAAAAACAAAATTAACTTTTCTTACAATTTCGAGTTGGCTTAGACTTAATTGATTCCTAATCCTTATAAGTTCATAAAAATATAAATGATAATAAGATGTGATAAATGTATTACAATTTGAAAAAAAAAAAAAATAAATGATGTGACAACAGTGAAAGTAAATTTTTTAAATTGAAAAATTAGAAAGGAAAATATGTGACATAATATTAGCATTAGCATAATAAATGAAATATAAAGCATTAAGGAATATTATCGATATAATTAAAAAAAATTGATAAATGAGTAATTATACTTAAAATTCTTTCGCTTAGAAATGAGAATGGGTAATATTTATTTGAATAACTTTTTAGAATTGATTAAATTTGCGGAAAAAATTTAATGAATTCCAATAAAAACTAAATCTCACACCAATAATATAATAATAATAAATTGAAAATAGTTTAATTGAATTTTTACATTAAAATTGAATAAAGCAATAACTGTTACTTTTTTCAAAAAAAAACTCTTTTTTGCTGCAAATATATTTATGTTTGTTAAATACAATCTCTCAAATTTCTGAATAAATTAGTATTTTTATAATTGAATTTGATAATTAAACTAAATTAAGAAATTAATTGAATTGAAATACTTTAAGTAAGTATGAAAATAACAGCAACAGCAATATGAAGGTACATCTTATCAAAATGGACCCGCTCCAATACAATAAACATCAATGAGTGAGCGCACATTGCTTATTTATCATCATCTCCTGAATATTTCAAGAGATTCTCGAAGATGTTCATAAGAGCAGGTGAAATTTCATCAGCCTAGTTACAATCGACTGGAGACAAGCTTAGTCATTATGGATTGGACAAGCCTAGTCATTATGAACTGGACAACTGGACAACTGAACAAGTGAATATAGCACATCATTTTAAAAGGAGTAAATTACAAGAAAAAAAAAATATTATACATCGATTAATTATTTTTTGTTTCAGCTTCATTGAAGATTGTTACAGTAGTAAAATATTCATTGCTAAAGCATCGTATCACTCAAATTAATTAAAAGTAGAAAAAGGAAACCGGAAAAACCGGATGTATCAGGATTGTGGTTCATACCCCTTTAAAGGATATCGGAACCTAAGTGGTATTCGCTCACAAGGATCTAACAATGAAATTAATTGTGGTAACCATAAAAGCGCATGAGTTAATCCAATTACATTAACAAGCATCACAGTTTGAAAGAAGACGCGTACCAGGTAAGCAGGTATTAATGGCAATGACAACATGGAAAATAAAGTGGAACCACCAGCCTGTAATACTGGCCAACCAACCATCATTAAAGATTCTCGTACCTGAAAATATGCAAATTTATGATACCGTTCTTTTCAAATAATTTATTAAAATTTATTCTATTATACCTTTAAAAAAGAAATATTCAAACATCAAAAAAAAAAAGAAAAATGGTTCAATTCAAATTATATAATTTATTTTTAAAACATAAAGCACAAAACCTTTTCATTTGCTGTTTTTTGAGATGATCGATGATATCTATAGCAAATATGTATGGAAAAGTCAACTGCTAAACCAATAGCCATAACAATACAACCCATTGAAACTGAATCTAAATCACTACCCCAAAGTGATAAACCACCACAAACACCCATTGAAATAGATAATAAACTCCAAGTCATGAAGAACACTGATTGCTAAAAATGAAAATACTTGAAGACAAGCATCAATGAAATTAAATTTAGAAACAAAGTAATTTAGTTCAATTCTTTTCTTTTTCTTTTTTTTTTTTTTTGTTTAAATTTTCAAATTCTTAAACGGAAAAAGAGTAAAAATGTTATATATTGGCAGATATCAAATATCAAATATTACTGATATATGAAATTTAAAAAACGATACATATTTCCATATTTATTTATTTACTTATTTACCTTATCAGGTAGGAAAAAGACAGATAAAATTGCCATAACAGAAATTGCTGATCCAATTGATTGCATAGAAGACGGTGCTATGCTTTTACGTTGATCAATCAGAAATGGTGAAAAAATGCCAGCAAGAAAGATGTCAAAATCAGAATATTCTGCGATCATTGCACGCCATCGATATAGTTCATTCTATAAATAATACAATTTAATTATAAAAATTTCATTTTATTTCATTTTTTTTTTGCTTTTTTATTGTTTTGAAAATTATGTGTGATATTTTAATTAATAATACTAATAATTATAATTTTTGGTTATAATTTGCAAATAATTTAAGAAATCTAAAAGTAGCTTTGAATATTTTTTTTTTATTCTTTATGGAAAGTATCACTCGTAAACTGATCATATATTTAAATTAATTGGACCACTTTTTTCTTTTCTAATTTCAAAAAAATTTTTTTTTTTTTTTAATTTTTCTAATCAAAGTTTTTTTCTAACTTACATGTCGTTTCTCCCATGAATCAAGTCCATAAAAACTAGTTTGAAATGCAAAAGCTGCTATACATGGCTCTCCATTTGTCACATTGCTTTTCATTTTTACGTAAGCTTAAATTGATGAAAGTTTTCATATTTATTTCAAATTCTTAACTAAATTAAATTATTTCGTTTCATATTAAAGCATCAATTTTCATTAAATCATTTATGTTATTTTGATAAATAAATGAATAATTTGTATGTAAAATGCAAATGCTAACAATAAAATGTTTTTTATATTAGTGAAAAAAGAAAACAAATTTACTTCTGTATTGTTGACTATCGGATTGATCAAAAAAATCAATCAAATATTTCTTTTCATAGAAATTTTTGGTATAATTAATATTTGGAAAATCATTTAGAAATCGCTGATATTCCCAGAGCCAAAAATTTGTTGATACTCGTCCAATGCTATAAGTTGTATGTTCGAGACGATAGATTAATTCGTTCATTCGAGCTCGTGCTTCTGTCGTACGAAAATCCGGTGGATTCATCACGTGAAACACGGGCATCACGTTATCAGCCCAAATATATTTATCTAATTGAAAATCATATATTATTATCTTTTTTTGCTAACTCAAATTTTCACATTAATAATTCGCAATGAAATAACATTCATTGGTTCATAATTGATGAATGTACAATAGTTATTGTTATTGAAAATTTTAAATAGAATCGAAGATATAATATAATTAAGAAAATATAATTATCAATTTCTTTATCATAAAAGATGTCATAGATTAAGAAAATATGATTATCAATTTTATTAAGAAAATATAATTATCAATTTCATTATCATAAAAGATGTCATAGATTAAGAAAATATAATTATCAATTTTATTAAGAAAATATAATTATCAATTTCATTATCATAAAAGATGTCATAGATTAAGAAAATATAATTATCAATTTTATTAAGAAAATATAATTATCAATTTCATTATCATAAAAGATGTCATAGATTAAGAAAATATAATTATCAATTTTATTAAGAAAATATAATTATCAATTTCATTATCATAAAAGATGTCATAGATTAAGAAAATATAATTATCAATTTTATTAAGAAAATATAATTATCAATTTCATTATCATAAAAGATGTCATAGATTAAGAAAATATAATTATCAATTTTATTAAGAAAATATAATTATCAATTTCATCATCATAAAAGATGTCATAGATTAAGAAAATATAATTATCAATTTTATTATCATAAAAGATATCATAGATTTTGATCATTTGCAAGAATTTCTCTTTTCCTGCAAATTCTTGTAATTGATCAAAACCTTATCAGATCTGATTAACTGTACATTTCAATTTCTTACATCCATTATACAATCTAAGTATTTTAGAAATTTTATAGATTAAAGCTGAAAAAAAAGAAAAAATTCAACTCACCAGCAAGATTAATAAAAGGTTGAATGGGTGAATCATCACGAATATACTTTCTAGGACTTATGTCAACTGAAATAGATATACAACCATAAATTGCTAATGAAGCATAAATGAGGAAAGCAATCATTGAAATAATTCGAACATCTTTACGTAATATGAATGGAGCATAGGTGTCACCAAACCATCGATGAATGTAAGGTTCTGAAACAAAAGAAAGTTTGAAAAAAAATTTACAATAATTTTATGACAAATAACTTTTTGTTTTTTGTTTTATTGTTTTTATTGTTTAACTACTAGTGTCCTCTCTCTCTCTCTCTTTTCTAATTTATGAGAACTATTTAGCTTTTTTTATTATTTTATTAACTATTTTGTTTAATTCATATTTAATCCTATAATCGCTATAAAACTTTTATTTTTTTCAACAAATTATTTTATATTAATAAGAAATTTACGTTGCATGTAGTGATCGTTTGTTGTATTTTTTCTTGATTTTAATTTATAGCAACATGCTAATAAGCCACCATCAGCTTCTTTTCGACCACCGTAAACCATAACGGATGCGTAAAATGTTATTTGGAAGAGATAATCCATCATAATACCGGTAGCCGTTAACAGACAAAAATCCGAAACAGCCGGAATTGGACATAAGAAATAACCAAGAGCTGAAATTTTCTTAAAAAATTTAATGAAATTCTTTTAATCTTAAGCTTTCATTGTTTTAAAATTTAAATTTACATGTAGTATTCTGTGATATGTAATTCAATTTTGTCATCCTTACTCGAAATAAAAGTATAGGTTAAGGTTTTTCATAGTAATTAATAACAATTAAAATTGTTAAATCAAGATTTACACTTTTTTTTTTCTTTGAATTTTTAGCTTTAATAATATAAACTTGAAGAAATTTGGATATCACAGATGATTTGTTTTTTGCTTTCTTTGGCTTCTTTTATGGGCAATTTATGGGTATGACCTTAATTTAAAAGCATAACAGTTTACCCATCAAGTTTTATCCAATCATAAAACATAGGTAAAATTTTTTTCTAAAGAAAACTGTTGTAAGAAGAAAAAAAGAAAAAAACTACCGCAAATCATATTTATTATTTTAATTTTTAGCATTTGAATTTAAAATAACAAAAATTTCAACAAAATATTATATTCAATCATTTATTTATTTATTCCATTAAAAAAAAAAAAAAAAACTAAATAAATTTACCAAAACAACCGAAATCAGTAACCGATGTTACAGTAATGGATAAACCGGCATCACTCATTGTTAGCGCCATGCGTTCCTCAACCAATAAGCGCCGATTAGTGGTACGCCAAGCGCCTAACATCAGGAATGCATCATCAACACCTTAACAAAAGTGTAAATAACTGAAGAAGAAAAAAACTTATTAATAATTAGATATTAAATAAATGTTTTTTTTTTTCTTTCAAAGTATTACCAACTGCAAGGATCAAAAATGGCATTGTGCATGATACTGGATTGAAAGGCATTCCAAGACGAAAGAGCAGTCCAAAAGTACAAATTAGTGATAAGATAACTGATATCACTGCCAGATAACCTTCCACTGGTTTTGATCTTAAAAAAAGGGAAAAAAAATTTTTTTTTTTTTTTTTTTCAAATAAAAATTGAATATATATATATATGTGTGTAGTAAAGAGAATAATTGTTGATTTAATGTTTAATTTAAATGTTTGTTTATTTCATTTTTGTAAATTAAAATTTCAAGAATGTTTCTTTCTCTCTTCATTTAGATTAATATCAATGAATGATAAGAGTTGACGTTAATGTCACTTTTAATGTGTCCTTTCCATCTTATCACTGACATATAAATTGTATTGTTGATGTCCTTTAAACTTGTTTTGAATGCATCAAGCAAAATGATGCATTTTCTTTTATAAGAATGAAATCCTTTAAACGGAAACGTTTATCTTTTCATATTTATGAAAAGATAAAATGAAATATTAAATTTTTGCTATTTTTTAATTCATTTTTATTCTTGCAATAAACAAATGCAAATTAAAATGCTTATTTGCAGCTAGTGATTGGATGCAAAGTTTGACATACAAAAGTGATAAGTTGTATCTATTGAAGATGATATGATATCAGTGGTTATTATCAGACAGATGTAAGATATTAGTCATTTTAATGAATTTAATTTTGAAGCAAAAAGAAGCAAATATGAAATGAAATGAAATGATTACTTGATAATATCTCTGGAATAATTTGAAAGAACGACGAAAAGCATCAATTGCAATGAAACAACAGCTGCAAATGGTAGTGCTACTTCGATAATCAAAAGTAATTCATCGTTCATTGCTTTATCACTAAAAAATTTTGATATTTCTGATAATAACAATTATTTTTTTATTATGTTAAAGAACAAAAATATAAAACTGAAATTTATTCATTGGAAGATAATAGAAAAATTGAATTAAATAAATGATTATTGTATTAATTTATGTATAAATTGTTAATTGTAATTAAATTAAAGAGAAAGTAATATAAAAATAAATATTTGAATATAACAATAATCTATTGAGTTAAGTAAAGTATTTTAAGTAAGTGAAATAAATGATTAGAAGAAAAAAAAAAATAAAATGAAAGATGAAAAAATGTTCATTTAAAATTTAAAAAAAAAAAAAAATACTTACTTATGTGGAATGAATTTAAGCTTCGATTCATTCTTTTTGGAAAGCCAAAAATTATCAAGTGCTTTTCGAAATGCTACATAAGCTTTCTCTTTTTCAGGTGAACTCTTGAAATTGATATACCAATGTACTGTTACCACTTTTGCACTACTTATTTCACGTTTTCGACCAGTTACATTTACACCATAAATCACCTAAAATACATTTGAAATTTTTTGTAGCGTTTAAAATTTAGATAAATATGGTGAATTATTAAATGGCTCACTTGACCAATATCCTTTGGTCGATTAAATAAATACATAACCGGATATGATAGTTGTAAATTTGGATTTGAATTAGCTTTTCCGTCACGGAAAAGTATTTCTGCATGCTTTAGCCAAACATTCAATTCATTTGAACATTTCTAAATTGTTATTAAATAATATTTTATTTCATTTTTTTTTTTTTTGTCTTTCATCTATTATCTAAAGCTAAAAGAAATTTCATATGACAAATAATTATAATCGATAAAAACAAAAACAAAAAAAACGCAAAAAAAAAAAAAAATTTTTTTTTTTTCATTGAAAATCTAACTTACTTCTTCATCATAATCTTTCTGGCAAAAATCCTCAAATCGATAAATTTTGCCATTAAATTCAACAGTGGTATTCATAATTTCAGTGGTATAACGATATATCATACGTAACGTACGTGATTCGAGCAAATTCGAATTCTCTTCATGTATTGCATAAAATCGAATGACATCAATGCGAATAGGATCTGCAAAGGTTGTGACAATTTGATGATAAATGTGTGATTGTTATGAATATAACAAATAAAAATAAAATGCAAAAAAAAAAAAAAAAAAAGAAAGAAAAACACTTTTCAATTATGTAAATGAATTTTTCAATATATCTATTAAAATTACAGATTAACAAATTTTATTGGTAAAAATGACTTTTATAAAATCAAATAAATGGCTTGTAAACAAACTAATCTTGAAGAAAAATAAAAAGATGACAAACCTTTGAGAATGTCAACTTGTCGTTTAATTCGATTAGTATTCTGCAAAATTCCCAGCGGCATTTCGTTAAAAACTGTTAATCTAAATAACTGCCGGAAGTGTCAATGACCGTCGCTAAGCCTTTTTTTTTTTTTTCTTTTTTTTTTAAAAAAAAAAAAAGAAAGAAAATTCTATACGAATAAGCTGAAACATTTTAGCGCAAAATGAAAAGCGTAGCAGTGAAATGGAATGGTCAATCTTTGGTCATTTATTGGATTGGTCAATTCTTTGTAATTATCGTTTAAAAGTATTTTTTATTATCATTTCTTTCTTTCTTTCCTCTCTTTTTTTTTGAAAAAACTTTTATAAAATTTTTAATTGTTTTCATTTTTTTATTTTTTGACTTTCATTTAAACTCGACTAACTTCACTCATTTTTTTTTTTTTTAGTTATTTAAACTAATTTTAATATCTTTTCAGTTAAAATTGTATGAAGAAAATTTTCATTCATAAATATTTGTAATTTAAATTAAAATAAGAAGCAAAATTATGAAAACCTTTCAAATTCTTGTCGTACAGGTGCATCCCATGGAACAAACAATTTGTAAAGATCCAAATTAATTTGTAAAGCAGGTAATCCTGTCATACAAATTGCTGTTAATAGCAATGAACCAATCAAAAATCGTCCAGGATAACGACCAACCAGTAAGCCATGATAATAAAAACATTTGATAAATAAATCTTCTATTTTTTTACTACAGCCTTCCAATTGTTTCATACCCTATAAATTTTATTAAAAAATACAATGACAATATAATTATTATAATCAAAGCATTATTTAAAATGTACTTCAATTTGTTGAATAATCACTACTGATAAAACATATTGTATATTTTTTTTTTAAAGTGATGATAAATCGCTGATAAAACATGATATTTATTGAATAATCTGTGATAAAACAAGAACAACAAATGAGAACTTAACTTCGTCGAGAAATAAAATTTGAAACGAAGAAATTGTTTTTGCTGATAGGGTGAGGGGAGTATGAGAAAGATGATCACTTTTTGGTATCTTTAAATGTTAATAACAATAATGGGCGATGGTAGGTAGTAGTGGTAGTGGTGGTAGATAATTGTGGTTGTTAATAATGAACTGCTGTTGATGATGTCTCGATTGCTCGGTAGGTAGATGAATTGTTCGGTTGAAAAGGAGGATAGAAGAAGATGTATTGACGATTTACGGATAGAATTGGATGATGGTATGTATATTGATGAATTTCTTAAGTTGATTTCAAAAATTTTATTCCTTTTAGATTGTCACACCCTTTTCCATTTGTTCAAGTTGATGTTAAAAATTTCGTTCCTCTAACACTGCCCATTCTTCTTCAAAAATTTCTCATTCTTTTAACCACTCTTAATTACTTTACCGACGTAATATTTTCCAATCAAAACATCCTGTAATTCTTTTTTTTTTTTTTTTTTTTTTAATTCATTTATTAATTCAATTTATTACATTTTAACTATAATATTTTTGTTTTGAGAATATATTGTTCAAGCTAAAATTATGCTTTTTAATTTGATAAAAGATTATATTTGGATGATAAAATCAATTTTTTAGCTCATTTTATAGAATTAATTTTGAAAAAAGAATTTCAAACAAAAATTATTCCTGCATTTCTTTTCTTTTCTTTTTTATTAATTTTTATTTTAATTAATTATTGCTAATAAATATATTTTAACAAAAAAAAAAAAAAAAACTTATCAGTAAAATGAACGGAAATAAAAGATAATTGAAACGATTATTGCTACGAATGTTTTACAAATACTTTAGTTTTATCAACAAAAAAAAAAAAAAAAGAAATAAAAATTCATTCATATAATTGTATTGTTGAACGTCAAAACGATCACGTATTACTTATATAAGTAAAGTATTTCAATGCATATTTGATAAAAATATTTAACATTTAATTAATTACAGGATGGAATGTGAAAATGACATTTTAAAAAAGAAATAATATATGAAATATATGTATTTAACTGATAAACATTTGATAATTAATGTTATCTATGAAAAAATTACAATTTTTTTCTTAAAAAAAAAAAAAAAAAAAAAAAAAAAATACTTTCATTTTGTCAGCAATTTTTCATTTTATCGATAATTTTTTCATAAGTTGTCGCTTTCCATCAAACAATCCGGTTATCTTTTTTTTCTCTCTCTCTCTCTCTCTCTCTTTTGTAATGCTGTAAAATCTGTTTAAAATCTTTGAACTAGCTGATAATACATAGCTGATAACAACTCGTTCTAAGATAAAGATAAACTTTAATGTGTTTAATTTGATTTTTAATCAAATTTTTTAAGACATAAATTTAAGAAAATACAAATTTTTAGAAACAAAAAAACAGAACAAAATGAAATAAGTACTATTGGTAGTTGTTATGCTTAAACATTTTGATATTTAAAAATTATTTTAAAAAAAAATTTTGTTTTTTTTTTTAAATTTTCAGACATTTACTTTGATTTATTAAATTAATCTTATCATTTGCAGAAAAGCAAAAAATTCTCAAAAGCATTCATTGCATTTGTTGTTTGTTTATTATCAGATTTCCAAACAAAAGGTTTAATTATACATTGATGAATTGCATTCTAAAAAAAAAAAAAAAAAGAAATAATTGTCTAATGGAAAATATTAAGCTGCGTTAATGATATCTTTTAAAATTTGAAATTGAAAAAAATTTTTGAAAATTAAATATATATTTTGATACTTTGCCAAGATTATTCAGATCCTTCCAAAGAAATGGTATTTCGGCATTTCTCCTTTTCCTTTCTTTTAAAATTACAATTTTTAATTTGTAAAGATGTGTGATGAGTTGTACTGTCAACTGTCAACGCTACTGCCATCTGCCAGCATCTACCAATAAATTAAATTTAAATTTGAATGAATGATTACTTCCGTTTAATGAAGTATATAAGTTTCTATTATTACTATTATTATTTGTCTTTTTCTCATTAGACAAATTAATGAAAAGAATAAAAAGGAAAATTTTATTTTATTTTATATTTTTGGTAAGCAATAATTTTTCTTTTAAAAGAAACTTACAGTTGAGTCAATCGGAATAACTGCTAAATAAATATTATTTTGCATCTCTAATACAAATTCAACTTTTTTTTACGTTCTTGCGTGATCACTTTTCACGTTCTTGCGTGATCAAAGCAATAATTCATATTTTATACATTTTCATTTTTTATGCAGAATAATGAAAAAGTAACAGCCGCTATTTGTTAACATTCAAAAAATCAGAAATTATTAATATCTGAAAAAAATATTTAAATCGGAAGAGAAATAATTCTGAGAGGAATAAAGAAAAAAAAGAAGAGAGAAATGCATTTAGAGGAATTTTCGTGTTTTCTATGCTTTCATTTTTGAATAGAAATAAATTTTTATTAAATAATAAATTAATGCAAATCACAGTTCAAATATATAAAAAAAGAAAAAATGAAATCAATGAATAATGAAATATTAATAAAATTAATTTAAAAAAAAGATATATTAAAAAAATTTTTTAAAAAAAATGAAAAATTAATAAAATTAATGAAATAGCAAATCAAATTGTACAAACAGTAATATCAGAAAACAAATCATTCATCAAGTTTTAACGTGTGTTACACGTAACAGCACGTGTAAAATCTTTAATACAGCAATGTGCAACCGTGCCAACTTCATTTTCAGGCACACACGGAATGATTCTTTGGAAGAGAAATTTTGAATTGGAAAACATAAATTTTTTAAAATTTCCATTTCTAAAGGAAATGGCAATATGCATAGTATAATTTTTATTAACTTATTAATTAGTATTAACTTTCCAGTAATTAATTAATTAATTAATTCAAAATTACTGTGATGGTAGTTATGTCCAGCTTTCCGTTGTTTAAATGAAATGAAATTATCAAACTATCCCAAATTCTGATCTGCTAATTTACAATGTTTGCAAGTACTGTAATTTAAATATATTGAAATCTCTAAATCAGATAGAGTTTTTTGTTGATTCTAAATTGTTTCCAAATAATTCAAAGTTATCAATTTAGTAGTCAAAATTTCTTGTTTAACATCTTATCATTACATTAATAATTCATTATCAATTATCAGCGTTTATTGGAAATTATTTCTGAAGCAGTAAATTTTGCTAATTACAAGCAGAACATTTGTTCAGTTGAAGTGAATAAAACTTTTCAAAATTAAATTTTCAAAAGCTTTATATGTTTCATATACATTAGCAAATTCAAAAAAAAAAAAAAAAAACTGAAATCTTTTTAACTGAAATAAATTTTATTTGAAAATTATAATTTGAAATATAAATTCAAATATATAAATAAATATATAAAAATTCAAGTAAATATAAATTGAAATATACAAATAAATTCAAAATTAATACCATTAATTAATCGGTTTTTTTTTTTTTTTTTTTTGAAATTTTTAAAACAAAAAATATTAATTAAAAAAAAATGAATGCTTTTAATATGAAAGAATTTTTCTTAAAAAAGAAAATTATCGATCGTTTAATGTTTGACAGAACCAATGACGAGGTATGATAAAATCAAGAATAAAATGATTAAAATATGGATCACAACGTTGTCTAGCATACCATTCTTCACTGTACAACGATACAAATAATCCAGTACCAATTAATAAATTTGTATGCATTGCTATATTCCAAATTTGTTTTGAAGTGATAAATTGTGATAACGAATAGAAAATTCCTATAAAATTTTTTTATTTGATTGACCTATTTTTTTTTTTTTTTTTTTCAGGATGAAATTGAAGAAGAAAAAAACTCTTTTTCAAATTCATTTTATTTCATTTTTACTACATTTTTTTTTTCTTCTTTTTTTTTTTTTTTTCATATTTGACAATTAATAATTCATAAATAATTTATGAAACTTTTTTTTTCTTCATAACTCTCAAATTATTTTCATTAAATAATTTGTATTATTGAAAACATTTTTAATTTTTCTTTGAACTTGAATAAATTAGAAAGTAACTTGTATATTTCAATCAGTTCTCTGTGTTTGTGAGAGAGAGAGAGGAGAGGGAAAGGGAGAGAGAGGCAGAATAATTGGGAGCTTTTCATTTTCTAAATTTTGTGAAAAATATAGGTCAAATACCTCCGAAAATGAAATATAAGGTGAATATGATAGGATAGAACATTCTTAAAGCCAAACCAAACCAGTACTCATGAAATATTGATGAAAAGAAAAATACCATTGTTTGAGCAATGAAAAGACCTTTCTTTCCTCCAATCATCTATAAAATATTTAAAATTAAAAAAAATAATTTCATATGATTATTTTGCTAAACTTTTGCTTCATCCAATATTTGAATTTGCTATTTAATTTCTAAATTGTAAATAACCTGTGAAATATCTCGATAAATATAAGCATAGAGCCATTCATGTACAACTAAATTCCAAAATCGATAATATTCAGCCATCGATTTTGAACTCCACCAATTCTGAAAACAAGAAGAAAAGAAGTTTTTTTTTTTTCATAATTTTAACTTTATTTAAAGCTTAATTAGCTCACTTATTATCACAATTTCAACATTTAGCAATAAATTTATTAATTGTTTTCAATTTTTAGACTAATAAAAAAAAAAAAAAAGATTACAATGAATTAATAAAAATGAAAATAAATTTTGAAAGAATTTAATAATACCAAATAAAATTGTCGATCTGAGTAACGCAATAATTCTGCAAACATATTCAACCAGCAATGTAGTAAACCATAGAAGAGTAATAGTAAACATAATGCACCAGCTGTTATCGAATTAAATATATTACTTACTTTTGCTGAAAAGTTAACTGCCGTAACATTCTCTTTCTCATATTGAGGTAATATCATCTGAAATTTTAAAAAATTTCATCAAATTTGCAAGAATTCATTTAAAAAAAAGAAAGAAAAAAGGAGAAAAAATGTTTTTATTTGATTAGAAAAAATAGTATGAAATTTAGAAAAGTAAAATTTACTTGTATAAAAATAAGATCCACGCAATAAATAATAATAATAATCTCTTGTGCATAATTTTTTACAGCTTGCCAATTGCAATTTGAATTTCTAAATTGAAATGATTGAAAAATTCATTATGCATCATATAATTTATCGAATTAAAGATGCGTTTAAAGAAAATTTTAAAAATACCTGGGATAAGATTGACGAAAGACTAATGAGGGACAGAAGAAGAAATAAACGTATTGCTCAAGTGTTGGATATTTTTCCGGAATGTCATCATCCTGATCAGTAAAATTAATTAGCAAAAAAATTTATCTTTCGTTTTTTTTTTTTTTTTTTTAATAGCTAGACGAATAACAATAAGTAAATAATGTTGCATTTACATAAAAGAAGTTAATCAAGAATTGTACATAAATTAAATTATCATTTGTATAATTTGTAATCTAATATTATTGCTAATAATAATTGTTGAAATTTTAATTAATTTTTAAACTTATTAAAAGTTAAGAAAAATTTAATTAACAATAATACCTTGAGACCATCAGTTTTACCAGCTTCAATTTTTAAACGGACTGCCAACGAGTATACTTCACGTATAAAAGAATGAACTTTCATTGAAATGCGTGTCTAAAATTTAAATTTAAATTTCATTTAATTTTGTCAAAAATTCTTTAATTGAAAAAAACATTCACTCTTTACATTGCATATTGCTATGATAACCAATGTTATCATTAAATTTGAAATAAAATTTAAAATTTATTTCTCAATTCTAATCTTATCAAAATATTTTTATCACTGATACTAATACATAATGAATTTTTTACACTTTCGCAGGTTACAATAAAGGTGCAAGCACATTCGAGTTGCATCGTTAAAATAAATCGAAAACAGCAATAGAATAATGCACATAAATAGATAATATAGAGAAACAATAAAATGATAAAATCTTTCATTGGTTCCTGAAATATATCTGAGTGATAAGTGATAAAAAGAAGATATTTTATCAGATGACATTTACTTGTGATTAAATGCGAATTTGTTCATGTATTTTTGATTTTAGATATTGAATTTTCTACTTTATATTAATTTAAATTACGATTATGCTCCATTTGAGGATGCGGTTTAGTTACAATTCTTTCTAATTCAGTGCATGGTATTTTACTATTTTAAATTACTTACAGTTTTGAATGGTACTTTACTATTTTAAATTACTTACAGTTTTGAATGGTACTTCACTATTTTAAATTACTTACAGTTTTGAATGGTACTTTACTATTTTAAATTACTTACAGTTTTGCATGGTACTTTACTATTTTAAATTACTTACCGTTTTGCATGGTCTTCTACTCCAGAATTGCAAGCTATAATAAATAAGCAACGTACTACCTGCTAATAAACACCAGAATATTAAAGTTATCGGTAATTTGTTGAAATTCCATTTTATCAGCCATAAATGATGCACTGGACTAAAAGTATGAAAATAATTTTTATGGCTTTCTAATTAAATTCATATATTTTATAAGCAATAAAATATTTTTAAAACAACGTTGCATTTTTATTTAAAACGTTTAAAATGACGTTACAATTCTGTGCATCACTGAACAATTCGTTTATACTCACACGTTTACTTGAAACAATAATATTGAACGTGTACGTACGTTTAAGTATGTTAGATAGTACAGTTCATAGCAACTTACTTCCCGTGAGATACGCTATCTTCAAATACTGTTTTCAAGAATAATAGGAAAAACATGGCGCAGAAGAAATTCTTTAAACATGACAAATCTGTTTGCGTCAAAAGTGTTCTGAAAATTCCATAAAAAGAAGTAAAATTATTTTGTTTCAAAAATGAATGAATAACTTTTAAATCATTTCAATAAGTAATTTAGTAATTGTGACAAGAAATTATGACAAAGCCAATATTTGAATTTTAATATATTTCTATATTTCTGAAAAAATTTATTAAGTGAAAATTTTACGTCAACAAAGATGGACGTTCTTGAAATTCTTTCATTCTGAATTGTTTATTTGTATGCTTTTCCATTTCAATTGACATCTCTTCGTGCAAATTTTTCTCTTTTTTTTAAAACTATAAATAATATTGCAGTAAAAATAACTTACAATAATTATACCAAAAAAAAAAAAATAAAAAAAAATAAAAAATAAAAAAGAAAGAAAAGGAAAAAAAAAAGAATAAAAAAAAACAACAAACATTGGACTCCATTAGTGATAAATAGTAATTCAAGTTCACATGAAAACATCTTGTCCTCATGGCATTATGTGACACTAAAAAGGGGGACATTAAATAGGTCAAATAGGGGTCACAGAGCACGATCGTTCTCTATTTTTGCATTTGTTGAGCAATGATATGAATTGAAATGGGACTGAGATGCACGCACGAATTGTCCGAAATTTTTCAACGAAATAATCGTTAAACTTTTAAATTAGAAACATTCACTCACTTTCATGTGTAAATTCAAAACATTTTCTTACTGATTGATTTTTAATTTTAAACAGAGCAAACTTTTTTTTTTTTTTTTTGTTTCATTTTTCTAAATGATACATTCGGGAAATTTTGATTGAAATATGATATATCAACAGATCATCAAGATTATTCATAAGAAGTATACAAATTTGAACGATATTAAATTTCTATAATTTAAAAGATGTTAATATTTGCTAATTATTTAATATAATAATTTGAAATTCATAGCAAAATTTATTAGCATTAGCGATCGTCCATTCAAAATGACCTCTGGCATATCCATTCAATTTTTGCTTAAAAATTTAATATGCTTATATTTTAATGATTTTTTTTTAAATCAATTTTCTTGGATATAATTAAAATGCTAATTAAATAAATTTTGATTACATTGAAATTGCAGAAATGATTGAAATTTATCATTTTCTGCATATTTTTTGCAGGGAATTTATCAAATAAATCGAAGAATATTTGCATATAATGAGAATAAAATTATTTGAAAAAAGTTTAAAAGGCGTATTTTATAATTTATCATTCATTTATTTACTATTACGACTACGGAAGCGGTTGCCATCATTTGCAGTTCTCATTATTTTTTGCACACTGTGTGGGAATTTCTTCTACAAAAATATTTCAAAAAATATTTTATTTATAAATATTTGCAGTCATTTTATCACTAAATCAATTTTCATCATATTTATTTATAAAAAAAAAAAATAAAAAAATAAGCAATCTTATTTTTTGACAGAAAATTTCATTTTGATGATTGCTTCAAATTTTAATATAATATAATTTGCAGTGTGTGTGCAGTTGAACAAATCAAATCAAATCAAACCAAATCAAATCAAATCAAAAAAAAAAAGAAAAAAAAAAATGGAATCAATAGCTTCATTATCAATTATCATCAAAATTGCATCTATTTGCTTACAAATTTGCACATTTATTAGAATAACCATACTGCTAAGCACAACATGCTGCAAAAAATTGTCAACTGAAAAAAGTGACACTGTTGTAAGAGGCATTCATGTATACATTCAAAGCGCATTTGTGTAAAAAGCGCCAAATTTCAATTGAACATTTTGTATGTAAAGTAAATACAATCTAAGTTGCACTCATATTTACAAGTTGGCATGCAAACGATTGCATTAAATATGGATTACTTGTTATAGCATTTATTTATTTGTTTATGAAATTTAAATTTATAGCAAGAATTAAAACCAAAAGTATCCAAAGAAACGATAAAATCGCCAGCACAAAGAAGAGCAATTGCAAAAATTAGAGAAGGTTAGCAAGGATAAAAATTACATTACTTTTATTAGCAAATTTTGATAAAATTTAATATTTTTAAAAAAAAAAAAAAAGAAATACTTCAAATACAATTAAGATTATAATTTCAGGTGAAATGATTTCAGCAAATCAGAGTGAAACAATTGATGATGCAATGAGTAAATGGGAAGCTGTGCAAAAAGTTGAACGTAAAGTACCTTTAAAAAAGATATATAATCTATCAATTTGTTATTAATACTTTCCATTTTTCATTTTTATTGAATGCTATTCATTTTCTGTTCATTCTTACACTTAAAATCATTTTTTTACACTAAAATATCTTAGTGGATGATAATATCAGATTAAAATTATTGCTTTTCTTTTTTCAGAAATGTCAAAAAGTTAAAAGAAGAAAATGAGAATGACGGACGTTTTAAGTGATACTTTTGTTATCATTTTCGACTTACTTTTTACATGTTTCATTTTCTTGCATAATAATCATTTATGGAAAAAGATTCATTTACTTGAATGATAATCTTTTACTGAAAAGGATTCATTTACTTGAATGATAATCTTTTACTGAAAAGGATTCATTTACTTGAATGATAATCTTTTACTGAAAAGGATTCATTTACTTGAATGATAATCTTTTACTGAAAAGGATTCATTTACTTGAATGATAATCTTTTACTGAAAAGGATTCATTTACTTGGATGATAATCATTTACTGAAAAGGATTCATTTACTTGGATGATAATCATTTACTGAAACCGATTTATTTCAATAATATCTTTTATATTGGCTAAATTTCAACAACTTCTGAGCAATTTTATTTTCAATTCTCAAGCAGAAAGCAAAATATCATTAATATTAAATTAATAAAATATCATATCTGGTCACATCACAAAACTAAATTATACACTGTCTAACTGTTCATAAATTTTTGAAAATTTTTTTTTTTCTTCTTTTAAACTGCTAACTATAGATATAGACAATAAGTTATTTGTTCTGTAAATTACTTCCTTGTCACATCTTTTCTGTCATTTGCTGCTCATTTATTCTTGCAACGAGAATATACGATCATCGATTAATTCCATCAAATGATTTTGATTGAATGTTTACCCAAATAATACTTTAATATTGTTGATTGTACTACGCCTATCGTCTAGTATTGCCTAGTAGATTTATTCAAGAATTAACTAACTAATTTAAGGGCTTCCTATTTATCTTTGAACTTTGATTTTTCAGTTAATTTTTTTTTTTTTTTTTTTAATGCTACAACAAAATTTTGGTAAGTAAGTAATATGAGTGGGAAATATTGTAATTGTAAAAATTGAAATTAAACAAAGTAAATGTTATAACTCAGTTTTTCAGATTTATTTTCCACATTCAAATTTTCTAGCCTAATCGTATTCTATTTTTACGTTAACACTAGAATTTTGCTAGGCTTAGTGATACGTCGTACGATCATAAATTATAACTCATTGATGTATGAAACAGAAATCAGTTCATCGCATTTAGCAATGAATTGTAATTCTGAAATAAATTCATTATCTGCAAGCTGCCATAAGTCATTTGCATTTGCGCCATTTGATAAATGATGAATATTAATTGGCTGTGAATCACTCTCAAATATGAATTAATTAATTCATCAATAAGATCCTATAGCTCATCAGCTCTCAATCCTCAAATCACTCAATCGATCAATTCATGAGCTAATCAAACCTAATATAAATAAATCACAATTTTTGTGCTGTTTTGTATAAAATAATGCTCAAAACGAGTTTGTGATTCCGCCAAAGTTTATAGTTGAACGTTGCATTGGTTCATTTTCTATTAGCTCTTCGGAGACGTGAGGTAGAACTGTTGGGTGGTGACATCTCGTGGCTGACGTGCACGTCAGCGTGACCTGTAAGTTGACGCTTAGATGTCCTTGCTCATCTCGATCAAGCTGTTTGTCAATTACACATTAGATTATAACATTGTCTTCTCGCAAGAAATAACTTTGCGTGTTGTTCTGACCCGTACTGTCCATCATAAAGGTCTTTCCTTTTTAAACTGTTTTCACTACTGTTAGCAGAATTCTATCGTTTCTCAATTCATGAACATATATGTAGAGAGAGAAGGAGAGGGGAAGGAGGGATAAGCGGTAATCCGGAACTTACCAATGGATCAGTGCAACATTTTATTTTCTGTAGTTGATATCTTCTCCATTACTACCACAAAAACAGAAACAGCCTGTTCTTTTTACTTCCTTCTGCCTTTTTCATTATAGTCTCTCCTAATTATTATCACAATCTTCGTTTCTGCTCATTGTAATTTTCTTTAGAAAAGATTCTTTGAACAGTTGTCAATTGTTCTTTTATCAGTGATTTTGATAATATTTAATTTACATAGATCTGATATATTTTTTTGTTATTGTTCTGTGTAAGATGAAGTGGATAATTATTCTTCTTCTAGTTTTTTGTAATTTTACTTGAGGTCTGAAAATTTTCATCGATCTCTTTGAGTTCAGCAATTACGCTTTCAAGATTTTTATAATTTTATTTCTATTAGTTCAGTAAGTGATTTCATATATATATATATATATATAGAATTTTGTAACTATGCACAAAACTTTCCACATTTTGTAGTATTTGTATTGTATTTCCTTTTCATCTACTTTTTCTCTGAGTTTAAAGGTGACATATTCATCTTTTGTTTTGCATCTGAAAATCATTTTTTGACAGCAAACGAAGAAGTGTTTGGCCTTTAAAGATGAGTAGCTGCGAAGTGAGGCGTTCACCACGAATGAGAGTTGGTCCTCTGAATTCATCAACACCAAAAATGAAATTATCTCGCACAAAATCTGAAAATCAATTACAGGTGTGTTCATGCAACTTTATCTGTTGTTTGTTGCTTTTAAAATCGTTATCCTGGTGTTTACTAACCAAAGCACGTGGCATTTTATTTTGTCCCAACAATTTATCTTTCTGTGATTTGAATTTTATAACTTCAAGTCTTAAAATGCCTCAGGTTTACTTCACTTCAGAATTTGAAGAATATTTCGTTTGAATCGAATCACACCGAGCCACCATCAACTCTTTCACCACTTGGTTTTTCACCAAGTTTTGTAGATTGTGAGCAAAAAGTAAGTTTAGTGTTTCTCACGGACCTCGAAAGAAAGAGGCACTGTGAGTCTCTGTTCCGACTTTTTTTTAAGTGTTTTTCACCTTGTTCTTCAACCATTCATTTAGAAAATGGACATTTGCTTTTTGATTTCGTACTCTTTTTCTGAATTACTTAAGTTTTTATGTTTTATTATGGAAAAATCTACTCAATCAAGTCTCCCTACTCAAATTATAAACGCTTCACATTTTACGCATAGTCATTTTTTAAGCATTATTTGAGTGACACAAAATTTGTAAATTTTTGAAAACAAAGGAGAGCACTGTCTGTAGTCGGATGGCTGAAATACATTTGTTTTTTTTTCTTTTTTTTTTTTTTTTTTTCGTGAATCCCAATTAATTTATGAATTAAGGTGGGTGGAGATAGACAGTGGAGTGAAGTGATTATCTGATGTGAATTGCTATGAAAGAGGGTTCATTTCTTCCCTTGCTGTGTAATGAAGTAGCCGATGGGTAGTAAGAGGCTGTTGAAGGGTGAAGAGAAGGGCTAGGATTTTTGCATTATATTAGAACAGCAGTACCGTGGTGACATTTCATTATCTGTCAGGGTCGTCCATTGTTCTTTAGTGGTTGATTTATTCCTTCAGTCTGCTGTATTGGTGTAATAAAGGCCGTGGCATAAACTGCTCAAATATAATCTATTCAGCACTGTTGCGAATTTTATTAGAAATGTTCCGTTGATATCGTTTTGAATTTAATTATTTGCCTGTGCTACAGGTTCAAATTATCGTTTTATGTTTAAATATCTTTTACTATTCATTACTGGCTTTTCATAATAGGGAGTTATGATTTTGAAATAGTTGATAGTTAAATGGTTTAATGGTTCCACTATATTGTATATATTTGGGCGGTATTGGCATGAGGCTATATCACAAAAGCAGAAAATCATTCCAGTAGTATTCAAGTTATCTAGTTGCTTCCATTCTTGTATTGTAAAAGGGCCACTCGACTTATTAGATTTGTTGAAGGGTATAGATAGAGGGACATGATGATTAGGAGAGCCTTATTGGGATTGACAGCCATTGGTAGCGTAGAATGATAAGCAATACTAATTAGAATATGAATAGTTAGCAAGATTGCTGAAGAGATTGTTTTAAATAGACATCTAGTTCTGCGTAAGTAGAGATAACAGTAAAGGTAAGATGATTGTAAGTTTTTTATATGAGATAAAACACCTTTATTAGAAGTAAGAACTATTACTGTTAAATTCGTACTTAAAAAATGAACTGTTTTATATGCTCATGTTCAAAGAACCGTATTCTTAAGCTTTATTTTGTTGTATGTTATTATATATGCCTTACCGTGCAATTAATATATTTATTGCCTTAAATCTGTTTTTTTTTTTTCTTCTTTGTTTGTTAAGCTTTAATTACGTATTGATTTTTTGAAGATGGCGCAGACATCGGCGAAAAAAGGCACTATATCTCAAACGATACCTTTGGTTAAGAAAAAGGATTTTTCGCGACGTAATTCACGGTCACGATCACGTGGTCGTAAATTGCGTCGTTCGAAACCTTCCACAAGTTTGGTATGTTCCTTTCTCTGTTTTTTATCGGATTTTCCATAAGGCCGGCCCTTTTTAAATGATGTAATGTATGGCTTAAAAGGACAAGAAATTATGTTGCCAATTTATCTTCCACTTTATTAATGTTTCCTTTTAGACGTCTCAGATTGTTAAAACTGATTCAGTTGAAAAGCTACTACCGAACAATGTACGTCATTCGATAATCACTTCAGCCAATTCGGCCGCACTTAAAAATCACTCTTCGGTACTTACTATTTTCGTTTACTGTAACCAGAGGTAGATACTAGTCAGTGTTACACCTTTTTCATTAGCGATACTTGTAGATAATTCCGAGTGTTGTGACATTCGTTAGAGAATTACTAGAGAGCACCTTTTTAGATGGAAATTACATTTTTACACCAATAGGTTTTTGCGCTAATAGGCTTTTGTATTGGAAATGCTAAGACAATTTTTTTGAAAGTTAAAAACTTTATTTTAGACATATTAAATTATTTGGTAAGAAATCTACATGAAGTCTTTCCAGGAAACATCAGCAAAGTCCAGCGGAACCATTTCTGGTGCAGGAAATTTCATGAAGTTGTCGAGCCATCTTGTTGATCATCCCTACATTTTGACTTTCATCCATCTTTTGCTGTGTGTTCTCTACGCTTTTATCATCTATAAGGCAGCGAACTATTTTGGTGTTGATCGATTCGTGATAAAACATTGGACGCAATGGAGCAAAAAGATTCTTCCTAATTTATCGTCATGAAATGATTTTTTTTTCAGTTATTTTCAGTTGCACCGGGATTGAATTTTACAATCCAGACTGATATTCACCATTTTTTTTTTTTTGCATCAGTTTTCCCATTTATGCATTTCATAACTTTTTATTCCAATCATATTACTGTATATTTAATAAAAGTTTAATCACAATTAATGTTTACAAGGCAAGATGCATATTTTAACTTGTCGATTAACAACAATTCTTAGGTCTTGTTGTTCATTAAAACTCATTGTTATTTCTTTTTTGTCTTTACGGACACATATAGGATTTGTTTACAAGTGGTCTTCGAAATTTATTCTAAGATTTTGTTTTCTTATTTCTTTGTATAAGTTAAACTTTTTAGCAGTCACCTGGTTGAGAGTTTTTCATCTATTCTGTATCTTTTTACCAAACATTTATTCAGTTCTCTTACTAGTAGATTTTTTTTTTTTTGCAACAATGTTTACAGCAAATTGGTTTTTTTCTATTTTTTCGCAAATGTAATAAAATATAATATTCATATTTTTTTCACCTTTAAGTTTGATTAACGATATTATAATAGAGTATGACAGTCTATGCCATAATTAATAATTTAATTATGCATAACAATTGGATGCAGACAGTTGATTAGTCTTTCCAAAAACAATTACATGATAAAAATTAATAGTTGGCTTGTCATGTTATCATGTAATATCCATGCACAGTAATTATTCAATTCATTTGAAGGAAAATGATCTGTTCTTTATTATTGATTTTATGGTTACTTCTTTATCATTAATTTTATTAATTACTGCTTACTGCAGAATCCTTGATATATTATAAGGGCTAGGAAAATTTTCTTTGTTGTGTAAAATATTTTTGCTTGTTTTTCGATTAATGATAATGATAATTATCAATAGCTATCAGGGCAATTTAGCATTCGTTTCATGCTACTTTTTACCCGAAATAATGACCCATGTCCTGGAATGATACAATCAGCTAAGCAGAGTAATCGTCTTCTTGATTCTTCTTGTTGTATTTCATTTGTTGCTAACTGTTTCCATATTCTTGAATCTTTCATATCTTCCTTTTGTATAAATATATCACCTTCAATACAAATGAAAGTAGTCTTTTCACCAGTAAAATTTTTTGAAAATAAATTTTTTATTGCTCCACTTTTTTTTTTGAAAAAAAAGCTTGAGAATGCTAAACTATAAAAAGTTTAAATGAATAATGAACTAATCAAACGATTAATATTTTTATTTGTTATTGAGAATTTTTCATCGTAAATAGATTCTAATAGGTGTGAGTTGATATTGACAACAATTAGGCTGATACAATTCTAAACCCAAAATAATCAAATAATTTCAACTTTGAAGAGAGAAAAATATTTGACAAGAAATTAGAATTTGAAAGTTTTGTTTGCTAAAAGTATTGATCTTACCGGAAACAATGACGGTGCCAAAAAAACTAGTGTTATTTATGAGAACAGAGATGTCATCAGATGTATGACCTGGTGTTTTCAATAAATAAACATTTTCCGTTAATTTTTCAACATCAGTCTGAAATCTTTATCTAGTTTTATAACTTTTTTTTTTGAGAAAATTTAGTTTTTTTCTTGTTTTGTACAAATAATTCTAAGTTTACTATTGTAGCATAAATGAATATATGTTTCTCAAATCTAGGATAATGTCTATTGATTAAAATGTTAATAATTTTTGAAAAGTAAACCTCGAAAATTCGTGAAAAGTAGGAGTGCGTCCCAAGATGCACAAATCTTCCAGCATAATGAAATGCATCCGGGAAATGATTGGTGTTACCCGAATGATCAGGATGCCCATGAGTTGTGATTACATGATTGATAGATGGTGGTGGAGCACCAAGTTCACTTAATCCTAGAGCAAAAAAATATTTAAATATTTGAAACTATTGAAAATGGAAATGTACATTTTGAAAATAATCATAATTAATTAATTAGTAGTAGTGCATCTTTGTTAAACAAACTTTGCAATATCCAAGTGCGCTCGTTGATATCAGTAGAGAGCCCAGTGTCTATCAGAATCTTTTCTCCATTATCAACGACAAGTGTAATTGTGGACACAAATTCGTAACCATTTCTATTGTTCTGTACAATGGAACCCTAAAATGATAATAATAATAAGCCTAGTAAAGGTCAACTTTGCATTTAGTATTCCCTTGACCTTTGATACCACTGTACAGTAAATTTTATTTTGCTTTGTATACCAAACATCATTCTTGTTTGTATTATTATTTTTTTTTAACTTGGCCTTTTTTTTTTGTTTTTGATCTGAGAAATAGAACAGTAATTTTTCGGCTTAATTAGTGAAATAATCAAACTTTGCAAATATAGTAACTAACTTACTTGTCTGATAATATAAATCATCGGATTCTCATTGGTATGCATTTCAGATGTTGGTAATGCAATTTTTGATAATGCCATATCATCGTTCACCTTTTTATGCTTAGTTATAAAAATTGATGCCAATATTTCATTAGGATATCGACTACTTCTTTTCAATGCTTAAGTTATCTTATTTTGAATTTTTTTAAAATCAAAATATGAAGTTTACTAAGTATGTATAACACAAAATATACTATTATCATCTGTTTTTAATCTAATCAATGATTTAGTCATTTTTATAAATTAAAATATTTTAATTTAATTTATTCAAATCATTTTTGATATGCCTCAATTACAAACCTTCATTTTCTCCAATAGAATTGCCATTTTCAGATATCTTTTTTGCATTTTTTATTTCCAAATTTCTAAAAAAAAAAAAAAAAAAAAAAAAAAAAAAAAAAAAGAGTTATAGTGATAAAATACTATTAATGAATATATTTTATAGTACATCATGATGAGAGTTAATATGATATAAATATACTAGCAAATTTAAATAAGAGTTGATCTTACATCAATAACTTAACTTGTAATCTAATTCAACAGAGGGAAACTAAGAATGTCAAAGGTCAACATAAGCAATAAGCACTATACCAATTTTATCTTATAGATTTTTGTTTCTCTCCTTTATCTTCATCCTTATAACCAGAGAAGAAATATCTAGTTGAAAACATACTTGGAAATGGCATAACTGTTTTCTGGTTTCGAATCCGGATTCAAATGATGATAACGAATCTCAATAGGTTTCAGATCCGATACACTGAATGTATTTTGTTGAAAAGATGAACGAATTGTTTCTCCGGCTAGTGAATCATTCTTAAGCTTAACATTTTGCTTCATTTCCTCCTCCTTTGTAATATAACTTTTCTTTGCTTTTCGTTTATCAATCATTTGCTAGAAATTAAATTATCATTGTTTTCTAAAATCTAACTGTGATATTTTGATTATCCGGATATTTCTGAACGGTTTGCTCAAAATAACGAAGATGACAGGAAAAGGGATGAGTAACATATGAACTGTTTATAGTAAAAAAAAAAAAAAAACTTTTACTTGTAATAGCGATGCAAGTCGTTTGAAATCAACTTGAGTTTGTTGGGTAGCATTTCCAAATTGCCGGAAATATGTTCCTGTTTCGGCTGTTACTAATTCCGGTATGAATGTTGGTGTTATTGACGAGGTCATTGTTGTAGCTGATAACGCTGTTTGTGATTTCATTTTTATTATAGGTACAACAGAAGAAATTGGAATAACTTTTGAAGCACTATTAGTTGTCATATTAAACTGAAATAGAAAATTAATTAAAGGTAAAACACGAATTGTTGAATAAAATTATTTCGATAATTCATTCCTTCATTTCATCACTTCTCTCTCTTTCTCTCTCTCTATTTGTCACTTCCGGATCAGGTTGCCGAAAAGATCACGGCATCTAACTTTAATTAACCAGGAAGTATTCATTGTCATAAATAAATAAACAACTATGTATTAAGTAAATAATTCTGTAATTCAGAATTTTTTTTTTTTTTTTTTTATTGATATTTCTACTTCTTTTCATGAATTTCAACAATACCACTTTATAGTTTATATTACCGATGGTTAACTGTTGAAAATGGGAGATCAATTACTAAAATTAAATTTACAAATGAGAGTATAATTCTTTCTAATTCATTTGATTACATTAACCTTTGAACTTCATCCAGAAAAAGCAAGCGACTAACATCACCACCAATTTTTACAACATTTGCATTCTCTCCAGACATTTCAGTTAAAGTATTTGTTGAAATGCTATTTGTATCGCCATTTAACTGATCGATGAATATTTCATCAAATGGTAACTTGGAAACAGAACCTTTTCCGCGTCGAACAAAATCATGAAGCCAATTTACTGGATTATCATTGAGAAATTCTAAATAATTTAATTTAGTCTATAGTTTCTTAAAATTTTTTGTTAAATATTTCATTCCAACTTTTTTTCATTTGATATAAAGCAATAGATAATTAAATAATTAATATGTATTTAACTAAACTTTAAGAATAATACTTTTTTTTTGAACATATGAAGCAAAAACTTACTTTCTTGTAGATTAACTGATCGAATAATAATAAGCAAAGAAAAATTAGCTAGAAGAGACGAAGTAATGAAAGACATCGTCAAAGAGTGCGTTGTGTAACTGTCTGTCATCCATTCAAATTTCACTGCACCCAAAAATAGGTTAATTGTGTCAATTCATTTGATTGTAATCATCAAAAGGAAACGATAAGTGTTCGTAATTATTTGGTGCACGTCTTGTATGTGTAAATAATTGGTATTTGTGCCAACAACTTGAAATTGGTTCATAAGTAGTAGTAGTGGTAGTTATGGATGGCTAAAGGATGCATTTGGAAATTTCAATTTTCTAAATGTCTCATTTCGTTGTTGAGATCGTTTGGATCATTAAATTCATCGTCAATTTTCTAATTGAATCTTTTTCTCATCCAATTATCATCTGTTTAAAATTTTCATTTTCTTCATTTCACATAAGAAATTCATTTACTTTTGATTTTTCATTTTTTTTTTTTTTTTTTTTTTTGAAATTCATTAAAATTTTCATTTAGCAAATAAATTTATTAGCACAAATAAAAATAAAACTAATAAATGATTAAGGATATGTGTACATTCTTGCAAATAAAAAATGATTTCTTTCCTAGTCTTTTTCCGGATTTTCTGTTTCGGTCATCGTGGTGATAATTCAGATTTCACATCATGATTAATTGTCAAATAGTCATTTCTAGCAAAATAAGGTTTCTGAAAATTGTTGAACTCAATTACTTGATAACATAGTGAAAATAATGAATAACAATACAACTATTAAATGTTTTAATTTTTTACCTAAAAGATGTTTATTATCATTTTTTTTTTCTTTTTTTGGAAATAAATGTACAAAGAGTTAAAACATAAAAATCATTAGAAAAAGTTTGACACATACAAATTGTCTGTTATGTTCAATAATTCCAGAATATAATAGTGCACCGTCACAAAATAGCATTAAATTAAGGAACAGTAGAAATAAAATTTGAAAGCCGACCATCCGATCGATAATTGCTTTCTTTTTAAATTTGAAATAGTTCATAACAAATACTAGGTATAAAATATTCAAATTAGATATTAGTATTATTAACAATTATGCAAAAAAACATTTTTTATTTTTTTAAAAAAAAAGTATTAGAAATTTTAAAGAATAGTAAAAGATTGTTCAACTGCTAATCTAAACTAATCGTCTAGAATTTGAAATGTTTGAAAAATTAAAAAATACTATTAATATCAAAAATATAAAATAAATTGTAAGTACTCTGTTATAATTCAAGAAAAAAACACTTTAATAAATAAAATCTACAAGTTAAAATGATTGTAGTTTTTTTAATAAAAATTTAAGAAAGCATAAATTGCTAGAAATTTCATTTAGATACTTCTGGATGATAAAAGTACAAGAAGGAATTCTCTATTCGTATAAATTCTAACTTATTCTTCATTACTTATACATAAAGTAATGTGAGAACGCATAATCATACACTTAAAACAAACAATTTAACAACGAGAACCAATCATTTTAGTGATAAGTCGTTATCTTATCAGATTAATATCATGAAAAAATTTCCAAATTATCATTCACTTGAAAATACATTTAATAGAATAAAAGAAATTTTTATAATTTGAGTAAGAAGATGAAAGTTTCCGATAAATAAAGCATTATTAGCTTAGCAAGACTTTATAGTTCTGTTTATAGAAATTATATCAATTTTCAAATGCATCGTTTGTTGATGGAATATTTTATCATAAATTTTTAACTGATAAATGATTCTTGAAATAATTCAACAAGACAATTTGAAGTAAAAAAAAATGATAGGCTTTCTTTTTCTTTCTTTTGAATAATTTAAATACATCCATCAGAAGGTTGATACCAATCACACCATTGAAATTGCATTGGCCAACCAGGACGCATTGTATGTAATTTTTGAACACATGTTCCCATAGATCTAAAATTTAAATTTTAAAATTTAATTAAAATTCAATTTGTAGAAAAAATTTTCACTTATCTTAAACTTTTGTAGTTTTTGCTAGCAAAATGAGCATCATTTTTAATTAAAAACAAAACAAAAAAGAAAAAAGTGATACGATTGATATGGTCTGCCAAAAAAGTGACATCTTGGACAAAGTGCGACAATTTGCTGTGACACAACTGTTTCATTCATTAGCAATGTAATATTTGCTGTAAGCAACTAAAAATTTTATTTAATTATTTTCATTTTCTTTTCAACCAATTTTAATTTTATATATATTTTAAAAGAATAAAATATTAAATTAATTATATTGTAACAAATATAAATATTGATGTTTCTTAATTTTTTTTTGCGATTTAAAAAATAAAAAAGATAATTGCGAATTATTTGAATTTAAAATAGCTCAAATGTTGAGAAGACATTTAGGAATGAATAATCATTTTAAAAATTTTTGATAAACAAAATTTGAAATACCTTAACAAATAAGTCACTTGAAATAGCTTCACTTTCACGTACGGGAATACCACGTAATCCTTCGCATTGTTGATAAGGTAAATTTGCTAAACTATTACATTCCACATTTTCATCAAAACATTTTGTCTAAAATTTTGTAATTATTAGACAATGTCTCTTTTTTTTTTTTATTTATTTTATAGATTATATTATTGTAACAATCAGTAAGTAATTTGTTCTAATGTTTATCCAACAAGCAAATAAATTTGTTTACATTTAAATGGAAGAAAATTTCTCGATCATATCCAAAAAAAAGAAATTTATGAATTCGAGAATTTTCTGGTAGATAATCTAAAATTCTAGAAAAAAAGAAATAATGTACACTCTGTCTATGATTTCTGAAATTTTTTGTCAGAATAATTTAAATTTATGAAATTTTTGAGATTAGTTTATCCATTTATTAAATAATTTTAAAGAAAAAAAAATTTTAATTACAAACTTTTTCCATTTTATTCTGAATTAATTTCAATAACTTTATAAAATCTCTAATTATGCTTATAAAAAACAAATAGATTTCATCGATAAGTCACTTTTATTATAAAAAAAATTTGATATTTCGAATATTTCTATTCAATAAATAGAACTATTGAAAAAAAAATTTGATAAATTTTACGAATTTTCTTTTCCACTTTTAAAGAAAAATTAATTGCAATTTCTGTTACTAAAAGTTTGAGATATTTATTCAATTAAAGATAATTAGTGTGACAATTAGATGATAGTAAAGGTAAAAGATTAAAAAATAATTATAATATTTATAGTTTAACTCTTTCAACTATTATATGTAAAATCTTTAATTTACATGTATATATAGTAAGTGTAAACGGATCAACCGGAATACATTTTCGGGTGTGTATGCAAAGAGATAATTTCAGAAATATGCTAGAGTGATTAACTAGATTAAAAGTTTTCATAGATCTGCGTGCGGTATGTGTGCAGGCATGCATTTTATCACTAGCAAGCTATTAATCTTTTGATAAATGTTGCTTCGATCTTGACATTTCTAAAATCTTCTCTCCTGCATATGTTGCACATTTTATCTTAAATCTTTAAATGATGTTAAAATTTAAATTATTGTTAAAATTAAATGAAGTTTTTAACATCTGAAATTATTGTGCATATTTCGGATTTACTCAAATCATTCACTTAATTTATTAGACGATAGTAAAGGTGAATTAAATTTTTAAATTAAATTTATTACCCAATGACTTAGATCAACACATGTTACATCAAGATTGTTTAATGTTCTCACTGGTAGATGAACAAATGAAGCATCACCACATGCATTACATTGCTCCTAAAAGAATTTAAATAAAATTCAAAAAAAAAATTTTTTTTTTTTTTAAAATCCTTTTAAATGGAATAGAAAATGTAAAATGTTTATTACATTTATTAGAAAAATGTAATAATATTCGTTAATGATATCCGGAAGTAATTCATTTCATATTTATTCATAATATTTAGACTAATAACTAATACTTTTTCTTATTTTAAAATTATGTCAATTTCTTGTTACAATTTTTTTTTCCTTTTTTTTTTTCCTTTTTTTTTTTTTTTTTTTAGTTCCATTATAAAATTGTAATAAATTTACAATATCAGCTTCTGAGCTGAAATTATAATTGCAATGAAAGAAATCAATTCGATTTATATAACGTGCAAGAATTTTCTCTTCCCGACGAGCAACACGTAATTCACGCTGAAATAAGTAGTAAATTTCATAATGTAAAAGATTACGCTTAACCTGAAATATATCGACTGAACTAAAAGGTTAAAATGAAAAAAAAAAATAAATTAAGTGATAAAAAATGACGAGAAAATTGGTGATAAAAATTTTTTCATCTTATCTAATTTTCAATAAATTTCTATTTTAAATATATGTTTTAGTGAAATAAAAACATTTTCATAATTCTTTTACAATTTCAAAAAAAAAAAATTAAAACGAACCACCGATGAATTATAAAATTTTATAGCACCAAGAAGTAACAGAGCAAGAATTACAGCACTTAAACATAAAATTGCTGTTATATAGAGACACGGCTTACGACGTAGTATAAATCGTATTGAACGATAAAATTTACCGCTATGCCTAATAAGTAAGTAAGTAAGTAAATTATGTTAAATTTTAATTAAAATGACAGTAATAATAATAAATTTATTTGAAAATAAAAAAAAAAAAACGAGATTAAAATAATAAATAAATGTGTTAAAATTAATAAATAGAAAGTAAAATAAGAAGAAAAAAAAAAGAGCGATTACTACTCATTTAAAATCTAAAATAAACATTTTAAAGAATTTAATTAATTTTTCAAATTTGCTTACACTTGATGGAATGCAACCATTGCAGCACAGCGAAATTACTCGTAACACAATTATTGATGTAAATTTTAGCAAATGATAAATTAAGAATTTTTTTTTTTTTTTTTTTGGATATTCAAATTAATTTTGAAAAAATTGCTATCTTCTTTGCTTGTTATTATTTTTAAATTTGCATTTAATTATATCATAAATGATGAGAAAGGCGAATGTTTACATTCAATGATTATAACTTTTATTAATATAAAAAAAATAATAATTATTATTATTAAATAATTTCATTCTATGCATTTTTTTTTTCACTTATTTTGTTTGTTATCATTTTTTATCCTTATCATATCTGATATTGTTCTTATCATACATTACACAAATGAATTTAAATTACTTCGATGTACATTTGAAAATTTTTTTTTTTTTCAATATTAATTAAACAATTCAAAATAAACAAAACGATTGGAATTTCATTTTAATTTATAAAATTAATTGAAATTGCATGAAATGCTTGGTTGGATTTAAAAATAAGAAATGAATGCTTTTGTATATTCAGGAAATGAATATAAAAATTAAAATTGAATTGAAATATTAATTTGCTAAAATTTCATTAAGAAGAAAACATTAAACTTAAATTTCTTAATTTCACTTTTTCACATTTTTTTTTGCATAAAACGAAGTATAATTAGAAACAAAGCACAGATATTGATAGCATAGTTATAATCACAATAAATAAAATTGTAATTATCCAACGGAAATGCAACATTGAGCATAGATTGTCTTCACGGGAAGTTGCTCAAACGTACGTGTGGAACAATGACGTAACGCAGCAGTAAGTAAGGCACCCATATCTGAAATTTAAATAAATTAAATTAGCAATAATGAAAACATTTTATATATTTAAATAATCCATCTTTTGATCTTTTAAATTCTCTAAATTTTTTTTCTTTTAATGAATTTCACTAAATTCTTTTGTTCATTTTCATTTTTTTTTTTTGAAATTCAAAAAGAATTATTTTAAATTTTAGTAGCTAATATAAATAGGAGAAAATAATTTGTCCTTCAATTCTGAAAGCTTTTATTAATTGTTGAAGAGGAAGAGTTTGCCATACATTGTCTTTTGAAGACATTTATATTAGTTAATTTTAAAATTTAAATTATAAAGTTTATAAAATAATAATAATAATAATAAAATGACTTAATGTTAGTGATACTAATTAATGATAATGATTGTAAAAAGTGATGAAAATTTAAAAAAAAAGAAAATTACTAACCAAACAAAAAAAGGAACATAGATAATAACAAAATTATCATTCATTCAATAATTTATGCTTTTAAAATAATCGGCAAGTGCTCCGGTTGTTTTGCTGCATTGTTCCGGTTGTACGCCACCTTCGTATATTGAAATTATCACGGCTAAAAAAAAAAAAAATAAAATAAAATAAAATAAAATTATGATCACAAAATTTTGTTAACTAATAAAAAAAATTTTCATAAATGATTACATGTAGAAAAAAACAAAAAAGGTAAGGAAGAATTTAATTTCAAAAGATTTTAAATTAACAAAAATAATTGGATTCAAAAAAGAAAAAAAGATATAATAATTTGAATAATATTAAATTATACAAAAAAAATTTTTGTTAAAATATTTTTCTCGTTTTATATTTTACAAAAAAAAAAAATTTCCATAATACTTTTTTTTTAAGAAATTAAAATTTAATTAAAATAAAATTAAAATTGAATTAAAATATATGATGATATGTAATTGTTTACCTTGTCCAGTTTTATAGATGAAAAACCCGGTTGATCCTTTCTTACCGATAATTCTTTCATCATCTGCTTGTAGTACGAAGTATTTCTCTCCCTCAAATTTCATACCTGTTCCCAATAAGGCATCCTTATTCTGGAATCCTTTTCCGGCTGCTGCAGCTTCCGTTTGCTCTAACTGAAATTTTTAATTTTTTAATTGCCTTCTTTCTTTTTTTTTTTTTTTTCACTCTCCAAATATTTATTTAAGTATTATTACATTTGTTTACTTTGTTACTAAAGTAATTACAATGTTGTATGATTACATTGTAATTAGTAAGAATAAATTACCGAAAAACTTTCTTTTTTTTTTCTTCGATTTATTTGTTTTCATTTTCTTTTCAACAAATCCTACTTTTTATAACAATTTTTAAGTTAATTTTTAAATTTAATTAGTAAGAAAAAAATTTTTTTTTAATTGAAATTACTTAATAATCAGTACAATAACAATTTTAGTAATATTTTTTTTTTTTTTTTCTTCTTCAAATGATAACATTTTTCATTATTAGCTATCATTAACTCGGATAATTTAAAAATCACTTTTTTCAACTAACTTTTAATTTTTCTTTCTCTCTCTCTCTCTCCTCATCAATTTACCCATTATATTTTAGGATTAAATAGCTTAAAGAAGTTGCAAAAACTTTTTGGTATTAATTGTTTCTTTTTTTTTTTTTTTAGGGATTTTAACAATTTTGATTTTATGATTGTTTGAAAGATTTAAAATTTATTGATCAAACTTATTACATTTATTGTATGTTTAGAAAATAATTTTACTGATAATTTCTAATCTTTCAATCTTTTTTGTTATAAATATAATCCATCTTTTTTGAAATTTTATAATTTCACTTTTTTTTTTCACATTACTTTAACTTATAAATTAACCTATAAATGAAGTTTATTAAGTTTTTTTTTTTTTTTTTTTTTTTTTTTTTTACATAAGCTCACGATTAAGCAAGAAAATTAATTGGCAATAAATAACACTTTGATATGTTAAAATGATAAACCACAGAAAAGAATGAAATTTTATGAGAAATATGACGTCAACAAATTAAATGCAATTAAAAGTAAAGTTTTAAAATTAAATTGCTGAAGACTTTATGAATTTTATTATGCTATCATTGATCAATTTCATATGGTGATATGATATGATAAAATTTGAAGTATAGGAATATTTTTTTTTTAATTTCTTAAAGTTATTTAAAAAAAAAAAACTAAATTTATTACCTTAAAATTATCGGACTTTCCCCAAATTGATCCATCAAAACCACAAATTGCAGCTTTAGACACATTACCAGAGCCAACCAAATTATTGTTAACTAAATCTGCCCAGGACATTGCTTAGATTTGTGACAGGAGACAATGTGACAGCACAGGTATGTTGACAGCAGAAGAAATCTGATTAATTAATTAATTAATTTGAAATTTATCACAATGAAATTATTTGATTACAAGCTAAGAAAAAAGATTTAAAAAAAAAAAACTATTTAACATTTAAAAGTAATAATCAATAACAAATATTTGTTAAACATTTGGAACCATTTGATATTAAGAGAATTCCTATCACAATGCTAATAATGCAAGCCACTCTCGAGCTTTCTTACCAATAGATAAGATAAGTAATTGAGAGATTCTCGAGAGTGCAAAGCATTAGCTGTAACAATTCTTTGCGTCAGTTGGAAATTGTTTTATATGAAGTGAAGTTAATATATTTTAAGCTATGTAAGAGTTAGCTAATCTGCTTCATATTTACCGCACTAACATTAGCTAATTTTCATTTACAAAAATAAAAATATTTTGGTGATGAAAAAATTTTGAAGAAAAAAAGAGGAAAAATCAGGGTAATTAAATTAAAATTTATAATAAAACATTAAATTGAATTAATAGATTCTTGCTTCAATAATTTCTGTAAATGTTCGCAAATACAAATAAATATATGTAAACTTTTTTTTTTTTCCTACAATTTATTTGATGGAAAATTTTTGAATTTCAAAAAAAAAAAAAAAAAATGCCAACATTTTTCAAATCTTTCGAATATCTTTTGATTTCACAAGAGAATAAATCAAAAAAAAAAGTATCAATAATTTCAACAATTTAAGTAATATTTTAAAAATGTCATAAATTTGAAATCATTTTAAAAATCTGAAATCATTTTATTATTTGATAAATGCTAATCGATTTACATTTCAATAACTTAACCAATTGAATTTAATACTTTATTACAGTCACATATTAATGAGTTCGTTTCTAATATGAAATGTAAATAGATTATATTTTATTTATTTAATAAAATACACATTTTATTAAATTGTAGCTATTGCGATAATATTTATCAATCACAAACAGAAATTATTAGGTCTAACTGCCATTGCAATCTTCCACGACTATCAGTGCGTTACCCTCAGATTATCAGTACGTTATCCTCGGGTTATCAGTTCGCTATTCTCAGATTATAATTGCGTTATCCTCAAATTATCAGTACGCTGTCCTCAGATTATCAATATGTTATTACCAGATTATCAGTACATTATCCTCGGGTTATCAGTTCGCTATTCTCAGATTATAATTGCGTTATCCTCAAATTATCAGTACGCTGTCCTCAGATTATCAGTATGTTATTACCAGATTATCAGTTCGCTATTCTCAGATTATAATTGCGTTATCCTCAGATTATCAGTATGTTATTACCAGATTATCAGTTCGTTATTCTCAGATTATAATTGCGTTATCCTCAGATTATCAGTATGTTATTACCAGATTATCAGTTCGCTATTCTCAGATTATAATTGCGTTATCCTCAGATTATCAGTATGTTATTACCAGATTATCAATACGCTAAAAATTCATATTTAATAGAAATTAATGAAATTTTATTTTCAAGTTTATTATCAGAAATGGCTTTTTAAAAGTATTGAAAAAAAAAAAGAAAAACAACTCGAATTTGTGGTATGAAACGAATGATAAGTAAGTGGGATAGCTTTGAGAATTCATAAAGAATTGAAAAATGTTGGAAAAAGAAAAGTTTTTGAGTAATGAAGCATCCATTTCAACGAAAAGAAACTAAGTTAGAAAGTGCATTTTAAAATAAAAACAAAATGCAAAAGGCAAAATGGAAAAGTGAGGGAGAGAGAAAAGAAGGACAGAGAGAGAGAGAGAGAGAAAGAAAGAAAAAGAAGATACTATTATTTCAGAACAATTGTAAACCAAATTTTTTTTTTTTTTTTTAAATGGCTTTTCTCTTCTTTAAAATCTGAAAAATTCATTTTTTTTTTTTCTTTCCTTTTGGTAAAAAAAAAAAAATAAAAATTTTGAAATTTTTAATTGATTGATGTGAAAATTAATGAAATATTAGGAAATTTTCTTTTGTGACATTTATCTTTATGGAAAATTTTCAGTATTTTTTATTCTTTAAATGCTTTTAAGTGAAAATTTAATTGTATATTTTACATTTAACATTTCACAATTAAATACATCAATTAAATCATTCATATTTTAGCATTAGCAAAAATTATTTATGTAAGTGTTATTAATTAGCATAGACTATTTTTAAATATTTAAAGCTATCGCAATCAATCAACTGATCATATCAAATCACATCAGATAAGCTTATCAGAAGCATTTCATATGAATGTTAATTGATCCATCGATCAATTGATCGATAAACGATGGATCTTTCCTTGCTGTTTAAGAATATAAAATGGTACGAGAGGAAACAATTTAAAGTAATTTTTGAAAAGGAATTATTGAAAATGGATGCATTCAAGATTAAACATTAGCTAATTGTAAATAGGAATACTATTTTAATTAAGCTAAATTTTAAATATTTTGTGTATAAATCGGAATAATTTAAAAGTTAATGAAAGGAAATGGATTTGGTGGTAGTAGTAGTGGTAGTAGTAGTAATAATAAGTGAATTTAGTAGTAATAGCAACAGCAGTAATTCTCGTCCAAGCATCAATGGCAGTAGTAGCAGTAGCAGCTGTCCCTGTATCCGTATTTCAGTCTTAACTCTTCCTTCTTCCTTCTCCTCCTCCTCCTCCTTTTCCTCTTCCTCCTCCTTCTCCTCTTCCTCATTTCCTTTTCCTTTCTTCTTGAGAGAGAGAGAGAGAGAGAGAGAGAGAGAGAGAGAGAGGTATCTCTCTTTTAAGCTTTTCTGGATCATCCATCTCTTTATTAGTCATGCTGATGGAATATTTCAATTCGTAGTACCGAGTTCCTTATAACAATAACAGATGATTAATCATCTTCCTTTCTTACCTATTTTCTCAATTCTTTTCAACATTTTAATGTATGTGTATGTGTGTGTGTCTGTGTGTGTCTGTTTATGTTTGTTTATATATTTTGTGGTATCCAGCAAATCTTAAGTTAATATCATCATAAGTCATCTAAATTAATTATTGTAAATTAATTTTACAATTTATAAAATAATTATATAATTAGTATATAAAATTACAGCGATAATTTTTTATTGAGTTTGTATTTTTTTTTTTTAAAAAAAAAAAAAAGAAGGAAAAAAAAGAACATTAAATTCAAATAAATGCTTCCAGAATAGAATAATGTAAAAATTATTTCAGTTCATCTAATTTTTGTAATGTATCATCCGATCGTGATACACCGCTTACAGGTGATGCAGCTTCTTCGTCTTCTTCTTTCAACAATAATGTGATATTAATCTATAAATTATGAGAGAAATGATCAAACTGATAATGATAAAATAATTTTTTAATAAATTGATCAAAAAAAAAAAAGTGAAAAGTTGAAATTTTTGAAGAAATGAAAGAAGGAAGAAATGTTGTGAAGGTCGATTGGTGGATAAATCTCCGGGGGAAGTGAAAGCTCTCCGTCAGCTGCTTAAACGGGAAAAATCAATGATAGAACGAAATTAGCTTTTTTTTTTCTCTTTTTTTTTTTTTTTGTTTTTATTCCAAATTAATCTGAAAACATTTATCCTTTTATTTTTGCAAATTTACTTCCCAAAATACATTAAAGTAACATTTTTTTTTTTCTCTTTTTTGCATCACTAATACCATTAATTATGAGAAAGAATTCAAAAATTTCTAAATTTCTTAGCTTTTTAAGAAAAAATGACAAAATTTTTAATTTTTAATAAAAATCCTCAAAATAAAATTAAAATAGTTTAAAATATTCAATGAGAATGAAATTTGTTAAAAAAAAATTTCTTTTTTCTTTTTGAAAAAAAAAATATGAATGATGTAAAATGAAAAAGAAAAAAGTGCGCAATTGTCAGGATGACGTAACAATGTACTTTATCTGAATGGCAAATTTTCAAAAAATATTTGTAATGATTTTATTCTATGATTTATAAATGATTGGCAAAAGTATTAATTTGATCTGTTGGATAAAATTTTTTGATTAGCAAAAAAAGACAAAATAATTACAAATTTTATTGGCACAAAAAGAAAAAGAAAAGAGAAAAGGAAAAAATGTTTAAAAAAAGTTTTGTCATACATTTGAATACTTTGCATAATTTTTATTAATTTGCTAATAAAATTTAATTTGATTTCATTAAAAAGAAAAAAAAAAAAGCAAACAACTGGCATGTAAATACTTTTGATAAATATTATTATTATTATTATTACTATTATTATTTTTATTATTATTATTATTATATGTTGATACCTCATCCATAATAGTTTTAATTCCCATTCGAGTATTTACATCACTTTTTTCACTTTTGTCAATTACAAATTTTTCATCCGATGCTTTTGATTTCATTAAATGTGCTGGGCTAAACAGGGCAAAAACAAATTGTCAACACAAATTCATAATTGCACTGATTTTTTTTTTGTTTTTTGAATTGATATTTGCTATATTTCTTTATGGCAAAAGATTTTATTTGTTTAGAAATGAATAAATAATCATCGTTAATTATGGTTTAAATTAAGACAAATGACAGTGTTTTAATTATGACAGTGCTATATTAATAATACTAATTAGCAATTATAATTATAATTAACAGATATGGTCAATGATTATTGCAACATGCTAATTTAAATTATAAACATCTGGCTGACATGATCAAATGATAGAGGAATAATAGTTGATAGTAAGATGAAAAAGTGAGATCAAATGAGCATTCACAATTTATAACTCACAATCGATTGAATTTTGAAGCATTTTTAGCGTTAGGTTCCCAATCATATGGATCAGCTAAGCTGTGATTTTCTTTTTTCAGGATTTGCTTGAGAAGTGACTTTAATAAATTATAGTCTGAAAATGACATTTTTTTTTTTAATTTTGTCTTTAATAAAATTAAATTTATTCTGTCATTTTATAGTGTGTCAAAAAAGAAAAAAAAGAATGAATAGATAGATGATTGATTAATATTTAATATTTCAATTATTTAGCATACCTGGTTTGTGATTGTAGTTTAATTTTTTAAGATGCTTTAAAAAAACATGAAATTCCATAGGTAAACTTGATATAAGTTTTTCTTCAGAATTTGTTTTACAATTTTCAGTATGTGCTCGATCCATGCTACGCCTCAAAAAAAAATTTTTTTTTTTTTTTCATTAATAATTTATTGTAATCAGTTATTGTTAATGAGTAATAAATAATGAATAATGATAGCAAATTATCATTGATATTATTTAATTATATCAGTGATAATTTCAGGTTGCATTTAATGATTAACAATGATAAAGGGAAAGAAAAAATTATATTAACAGTGGAAATTTAAAAGAGAGACATTTAAGTGGAAAATTTTATTTAATTGTTAACCCATTTTATACCACGGCAAAGTGCCAAGTATCATCTCGGCTGTCATATATAAAAGTGACCATAAATCATCATGACGTCCCTGCTCATCGTGACGATGAACATTTATTGAACAGTATCGAATTGTACCACGGAATGGTGCAGTTTTACGTGGTTCACGTAATTTCATATTACCTTTCTCATCAAATATCTTAAAATTAATTAAAATTGAAAAAGATAGAATCATTTGAGAAAATGAATAATTAACTAATTTATAAATGAAAAATGTCAACAATTATTAAATAAATAAAAAAAAAAGTGCCATTAAAGTGTATAGATTTGATATAATTGATTATTTTAATGCAATTATTAATATTAATCAGATAAATATACAACGCTTAATTAATTAGATAAACAAATGTTTATTTACAAATGCTACAAATACATTATGATATGATATTTTTTTTCATTGCAAACATATAAAAAATTGGAATTTTTTAAATTATAATTTTTAAAAAATGAAAATTAAATAATTAATTGAAAAACAAACACAACACTGTCTAGCAATCATAATTTTTAAAAATAAAAATTAAATAAATTGAAAAAGATTAAATAATTAATTGAAAAACAAACACAACACTGTCTAGCAATCATAATTTTTAAAAATAAAAATTAAATAAATTGAAAAAGATTAAATAATTAATTGAAAACCGAACACAGTACTGTCTAGCAAGACCAAAATCAAGCATAAATACAGTACGCATTACTGATGGCTTACGACCCATAGCAAAATTTGATGGTTTAATATCACGATGAATAAATCCAACATTATGCAAATCTTCAATTCCTTCCAAGCATTGAATACATAATTTCACTGATGTTGATAATGTGAAACGCTAGGGAAGAAAAAAAAAAAACAAATAATTAATTAATAATTAGAAATTTGAAAATTTATTAAACATTAAATTGTTTTTGATTAATTTGAGAAATTTGAATAATTTTCCAAGGTAAAATTTTTTAATTTTGCGAAAGTTATTTTTTATATTCACTTAATTTTGTTATAATAATTTAAATAACTATGCTAAAGGTGCTATAAGAAAAAAAAAAAAAAAAAAAACCTGATTTGGACAATGCTTTCGTAATTCACATAATGATTTTGATAGTAAAGTCATTATTAAAAAATAATAATTGTCACCCTAAAATATCATTTTTTTTTTTTTTGCATTAAAAATTTGAATTCAGTTTAATTATTTTTGTGTTTATTTTCCATTTTATTTATTTTTAAAAATAATTTTCTGTTTGTCTGATTAAAATTAATTGATCTGATTCAGTATTTATTGTTTATTAGTTTTTATAATAGAAACGAAAAATGTAAGTCATAAATTTAAATTAAAAATTCATTGAGATAATTTTTAAAAAAAAAAAAAAAAAAAGCTTTCAAAGGATTATTTGATTTATCATTATCACCTTTCCAGCCGCATAAATTTTGCATGCATGCTTTGATTTGTCTAACTTTTTCAAAACATGTACTTCCATTTTCAAAATCTGATCATCGTTAAGCATTCCAACCGGTTCCGTTTTCATGGCTGCCATTTGAACTGGATTTTGCATATTAACTACTTGAAAAACTAGGCCATAACCACCTTGTCCGATTCGGCGTAATATCTGTAGCATAATATTGGGAGGAAACGATGTTGTGTGCATATTAAAAAAACTTTTTTTTTTTTTAAATTTCAAAGTTTCATATTTCAAAAATGAACTAAAAAATATTTTAATAGTAGCCAATATCATTTCTGATCAGTGTTGAAATTAAGTTAATTTATTTCTGTTTTATACAAAATATTCTAAACCAAAACAAATTTTCAAAATAATATAAATTACTTCAAAAATAGTTGCAGTCAAATGTTTATGGTTAAATCAACTTTCAACGAAGAATATTTTTGTCAACAGATATTCTTAAGAATGTGACATTAACAGTTATAAGTAATTTATAACATGCACCTGCCACTGATTTTTTACCACACTACCAATTTTAAGCTTAACTTTTTGCAAATCTTCTTTACCCATTCACCGCCAACCGCTAAATCTGTAAACAAATAAAATTTTCCTCTGAAAGTAATATTTTATATTAGACAATGGAAATTTGAATATATCATATAATGAAAGCAAAAAGAAAGAAAAAAGTTGCATTTCCAGTTGAAACTTTTCATCAAATTATAAAACAGTGAATAATTGCACAACGATTGCTATAGTAACAGTAGAAGAAAAATATTAAATTTAAAAATTCTCCTCTAATTTTGAATTAACATTAAAAATAAAAATTAATTCAAAACAAGAAAAAAATCCGATATTCAATACTATGAGAATTTCACTGTTTCCAGTGGAAAATATAATCTGAGCAGAGTTATTATTATATGAATGATAATATTAGCCATTTGATCTGAACTGCACCGTTTTCAATCTAGATCAATCAATCAATAGATCAATGCTGTTTCATTTTTTCTTCTGTTTGTTTTATTTGCGCTGCTGAATGATATCTTAATAACAGGGCAGTAATTGTCCAAGATGAGATCAATGATATGCCAACCCAATGACTTACATTCCAATGATCCGAATAAGCATACTGAGACCATACTTGTGCAGCCAAAGTTAATGTACAAATCTGTAAATAAAAAATTAAAAAAAAGAATTTTTTTTTTCATAATTAATTAAATATTCTTATAATAATTATTTTTTTATACTTAAATTAAAGAATTAATGATTTGCAAATATTTCTGTTTTATTTTTTTTTTTTTTTTTTTTTGCAGCCTTTGAACTATTATTTCTTTTAAATTGTCAACGAAATATTAAGAGATTTCTGAAATTTTCGAGCTAAATTCTTTCTAAAAAGAAAAAAAAAAAACATTGAATTAGCGCAAATGCAATATTTTAAAAATGATTGTTATTGATTAACTTAACAGATAACCATTGATTAACATAAGAATAGTAATTAAATAATGAATAATATAATTTGAAATTATACCAAAGATCGACAATCGATAGCAATTAAACGATCTGTCGGCTTTTTCCAATGTAAAGCATGGCTACTGATCACAGAAGAGGTCAAAAAGTCAGTACCCATAAGTCTAGCACAAAATTCATGTGATACACCCAAATGTATACGAACCTGAGAGTATTTTTAAAGTTTTTTTTACTAAAATTCAATTTAAATCTAATTTTGAAAAAATTAGATTAATTAAAGAGGAAGTGGAAAAGGTCCTCAAATAGCATTTATAACAATAAATTAATCAATCTTTTATGAATACTAATTTATGTTGATTAGAAAACAAAATATTTTAAAGGTGTTTTTAAAAATTTGAATAATCATAGCAAAAAAAAAAAAAAGAAGGAAAGTATTGATGGAGAAAAATTATCTGATTAAAATAGGTAAAATGCAATTGAACATGAAATAAATCTTTCATCCGGAAAATTTGTCAAAAAGATTCGTACGTAATTTAGCTTGAAAGTAAATCTGATACCTGACGGTGTAATAACCATTCCGGAAATGCAAGCCATGCAACACCAATAATTACACATACAAGACTATCCATCTGGAAAAGAATATTTTCCATAACATTCGTAATGACCGTTTCTCCGAGTGACCATCGATGAGCTGTTTGTAGGCAAAAATTCATTGCTAACCAACAGTAGCACCAATATTTGGCGATTTTCAGATACTGAAAAATAAGAAATTATACGAAATGAAAAAAAAAAAAAAGAAAAAATATCCAAATGTTAGAACTGTTATCATAAATTTAAAGCATCTAAATTAAGAGAAAAAGTCAGAAATTTCAAATCCATTGAATATCATTTTAAATAATACTTCAATTTCCAAATGTATTTTCTCTCTGGCATTCCATCATCTATTTCATTATTAAATTTAATAAAAATTTAAACTACTCACATTAGGATGAATTAAATTTGGTGTTTCTGCTGAACAATGTACCAGGACTAGAAGTACTGATATTAATTCCTAAAAATAATTTTATCACAATTTATTTATCTGCTATAAAATTTAATGAACTCATAATTTTTCAAAAACAAAAATCTAATATAAGAAGTAAAAATTTCTATTGTAAAAAATTTTTTCTTTTTTATTCAAAAGATTTAATATTAAAATTGTATGTATTACAATTTTTTTTAATGAATTAATTCTTTTTGTAAAAAAAAAATCATGCAAATAAGTGCATTTTCCTCGAGAAAATTTCTCGAGGAAATTGTTCATCACACCTCAGTAGCTCTCGTTAATTTGTTTACAAAATATTTCAATAGAAGATGAATTATTAATGGATGAATTAAAAATGGTACCAAAATTCGAACAATATGACAAGCAGATAGTACATCCACTGAAGAATTTCTCAATTTGTATATTAGAAAACCAGCACCAATATGTTGACAACCGATACATCTAAGCAAATGCCAATGGACGCCATCTGTTTCTTGTACCTGGAATTTTTCAAATAATTTAAATTAATAATTTTTAAATCAACATTTTTCTTCAATCCTAATGCAAGTAATTCAGGAGAGAAGATTGCCAGAATTCTTGAAGCTTTTTAAAATTTTAAAATGGTCAATAATTATGAACATTTAACTAAATAGTTGAAGCAATTATAACATGGAGTGATTCCTGAGAATTAAAAATTGCAAATCATTAGAATTTCTAAGTTTGATTAATTTTGAAGGACAAAGGCAAATAATTCATTGAATCGATGACGTCAATATTACACGTATGACGTGTTTACACTTATAGGAAGTGAGTAATATCTATTATTCCTAAAATTTAGGACAATAAATTGAAGTTGAATTTAAAAAAATTCATTTATGATTAATTAGAAGGAAAAAAAAAAAACTTACAAAAATAAAATAACCGATGAGAGAAGGTGTAAAAAATAATAGGAAACCAATAAAGAGAGATACAGCAGCATCAATAAGTAACAAACTGCGCTGCAGCTCCATGATCGGTAGCAACTGCCGCTTACCAATGAACCGTAGAGTTTGAAAGGTTGCTGATGCGGTAACATCGGTAATAGGCCCCGCCCGTATTTGAGGTTGTACAGACATGTACTGTTTCCCTCGGAATTTGACCGATCACAGAAAGAACAGTATTTGTCACTCACTCAATTGTCTCCTTTTCTTCCTCTGCTATTTCTTCTCTAAAAATCAGCTGAGATGGCAAAGGAAACAAATCAAAGTTTGAAGTCAAAATTTTTGAGGTTAAATATGAAAAAAAAAAAAACATTCTTCAAAAGCTAATTCGTAACTGGAGGAAACCGGAATAGCCGTCCACAGGAGATGACTAAACTTATTGATTAGAATGAACTGGTGACAAATTCCTTTTATAGATGTAAGAGAATATACCGCCCATTTCTACAAATAAACATTCATTATTATTCACAAAATTATTCAACTAATATTTTCATTGCTCAGTTTAATAAAACATTTATAAATAAATCTCAAAAGAAGAGGGAAAGATAGTTAAGTGTGTTTTAAATTAGAATGGCGCATTTGACTATGTTTCTCGATGATTATTAAATATTAAAAAAAAAGAATAATCAGATGTACAGCATATTTTGCTTCATTTTTTTTTTCCATTTTTTTTTATTATGAATGAATTGTCACATCTCTTATCGTTAAAAATCAAACTGCGCCAATGATTTTATCTGAGGCGCACTTTTAATTTTCCTAGATGAACGAATTCTTTGTTTACGTATAACAAAAAAGGAATATGACACAACTAAATAATTTTTGTGGTATGATGAAAATTTTTGCATTATTTATCTATTTTAAAAATGAAAAATGTAATGAAATAAATATCATGAGCGCTATTGTCCTGTACAATTTTCACTGTAAATAATTATCATATTCAATTGTTTATATAATATAATTAACGAAGTGGACATTTTCATTTCGTCTAATTTTTTATTCCATTCATTCTGTTTTATTTAAATTAAAAAATCAATAAAAATTTGATTAGATGGTTGATAAAATGATTCGAATGATAGTTATTATCATTAAATTTCATTTTATATTTTAGTATCTTATGATAAAGGTTTCTTTCTCTGTGTCCACAAGAAGATCAATGGTCAGTGGACTGATTGTACAAGCGACCTATAAAAGAAAATCCTGTGAAATATAATCGATTCAACTCAGAAAAGTTAAAACATTGAAGAAATATCTTCTCTCTCTCTTTGCTTCTCTCTCTCCTCTCTCTCTCTTTGATCTCCTCTGACAGATGTCAATATTCATTGCAAGGCATTACTATAAAACTATTAATGTTTCATTTTATTTCATTCAAATCATTTCATTTTCATTTAAATCATTTCCATATGTCATTCAAAATAATTAGCTTAGGAAATGATTAAAAGAGATAAATAATTAAAAAGAGATTAAAGTAATAGCTATTAAGAAAGAAGATAAATAGTAAATATTTTATTCGTTTAAAGTTATCGGATGAAAATGGAAGAGATAAAAAAGATAAAAATTGCATATTAATGTAAAAAAATGATTACTTTTTTTATGACAAAATGATTAGTTTCTTTGTTGGTCAAATGTTAACAAAAGTTTATTGCAGAAATTATCAATTTAAAATATAAAAATGAAAGATACAAATTTTACTGATTAATATATTTATTTTTTGAATATTTACGAGTTATGAAAAGAGGAAATAACTTTCTATCAATTAGTTTTGTTTTATTTTTATTATCAAATTAGTAGTATGAACAACATTACACTTTAAACTTTTAAGGTTTTTTTTTTTAAAAAAAAAAAATTTAAAAACATTATTTAATTACACTTCTAGGCTATGAAGAAAAAATTTTTCATAGACTATAAAAAAATTTATTCTTACAATATGAGAATAGATGAAAAGTCTCGTATCAATAGCACTGATAAGAAAAGATAATATTAGTAATAAAGAAGAAATAATAATAATAAACTTTCAGTAATTCCAACATTAAATTAAATACTTTAATGCAAAAAGTGGAAACAAAAAGTTTAATTTTGAATAACAGATTCATTGGCATTAATGCATATCTAAAATCATTAAATAATAATTCAAATAAATTTTATTTTAATAAAAATTAGCATTTAGCGCATTAAATAAATAAATGTAAATGAATTCAATAAATATAAATAAATTCATCAAATGTTCAACAAATAATCATTATTTAATAGTGTCAGTGTGAACGTTAGGCGCTTTCCTACAAGTCTTTGTCAGTTTAGCTTAAACAATGACATCAATAAATGCCGCAAGAGCGGAGTTGGTAGTTAGATAATTAATTTTGCTAAATGTCAAGCTTTTCAGTGCAAATTAAAAATATTTCAAATAAATAGAGCATGTTAAAACTCTTATCTGATATGATAAATGTCCTCTCGATAACAATAGAATTACAAAAGAACATTCACATGGCAAAAAAGTATTAAACAAATTTTAAGATAAAAATAATAAAATGAATTTTCTGATTTACAAAAAGTTTGATGATGAAAAATTATCATCTGATGCTACTATATCAATTATTTGACTAAATTTGTAGAAAGAATTTTTAAGCAAAAAAAAAAACAAAACAAAAAATTTGAAGATTTGATTTTTTAATTTTGAGAATTGCAATACTCTTTAAATTATAATCATAAAAATTTATCATCTGTAACAGTAGGTATGAAATAATAGATTTTCTAATCAAAAAAAAAAAAATTATAAACTTAATTTTTGCATCTTTAAAATTTTATCAAATTTTTTTTTTGGTAAAATTTAAAATTTTCAGAAATCAGCAAATGGTAAATATGGATATCGAAGCAATAGCTCGAATTGAAGCTGCAACAAAAACATTAAATGTCACAAAAAATAAAGGATACGATGATATTATTATTTCAGAGTATAACTATTTCTGCTTATTATCAATTTAAAATTAGCCCTAATCAACCAATCATTAATTTTTCTCTTTTTTTATAATTTGAAATATATTAACATTAAATAATTTGAAAGCAAGCTTTCTTTTTTTTTTTTTTTTAGAAGTAAATCGTTCAGTGGCAGTAAAGTAAGTGTTTTGCAATACTATTATTGCTTCTCGAGAATTTCCCCTAAGCTTTTAGTATTGCTTATCTATAGAAAAGTTAACTTACACTTACTTATACAACAAATAACTTTTAAGTTAGTAAATTGTGTTATATTTTTATCATTTTGTGGATATTTAAATTGTAGAATTTGATTGAACAGTTAGTTAGTTCATTTGCTTGCTACATCTGCTGATCAGCGCTTTTTTTCTTTTTTTTTTTTTTCAAATTTTGAGTTAAATTAAATTTCAGAAAGAAATTAGCCAGAAAAAAGATAACAATGTGATGCAAAAAGAAGAAAAATGGCCACAACAATGGCACGAGAAAACAGAAAAAGCAATTATACTGCCCGCAACGGAGGTAAACAAAAGATATTCAGGTTAATGGGAATTACTCAATTTTAATTCTATAAAATCATTTTGCATAAAATTAAAATACTAACTTACTTATTCATTTACTTAATTTTTTTTCGTTTCTTACTGCTCCCCTTTAACATTTAGCGTTGATTACAAAGCTTTTAGATCAATCAGCTGGAAGAAAACCAACGGATATCAGAGCATCAAAACGTAAGATTAATTAGACAATTGTTTAAGATATTTTCATCATAGCGTTACTAGTAACCTGAACAGGTGTTAAACTTATCAGTTGTTAGAGTATGATGACAGAGACCAAATGATAATAATTTATAGTTGCCGTTTCAGCAGAATTTACAATTCCTACTTTTATTGCATTAATTTCTTTCTATTTTATCTTTATTATCTTTTAAGTTTTTTTATTTTTTAGTTTTTTTTTTTTCAATTTTTTGAATTTTTAAGTTTTCGTTTGAATTTTTAACAGTCAAAAAAAATTATTAGTATCACACAGGTGTGAATCACATTAATTAGATACGGGTAGCAAACCTATTTGTCTTTTCATTTTTATAAATTTATTTCAATTCTGACTAGTTAATTATTTATGCTTATTTTTACTGAAATAATTATTGTAAGACTAGTAAAATAATTATTATAAAATAATTATTACTATTTCAATATTTTAAGCAAAAATAAAAAAAAAAATTTTTCCTTTTAAACTTTCGAGATATTTGATTTGATTTAGTTCGTTTAATTTGTTTTCTTTCTCATAATTGAGATAATATTAATTTGCATATTAAGTTTATAGGAATTTCTCTAATTGCATAGAAAGTAAGAAGATGCAATCATAAACAAATAATTGAAATGAATATTTTAATAGGTTCAAGGTCAAAGAAGAAATATAAGAGAAGAAAAGGATGTTGTGGTTGTTGTTCCATTTCATGAAATAATTATCATTTATGAATAAACAAGCAAAATTTTCTTGTTATCCTATTTTACAACTAATTATGATTAATTTGTAAATTTTGTGCTTTTTTTTTAAAAAAATACATCGGAAATCAAAAATACCGTCTATTCAACAACAATTACACTGAAGAAAGAAAAAATTGTGTTTTTTTTTTAACTAAATGCTAAATTTATGTCATGCAAAATTAATGTATATTGCATGCAATTAATGCATGCAGCATTAATGCTGCACACCATAACAACCTGCAATAATTGAAATTTGAGTTTAAAAAAAGATAAAACGAGCAGTGATAGTATTATCTGTCATTTTTATTGTGTTATAAACTTGTTTGATACAATTGTTGGCATTCATTAAATGCTCAATTATTTAATAATGACGAATATATGTATTTATCAAGTTTTTCATGCAAAAATATTTGCGCAGAATAGTGCAATACTTATGGGACATTACCTATTGCTTTTACTTAAACTTATGGCCTCATGGCTTTCTAGGCTTATGGCTTCATAATTTGTGGATTTTGTAATGTGTTGAAAGGAAAAAAAAAATGAAAAAAAACATAAAAATAGCAATGGAGAAAATGTAGTAATAAAAACAGAGAAAATTTTCAATGTTTTCTTTTTTTTTTTGTTTTTTGTTTTGGATACATTTAAATGTCAAATAAATTTTGATTGTACGATAGGATACAGTTAAATCATTAAAGTTTCATTAATTAAATGATGGAAAGATTACAGGTGATAGAAGTTAGCACCAAAAAGTGAGAACAAAGCAGAATATTTTCTTTAAAATTTGTTGACCTGAAAAGAAAAGAACAATGATAAACATCTTTACTTCAATTTCAAAAATCATTCAACGCAAATACAAACGCGACTATCGTTTCTAAAAAAAAAAAGAAATTTTGTAGCTTTTTTTTTTTCTTGCTGAGAATTAATTGTATAAATTTGAAAAAATTCAAATTATTTTTTCTAGGAGAAATTCTCAATTTATTATCCCATAAATACAATCACATTCTAAATTCACATTGTGAAATTAAATCTATGTTCGAATAATCAACAAATTTATAACTTGTTTTCAGAAAAAAAAAAACTTTCTTTTTTTTTAAGAGAAAGAGAGAGCGATAGAGAAAATTATACTTTAAATGAGATGTAGAATTGAAATTTTTGAATTTTTAAAAATTGCTGAAATTTGACCACAAAAATGTATTATCAAAAATTTTGCTTTTCCTTTTCTTGTGAAATCCATTTTTATTCTAATGCATGATCGATAGCTTTTTGAATGTTACTGTAAGCATCAGCTCCAAGGTAATCAGGATGACCCACTTCCCAAGCACGCATACGCTCTTCATCGGTTGGTGGTGATGACTGATCAAACGAAACACCAGGTATCTTAAATTATTATTAGTTTTTTTTTTTTTTTTTTTTTAAATTTTAATTTTAATAAAAAAAAATTTGAAATACAAAAAGAAAAAAAAATAATTCGTTAAATTTGCATTATAATTTTGCACTGAGTTAACGTTGTTCTGAAATTAGAGTACATCACAAATTTCACAAAATTTCTAAGTACTTCAATTGAAGATTTTGAATTTCAACTAAAGTTATCTTACTAACCTTATCTTATCCTCTTCATATTCTACTGTTCCCTTTATCAAATGATCCTAAAATAACTTCCAAATAATTTATCACCTACGGTTCACTCATTACAAGTCATTTTCACTTTGACACTTAATTATTATATCTTTCAGAAATGATAAATATTAAAGTATGGGATTTCAAATCTAATTTTCAACTACTATTCTTAATTATGATTTCAATTATTTTAGTATTTCGTAGAACTATCATCTACAATTACCGCTTACTATTTTATTCCTTTTTTTTTGCCAAAAATTAAATTTCTAAACTCCAAGATTTTACTTTAACAATCAAATTTATATGAGTAGAAATAAAACAAGTAGAAATAATTTAAAGTTTTGAATTTAAAATTAATTTTTTTTTTTTCATAGTGCAAATCTGCATATTTATAATAAATCTGAGTTTTGTCTGTAACGATGGATAAGTGTTTTCTGTTAATTTGATTAAATAAGTATTACATGCATAAATTATACAAACACTGAAAATTATGTGTTATAATCAGCGATTAGAAATTTCTCACAAAATTTCATACCATTCAGTCTTTGTTCTTGCCGCCAAGCAATTTACAATAATTATTGTAAGAGATTAAAATGAGATAAAGAATTGCTAAATTAAGAACATATCACATTGATATCAGATAACTAGCTATATGATTACTCTCTTAGTGATAACTATTATTAGCATAATGATTAAGTAATAAACACAATAAAAATGAAAATTGTTATTTTTAAATTTCGAAAGAATTTCAAAAGCTTTTTAAAAAGTGAAACTTTAGCAAATATGTCTTGTTCTTGTATCAAAAAATTTTAATTTAATTAATTCTTTAATTTTTTCATTTAACTAATATTTCTATTTGTGCTATTAAAAAAAGAAAAAGTCAGAGAGCAATTTTTTTTTTTTTTGTATTACTAATTTGAAATTATTCTTTGGAAAAAATAATTATACAACAGGTTGCAAAGAAATGTTTCAAGTTTTATAGATGCTACTGGAATCAGTCAGTGTTAATTGACCTAATTAATCGCTAATAAAAAAAAAAAAAAAAAAAAGAAATTCGGACATTTTATTTTAAGCGAAAAGTCGTTTATTGAGTTATACTGCAACACATCAAAGTTTGTTAAGGGCAGAAGACATGCAAAAGTCATTAATTTTAATTTGACAGTAATGATTTTGAAGTACTTCACTAACTAAGAACTAAACTTTCTTTCAGGAAATTTTGAAACTAAAAAGAGCCGAAATCTAATAATCAAAAAGTTTATGATATTATACAAAATTATATAACTTACATTGTTAACAATTTTACTTTCATTCCACTGATAGATCAATGTTAATGAATTGTAAACTTAAGAGAAAACTTAAAATGATTAAAGTATTATCGTTAAACTTATATTCAATATATTACTGCCAAGGAAACAAAATGTATTAATTGTTTAAATCTTACAGTTTAATACTAGCGAATATCACTCAAAAGAAAAGGCTAATTTGAAGAGTTAGAATAATAGTGTTGAAAAATAAACATTTCAAATTAATAGTCAATAGTCAATTGTAGTGCACTCACAAGTGAGAAAAGTGTCATCTGCTTGGCGAGATGAGTGGGTGGATGGCGCAATGGTCTCCATGCCCCATAAACTGGCGGTACACAACGGAAAACTGGCATGCAGAGAGGATTAGGTGGGTCACCGTTATGTGACAGAATTGCTGACTGACTCCTTCGGCCATATTTACTAGTGTCCTTTCCAGAAGTAAAGGGAATGGTGACAGTAACAGCAGTAGCAGTAGTAGTAGTAGCAGTAGTAGTTGTAGTAGTAGTAGTTGTGAAAATAGTAGTTGAGGACAATGATGGTGCGGTGGTGACTATCTTTGTGACACGTTGAGATGATGGTGAAGAATGTGACGAACTCACATGTGATGTGACGAGATTCGAGGTCAGTCGACTTTTAAACAATGACCACCAGTAGTCAAGATGCTCGGAGTAATGGACACTATCCGTTGACTGTTGCCATGGCTTCACTGGACCCAGAAAGTGTACAATTTTCACCTAAATTATTAAACGAAATGAAATGAAATGAAATAATTTAATAATAGTCAATTAATGCTAATCATTGAATTATGATACAAAAAATTTTAATATATTCAGAAAATTGCTTTAGCATAGATAAAATTAAAATAATCAAATTTTATCGGAAATTTGTTTTTGTTTTTCTTGAAACGATGCAACAATTTCATTTAATAAAATAAAATTACAACAATTAATGTCAAAAATTTGTTTGTAAACACTGCGCTGATAATGCTTTGCAATTTTACAATTTCTCTTTTCAACATTTCATAATTTAATTAATGAGTTGTGTTAGAGGAATAATTGAAGCATACCTGGGCACCGTACTTTTTAAAAGCAGCAGCATAAGTATAAATTGCACCAGAGGTCATATTGTAAATGAAAGGTAATCGAAAAGCTGGTGGTTTATCTCGCCAACCTTTGAAAAATTGATTCAATAGACCTTGGTCACCACCTATAAACAATTGAACGATAAAGTGCTTTTCTATATTTAATTACATATCATTTTAATTTTAATAATAAGAAAAAAGAAAAGATACGAAAGATGACAAATCAAAGTTGAATTAATAAATTCAACAAAATGAATGAATAAATAATCACTTAAATAGATGTTGCATAATTACTAATTTAATAAATTTAGCCTTCTCAATCATTCTTTCAGATAAATATTTGACTAAAAAAAAAAAAAAAACGAAACACAAATAAACAAATTGTATACCATCAAAGGAGCCATGTTCAAGGGCAAAATTTAAAATGTCCAAATATGTCTGTTCAGATGGCTTATAAACAAAAACACCTGAATTAAAGCAATCCGGCCAACCAATATCTGCTACAGCAGATAATTCATCATGATCGAATAATTCATCAGCATTTTGAATAACCTGAATATATTAACAAAAAAAAAAAAAAAAAAATAGAAAAAAAAAATTAAATCTCATGGCTAAAATAATAAAATTATTAACAAATCATAAAGCTAGAATAATAATAAAATTAAAAATACTCAACGAATTATAAAGCTAAAAAATTATGCATATAATATTATTTCGTCAAATATTTAAACAAAAAAAAAAAGATTACAAAACTAACAAGGCAATCAGCGTCGAGAAAAATACATTTAGTGTATTGTGTAAGCCTCCAGCAATGTATTTTAGTAAAAGTTACACCCAAATCAGGTCTGCCAATTAAATGTAAATTTGCTGTATCGTTGCTATCCAAAATATTCACCAAATTAATACTATCAAATGTTGCAGCAAGCTCATCCCTTTAAATTAAATTATTTTAATGTTTAATTTTATAAATTTATTTTATTTATTATTTATATATCTATAAAAATTTCGAAAAAGAAGAAAAGAAAGTAATGAATTATTATTAATTACAAATTATAAACAATCATTTGTTTTATATTTCTAACCTAAGTTGTTGTGATACACCAGTTGTTATCATACAATGTAGTTTCTTGGTAGTTTGTTGAATTTTCAACGAATGAGCTAAAACAAGTGCTCCAATAGCATATCCATCTGATGTCGCCAGTGTCACCCATGCTTCACTCATTCTTCCTGCAAAACTTGCAAAAGTATAACTATGATCAAGTCAAATTGCATGTATGCATGCATAGATGACGTACAGATTGTAAATATACTATATTTTATCATCAATTTCTATCTGATAAGATAATTCATTCATTCTATTTCACTTAGACAACTTTTTCAATCACAAATGCTATTCAATTCGTAATGATTTGTTTGAAATATTTATCAAATAAATGAATGAAACAATATGACAACAACAATTTACAGTAATGTGACAAATGAAATTGACACTCTCGTTTTTTTTTTTTTTTTTTTTTTTTTTTTTTTTGTTGTTTCACATTTGAAGATTTAATAGAGAAATTGAACTTTTCGCGCATTTTTGTCAAATTTTCCATTTCAATTTAAATTAATTAATTAGTTAATTAATTGATTAGAGATGAATAAATTCAAATTCGGTGTTTAAAACACTAGCAAACATTAGAGCCAAAGATTAATTTAATTAAATATAGAAATTTATTTTTCATTTAATCAGAACTAAAATCAAAAAAGTAATTTGAGAGTTAGAAAAAAAAGAAAAATTTAGAAAAGAAAATTTGAAGTAGTATAAGAGCAAAAGAATTCAAACAAATTTCTTCTGTAACTTCTGTTTATCTAAGCTAAAGAGCTAACAGCAAGTTAAATTAGCAGCGGAAGCAATTCATATCATCGAACTATTTAGCCGTCAAAATCATTCATTAAATTCAGCAACTCACTCTTACAACAATTATTCCTTTCCCATTTAATTTGTTCTAATTTACCACGAAAGAACACTTTTAAAAAAAAAAAAAAATTTATCACATAATCATTATCAGTAAATGAAAAAAAAAGAAATTTGATAATTATTATCAAATAAATAATTTTTAAAAAAATGTTGTTTTCATATTGTAATAGTATTTCATCGATTGTAAAAAAAAAAGAACTTTATGTGATGTATATTTTAATTTTCTTAGAGATTAAATTCATTTATCAGTTAATATTGAATAGCTTTAATTCGATCTTCCAATGCTATTAGAATTTCATTTCTTTAAAGTAAATATTTTTCATAAGAAAAAAAATGTTGCAGAAGCTATCTCTTCTTATAATTATTGGCAGTTTATAGCATAATGTTAGCATAAACTTTTGCAATTTATTGTTATGAAAAGAAAAAAATCTGAAAATATATTTTGTTAAATTTAATAAGAAAAATTGAAAAAAAAAAAAAGAAGAAAATCTTACTTACTCGCGGAAAAAGGAAGTAAAAAAAGGAAAATAAAAAAATTTAGCAAGAAAAAAAAAGAAGTTATTTACATAACAGTATTGCCATTATTTACTATTTACATAACAATGTTGCCGACAGATAAAATGAAGTTTAATAGTAATAAAGAAATAATAAATAGAGGAAAAATTATAAATAAATACTTTGTGAATTCAAGTTTGGAATAGTAATTTTTAAAATAAATTGTTAAATTTTTAAGTGAATTTAAATACAAGAACTTTTGTGTAAATAATGAAATCACTTCTTTTCTTTTTTTTCGAATAAGTGAAAGAATTAATTAAATTAAACAAAATGTTAATAGGATAAAACTAATGTTTACACACATAATAGTTTTTAAATAATAAATTAGATTTTCATTATAAAACATTTGCGCCACCAAAAGGAAAAATAAAGCTTAAAAGATTGATATGCGCAAAAAGTATTGCAAACAAAAACTGTAACAAAGCCACAAGAATGGCTATGGCTACTTTTCCAGTGACAGATGGGTTAAAAATGAGCCAAGAAAATGATTATTTGAAGGCTAATTTGGCTTGTTATTTCTAGGCCATATATACTTAATGAATTGCAGTAATTCATGAGAATGAGATTTGAAAATGAAAATTGTTTAATTTTAGAAATAATTTTCGAAAAATGGAATGAAATGAGAGAAATAGCATAAACTAAAAGTATAACAATGGAGCGCTCCCGTCGATTTGATTGTCAATGCATTCATCTCAATTTCATGCTAAAAAATCATTTGTTATTTTTATATTTTTGAAAAAGACTACGAAAATTTTGATATGACTAAACCAATGCTTTAATGCCATCTGTTCAATTTATCAATTATTTTTAAACTATTAGTGCTGGTTTATTAATTTTTTTTTTCCTTTTTTTGTTATCATTTTTTGATTATATCCTAAAACTTTACATTATTATCCCATTAGCAATAATACATCATTTCTACTAATTTGTCATCAAATGCATTAGCATATTATTTTAACTTAATTAAACTTACAAAAAAAAAAAAAAAAAATAGCAATGAGGAAGGAAAAATTCATTTGAAATCATTTATTAAAAATGAAAAACAATTGATTTCTAAAGCTTTTTCATTACAAAATAACTAAATGGCAAACATCTAAAGGAAACAACTGATGTTAGATGAAAGTTGCAGCTTGAAATGCAATGCAAACAGACACATACACATACATACATATATATATACATACACACACACACACACACACACACACACACACACACACACACACACACACACACACACACACACACACACACACACACACACACACACACACACACACACACACACACACACACACACACACACACACACACACACACACACACACACACACACACACACACACACACACACACACACACACACACACACACACACACACACACACACACACACACACACACACACACACACACACACACACACACACACACACACACACATACATACTTACTTACTTAAGAAGCGAAGATGAAAGTTAGCATAGTTTGCTGTCAGTAGCATACCGAAGACAAAATAACGACGTTTTTCCATCAATCAATTAATCTATTATTCATCATTTTATCATCAAAGAACATTAGCAAGAATTGCTCTTAATGCTCTATGCTACCCAAAATTTTCTTTTTTTTTTTTCTTTGAGAGAGAGAGAGAGAGAGAGAAAATTTGTCGAGATAAGAAAATTTAATTTGTTAACAGAAATAATATTAATAAAAAAAGAAATTTACTCAGTTACTTATTTTAATTAAATTGAAATGATTTAGCGCTTTTTTCTCCCAATATTAATTTGCTATTTTAATAAAATTCAGTGATTAGTTCTCTTTTCACTATTCTCTTTTGATATTTCATACAATAATTTTCATCGCTACTTTTATCTGATGCAAATGAAAATGAAATATTGTTTGTATCGATATGGTTGATTTGCATAATTTTTATTGTTTAGTTAAACATCCAAGACAAAAAAAAAAAGTAAGTGATATCTCGAAACTTACTACAATTTATTACATTACCTTTAATAATTATAAGTAATTTCAGAAAAAAGTGAATATTATTAATTTGTGAGATGAATGTAAGTAGTTTAGTGATAAATTGCGAATTTAGGTGATAAATTTTTAAAGGATTCTTCTGTATTGTACTAGATTTAACCTGAAATGCTTCACTATCTATTACAGGTTAATTTAATAAGTAATTCCAGATAAAATGGCACTTCCTCTTGCTTTTTCGTTTGCGTTAATTGTTGCTTTATCAGTTTGCTGTGTAATCAGATATCAAATATCACTTAGTGAAGACTAGCTAAATGCAAAATGATATTTTTTAACTGTTTCAAGTTATCAGCGTAAAGTTCAACGTTTGTAACTTTACAAAAATTGATATTATTAAAGAGGGATGACATTATCATATGTTGAGGTAATTACCACTAAAAGAGGTAATTTATTGAACTAACAAAAAATTAAACTTACATTAAAATTATTCATGAAAATTGATTTATGATAAATGTAAAGATAAAAAAATTCCTTCTAAAGAGTAATTCGTTAGAAATGAATGAAAAAAGGAAAGGCAAATTGTAGTTTATACAGCTGAAATGCCTAAATGTTTTTATTTTGGATGGAATAATTGGCAGTTAGTTATTCGATTAAAAACAACGATTTTAAAGAAATAACTAATAATATTTGAGTTAGAATGCATTTCATTATTTCTTTCTATTACTTTGATTGAAAACTTTAATGTGCAATGGAATGTTGAAATTTTCAATAGTTTCATTAGTAAGCTAAAATTCAAATGAATTAGTGGATAGGCGCAATTGACCAAATTTCATTTTGGATTAGAAAGTGACCTACTTTCAATCTCGAGAAATAACAACGATATAAAAAAAAAAAAAAAAAAAAAGAAAATTACAGCAACAAAAACTGAACGATTAACTTCGAGAAAGAAAAGTACGCCGAAATGGAGACATATCGATTCATGAGAACATTAATTCACAATGATAAATATAAAGTATGGAAAAGAGAGAATTGTTCTCGTCTCTCTTCTCATACAGTTATTTATTTCATTTTGGAGGAGCGCTATTTGTTTTCACCTATTGCGCTCAGCCATCGAAATGAAATGCATTGCATTGAATTTGTAGTTTTTGAATTCAAATTTTCATTTCCTGTAACAAATTTCTTATTGGTGTCATATTATTGGTTAATTAATAAAATATTCTAATTTACTCATTATTGTCTAAATTTTTATCTTGCGAAGGAACCAAATATACTAGAATAATAGGCGTTCCTTTTTTTTTTTTTTTACTGAGACTGATATGTTTGTAACTGATATTAATTAATTAATTAATTGAACTGAGTAGCACAGGTGTATATGTTGGATTGTAACGAGATATTGTAGTAGTATTTATCGAATGGAATAATCAAATGATGGCAAAATGATGAAATAAACAGTTTCGGTGTTAATTTAAAAATAAAATAATTAATAGTTTAAAATTTCAGGTACTATGCAGGTTGTTTAATTCATTCAAATATTGATTCTTATATTTTCTTTAATATCACATTTCAAAACTCATTGTGTACTTTCTCAAGCAAACACATTCAACAGAATTTCACGGTTGTAATACTCTATGATGCATTGTTGATTGATTTACGAATCTCTGAAAATTTTACTTTTATAGTTTGAATTTATCATGTGATGTGAAACTGTGACAAGAAGCACATACCTGAATAGAGGGTAACATACCTGATATAGCATGAGGGTACGTACCAGAATAGTTAGGGGGTACATACCTGAAGGATAATTTGTTTCAAGAAAAACTAATTCAGTATTGGTCAAATACATTAAAAGCCCTTGATGCCTTCTGGGGAATATGAAAAGACGAATATTTGAATAAAAGGACATTCTTCTCCGAGAGATGTAGTAAGAGCTCCCCATGAAGGAGAGATTGTGTTAGTTAAATGAACCAGAAATTGCCCGTGGTATGTGGAAATTAGCCAGGATAAAGGAAATTAAAAGAGGAAAGGATTGGAGAAGTAAGAAGTGTCTCAATAGAATTACCACAAGGAAAAACTCTCAACAGACCAGTGAATATGCTATGTCCGTTGGAAATCAAAGGCGAGGAAATTTCGGATTCTCAACTAATTCGGATTCTCTGTTCGATAAATCAATTCAAAATATCGATGAACAACAACCTATCGCTTAAGGAACTAGACGCAATCAGACAAATCTCCTTTAGTCGAGAGTGTCGCGAAATTCGAAAATAATTTCGCGAGCCTCCAAATATTTTACAAAATATACCAAATAAAATTGTATAATCCATAATATTACAATTTGTCTTAAATGAACACAAAAATGTAAAACTGTTTCAAATTGCAAACCGTAAGCAATCATTATTCCAACACTCATCTTCCCACTGTAGTTGAGCTTATCCTTTGTCTAGACATTTCCATATGACAACAAAGGGTATGTGCATTGTCTAATATGCTAAAAATTACTCCTTTGTTCCAAATCAAATGTGCTTGCAATGTCGAAATATTGCGTAAGGGTCTTCTAAAGCTGATAGTCATCCTTTGGGGAAGTACAGTATTAAAACCTATCTCTTAGTATTTAAAGAGCAAAGACACATAACAGATCTATCATTCAACGCATTCGTCTACATCAACTACAATAACAAACAATGAAGGTCTTTCAGACTGAGCCCCAACTTTCACTATACATATCTGATGGTACATACCTGAATAGCTTGAGGGTACATAGCTGATAATGTGATAAGTGATACATACCTGATGAATTACACATTAGAAGAAAATACTAAATTCTGATTTTTTGTTTTTAAAAGAATTATCCAGGTTCGAAATCGATTTTTCTTCTTTTTTTAAACAAATTCATGACTTTTTCCGAATAATATAACTTCGCTAATTCATTATATATTCATTAAAGATAGTAAATGAAAATTGATGATTGGCAACCCTTATACTTTATATTTAATTTTTCGATTTTCTGATTTGTCCTATATTTAGCTAATGTATTGCTGTAATATACTATCATTAAATTTTAATATGAGACAAACTTTAAAATTTTTTTCAGTGCATTTGGAAGTAAACTTATATGTGCTAATTACCTATCTGAATCTGATGATTATATCCATAGCAACTCCTTTCATTTGATTAATTATTACGTCAATAATTTTTTGACGCTTTTGTTGCGTATATTAATTTTTTTGAAAAGAAGCATGTAATATTTCGAATAAGGATGTAACTCGAAACTCATATATTTGAAATAAAAAACTTAATTTGCACCAGCATGAAAAGAAACAAGAAATAATTAAAGGAAACATTCATGTAATAAGACTACGACGAATATGCTGAAATGATATAAGCTGTTTGTACAGTGAAAGAAGTGTGAGTAATAGTTCATATTAAAAACTTATTCATGTCACTTGAATTTAGTTCTTTTCAGCATTTTTTAAATTAATTTCCCAATCATTCAGATCATTCAACACCTAAAACTTAAAATAATAACAATAACAATAATAGCATTAATATTAATATTAAATAAATAACAACAAATAATAATAGAGATTTAGTATGAATTGCTTAAATTTTATGATTTATCCACAAAAAAAAAAAGTGTGGACCAAGCATTTTTAATTTTGTACAATTTCTGAGGAAAGTTTAATGATAAAGAAGTTTCTCTGCCTTGCAAAGAGAAAAACAGATCAGATTTTTTTTTGAAATGAATTAAAAGAGGAAATGCTAACAAATGCTACGATTGAAAAGTTTTTAAGTGATATATTAAAATTTTATTTTATGAATTTTATAATTATTGATGAAGCATATGTAAGTCATCATCACTGATAATAACAGTGGGTCGTCTGCTATAAGATATCGAATTGCTTATCGATAACGCTTCATCCACTAAGGCTTCTGTAATGCTCTTTAAAATTATAATAGTTGAGGTGAATGATAAGTATTGAAGAATTGAATACTCTCAAGAAATGAAATATTAATTGCAATTTACTTTAAAATTTGATTTGTATTAGTATCAGATCAATACTTTTTCAACTAAAAACTAATTCATTTATTAATTTTTGTTTTAATAACATTAGCTAGCTGTCATGAAATCATAATTTTACTATTATCATGATAAAAAAATAAAATCATGATAGCTAAAATGATAATTTCGTTTTATTTTAATTTTTTTTAAAAAAGTGCTCGAATAATTGGTTTATTAATATACAAATGAATGAAATTGACCCTTTCGAATATCCTTTTCGGCAATATTGATGATCGATTTTCTTTTGCTCATAAGTAAGCGAAAGTATGATAAGGTCAAATAAATCGAATACAGTGCGCCAGCTGAGTAAAGGCTCAGCAATAATAATAGAAGTATCAAGAAAGAATTAAACTGTACACCTATGTAAATATTTAAATACATATTCTTATTATATAAATTTAACTTTAATGTATTTTAAAAAAAAAGTGATAATAAATTAAAAAAACAACACAATATTTTTAGCTAAAAGTGATTGAAGTTGTAAGAAATATTAATTGAATTAACCTGTAATTATATGATAAGCTGTTAATATGATAAGTAATATTGCTACAAATAGTAGAAATAATGATATGAAAAGATGAGGAAGCATCAGATATGGTATCATCTTCTGTACTGAATATACTGTAGCAATAGCACTAATGAACCACGAAAGCTGCAAATAATTTTACATTTATGACAATGAAAATATATTTGATAAATTTTAATGAAATATTATTCGTACTTAAAAAGTTATTCTTACTATTACGGAAGTTTTTTTTTTTTTTCTTAATTGATATAATGAAAGATTACCTGTATAATGATAAGAGGTATCAAACAGTCGAAATGTAATGCATATTTCAAATTATCATATATTGTAGAATATATTTCTACATCTAAAAAGTTGTTAATTCTGATAAGTTAAAAGTGTGAATTAAGGATAAATTCTCATTGCAATTAAATTTTACCTAATTTTTATCACTTACTTATCCACATGTATATATGCTATCTAATGAATTTGCATTTTTCAAGAAAAGTTAAACTTTAAAAAGTGCTACTTTAATAAGTTTTTTTTTTTCTCACACCTCGTAAATAACTAAAAAGAAGAAAAGCGATAGCTTGTATAATTGCAATAGCTTGTATAGCTAATACTGTGAAATAAACGGTAGGCAAGCGTTCAAAATGACAACAATCCTTGCTGATCCAATGATTTCCCATCTGCAAAAATTTTAGCTTAAAATAGACAAATTTCAAAATATATTTTAAAATTATTTAAATTTGGTTATTACTTAATAACCCGTAATTTGCAACACTTTCTCAATTGTAAGCTCAATGGTTGTCGAGAATTTACGTCAGCTTTTTGTTATGTTATAATTGAAAAGAAAAAAAAAAAACTATTTAAATTTCATTTACTTTTTAATGTTAATAAAAATTACAATTTTAAAATTTCTAGAGGTATAAAATAGTAACTGAAAAATTTGTTTATTATTTTTAATACTTATACCCTGATTATCAGTTTTTACTCATTTAATATTTCCTTTAGTATTTGTGGTACAGTGTAAACTATTGTTACTTTAGTTATCAATAGAAAGTAACGAATTAGAAATGAATTACATGTTCATTAAAAAAAAAAAATTACGAATAAATTCATTGTTTGAACATTTTATTTCTTTTCTCTCTTTCCTTCTTCTTTCTTCTCTAATTTTTTTTTCTTTTCTTTTAGAAGTATGAAGCATTTTGAATGCAAGAAGATTGATGAATCAATTCTGAATTATTCACAATTTTCAAATTCTTGAAGAAAAGCTAAGAAAAAAAAGAGACATTGATAGAAGAATCTGAAAAGTACCGTGAATTCAAGAAGTTTTTGTCGATTTAAATGTTTCCTTTGAATAGATTATAAGTAAATTCAGCATTTATTAGCAGTAAAAATTCTTTTACAATTTAATATTTCTTTAAAAGAATTTTGAATGGAATAAAAACTTTTTATATTACTTTGAGTAACACAATATTTTGCTTATATCGTCTTCTTTTCATATTGATTCAAATGATTTTGATCATAAAAAACGTTAAGAATTAAGAAATTATTTTTTAAAAAAAAAAGAAAAAAAAGAAATTTATTTCAGCAAATAAAAAGAAAAATATATTTCTCTCTGATTGTATGTGTCAAAAATATTTTTTCTTTTCCATTCATAATTCTGAAATTGTAAAATTTTTATAGGAAATTGTACTGAAACATATTTTTAAAAGTATTATTAGGAAATAAAGTAAAAATGCTTTTCTAAAAAAAAATATATCTTTTCGAGTTTCAAAAAAATAAATAAATAAATACAGCTCAAGAAAATAATCGAGAAATAAAACTGAATAAGAAATTATAGTTGTGAAGTGAATGAATAATTCAGTTCTCTTGAATGACTACAATATTTATTCAAAAATATTTATTTAAAAATTAAATATTGATTTGTATGGAACTTTCTGTTCTATCATTTATTGATAAAGCAACAATATTAGCAGTACTAGTAATAGTAACATTATCAGTGATAAGAAAAACAATAATACCATTAAACTGATATAAGAACAATAGCTATAATTTATGAAATTTTTTCCAAAAAAAAAAAAAAACTATTCAAAAGGTATAAGAAGTGTTATCAGCTAGGTGTTGAAACTAAATTTACCTGAATTCTTGGTTGCCTTGGTTTCACACCTCTTTCATTTATCCAACCATCCATCCACTCATTTCATTTCCATGCAATGATTTTACCGCTTCTATCTTTTCTATTCATTCTTTTTCCGCTTTCTTAAATACTATCTGTTGCAAAAAAAAAGAAAAAAAAAAGAAAAGAAAGAAAAATTTAAAATAAATTTGATTCAAAAATAGGAAGTAATATATTAGAAATTGATTAAAATTGAGATTTAATTATGTGTAATAATAATTTTATAATATAAAAGATCATACCGAGAAATGGCGTCATTTCATATCATAAATTTTTATGTACTTTTTTAGCAGTATGTAATAACTTGAAACTCATTAATGATTAGCCTATCATATTAAACAATTTTTTTATTAGCTTCGGTTTGAAAAAATTTTACAATTTCAAAATCAAATAATTCTATGGCATTTTGCAAACTTTCAACAATTTATCTTTTAATTTATTATTTAAATTAACAAGTTGAACCATTTATCACTATAACAAATACTACTTTGTGATATGCTAATTCAAATCCAAAACCATAATTCATATCTCTGTCCATTCATATTTATAAAGCATAGTAATCAATTGAAGAAGTTGAAATTTTCAATTTTACAAAATTCGTTTTGCAAATATAAAAATAATATGCAACCGTTGATTGTACTCCGCGGTGTTCCATCGTTGCATAGGTTTAATCCAAGTTGTCGTTGAGTAAGAAATATTTAATTTAAGCATCGATAAGACAGTAATAAATTCATAATAATAGGTAAATTGGTTTATAATAATTTTTTTTGAAATAAACTTAAAGTATTGTAAATAATTTAGGTAAATTAATTTAATAATAATAATAATTTTTCCTTTTTTTTTTTTTTTTTTTGAAATATGAAACTTAAAAGTGTCGTAAAAGTTACGCAAAAATAGTAACGTGGTTATTTGCTAGAACGAAACAAAACATGCAAAACTATAGATTTAAATGTTTTCTAACCAATAAAATACGTTTTATAAGAAAAAAAAAAACCTATAAAATCTATAAAAAATCTAATCTATAAAAAAACCTATAAAATGTTCCCAATATACCTGAATTTCTTACGTTTAATACATCCTCTCAGTAAAATATTTATGTTTTTTTTTTTTTTTTTTTTTCTTAAAAATGACTTTCTTAAGATAGGATTGCAACTATAATGAAATTAGTAAAAAGAAAAAATAGAGTTTGAGATTCTAAGAAAAATGATAGAAGAAAAAAGAAAAAAAAGGAAGCAAATATTATGACGGAAATAGCTAACCAGTTCCGGTGACCGAATTTTTCATTTCGTATATAAATGAAACCTTGTAGTGGCTTATTTCATACAAATAATTTCATTCTTTTCATGTATTCTTTTTTGTTCTTTCCAGTATTTCTTCTAGTTTTATTGGTGACAACATGTACTCCCACTAATCCATCAGGTTTTCTTTTCATTATTTTTTTTTTTTTTAAATTATCATAATTTATACTATCATTATAGTAATTATCATTCATTTCTTGCAACATATCTTTAATAAAAAATGTAAATATAATAAAATTAAAAAAAGAAAAACACACACACACATTGGATAAAATTGCATATTGTTGAGTTTTTGTTGCTTAATTATCTGTGATAAATTTCAATTAATAAATTTGTAGTGGAATGGAAACAAGATTGGAGCGGTGAGTTACCAATGGGTGGAACTGGAATGCATAGAGGTTGGGTTGGGTTTGGCTCTGATCATGATGGTGGAAAATATGTGGAAAATGGATGGCAAAATTCATGGCAGTCTGGAAATAGTGGTGGGAATTCTGCTTTAAATAAGAAACAAACCTTAGATGACAAATGGGACACAGCAGACAAAGGCAAATGGTTATGGGGTAATGGTGGAAGTCGTAGTTGGGGTAAATGGGGCATGGGTACGGGAAAACATGATAAAAATGGGCAATGTTGTTACGGTATTGATTTTGGGGATAATTTGAGTATTGGTATGGGTATGGGACCAGAAAGCAGTTACATTTCCTGGGGTAATATCAATACAAATAGCTGGAAGAACAGTGGAGGTGGAGAAGGTTGGCGCAAATGGGAAGGTTCGAAATCTTTTGCAAACATTTCTTTTTTCATTTTTTTTTTTTTTTTTGATTGCTTATTTTTATGATAGATTTCAATCCATTCTCTGTTACATTACTTTTAATTGGAAGAATAGAGTTTAGATGGAACCATTATAAAGCGGAGAAATTTTGGTAATTCTATCTTTAATTACTTTTTTAAAATTAAAGTTTGTGAAAAAATATTTTATGATAGTTTCTTGCATACTAATTATTGCATAAATGGTGATAGAATAGAAAATTTCTTTTTTTCATATCAAATTAACCAGCAATAAAATTCCTTTTTAAAATATAGAATAATTTTTAATTAAATATTTGCAACTTTTGCTTTTTTTAATTAGTGCTTTTATAGCCAATGGTAATGAGCCAGGTAATGGTGGTCGAGAACGAGGTGAATGGAAGAGTTGGAAAAGTGGCTCAGGTGGTGGAAACTGGGATAGCTGGAAGAATAGCAACAAGCCAATAAGTGCTAAAGCAGAAGCTCATGCATCTGCTTCGATTGATCCTTAGCTTTTGGCTATTATTTCTTCATTCAAAGTATTTTGGCTTGGATGGAGTAAATTTCATTAGCTCAATTCATACTATTAAAGAAAAAAAAAAAAAAGAATTGGTAGAATTTGAGATTATTTAATTTCAATAAATTATACTGTCAATTTTGTTTTCTGAACAACAAATATAATAACACTAACAGATGACAATGGATGACATTTATGAATTTCATTTGTCGCATATTTTAAAATTTGTTACAATTAATCTTTTAGCTGGAAGTTACATTCTTGTGCTTTTTATCAAACTTAAAATTTTTTAATCTTTTTTTAATCTTTTTGAAACTCAAAAAAAAAATCTTTAACCTCTTTGAAACTCAACAAAAAATTTTCAGTAGATAAATGACTAAAAGAATTTATTTCCTACTTTTTTTTTTCATAAAAAATATAAATTTATAATAAAATTCATAATAAAACATTATGTGTAATATATGAATTTCATTAGTAATAAATTCTTTAATATGTAAAAATCATGGAAATATGACTTTTTTTTTTCTTTATTTTTTCGAAATAATTTTACTAAAAAACAATTAATAGCGCGTATACGAGCAAATTGAACTTGTTAATTGGCATCTAATGAAGCGGAAATATCATGTTATCATCATTGCGCCTATTCAGCAATTTATCGAAGCAATGAAGTTTGTTTATTCGTTCGAAATGAAAAAAAAAAAAAAAATAATAAGATTGATGGTTTGTACCACCGTTGACAAAATTAATAATTATGTATAATATATGAATTTCATTAATAATTATCAACTAAAAGACTCGTTTTGCATTCATTTTATACAATTTTACAAATATTCCTCACATTCCACAGTATGACGAATTTATCTATTAATTTTGTTGAAATTTAAGAAACGGATATGAAAGAGAGAGGGAAAGAGAGAGAGAGAAAAAAAAAAATGGAATTATAAGTAAAAACAAGATCTTTGACAAGATATATAAATGTTCTCATTGCGCTGATCTTCAACAATTAAACAATAATGTCTTCAGTTGCTAAAATTCTTCGAGTGCTAATATTTCGTATATTCGTTTTTATTTCTGGTATGATTTCTTTCTCTTAATTATTAATTTTTTATCACGAAAAAAAAAAGAAAAGAATTATAATTTATCAATACTGTTTATCATTCCTTTCAAATTTATCAGCATATGATAGTATCAGTTATCAATGTGTATGCATACATTAAACTGTCCACAAATTGTCAGATGATTCATTCGACAAGTATCGATGATAGCTTGAGAGAATAATTTAATCTTTATCGATAAAAAAATTGGAAGGAAGGCTTTTTCTGCATATTTTTATTTTTAGAATAAATTCTTTGCATTCCTTAATTCAGCATTTTAGTATGAAAGTATGAGATATGTGATAAGATAAATGAACTTTTTTTCTTTAATAATTTGATATGAATGAGTGCTTCGAGGATTTATTTCAGTAAAATAATATAAACTTTTCGAATGTATAAAAATTAAAGAAAAAATAATTGTTTATTTTTTTGTAGGCGTTAACAGTTTATCAAATTCACAGCCAATGGATTACTACTTTGATAATGATGATGCGAGAAGTCAACCGGATAGACCGATAGAGTGGAATACGGAATATAAATACGGCAGAAACTATAAACATTCCGAAGGTCAGGAATGGGGCACTGGCTACAACAATCAGTACAGTACTGCAAATATGAAAAAAAGGCCGAAATTGTTGCAAGTGGAAGTATCACCTGCACGATGGACATCACCGCCTAACATCGATGAATCTACTAAGATGCATGCAGCTGGAATGTATGAGGTGAATGCTGGATCGCAGCATGCAAGCATGTTACCATCTAACATTCTGAAAAAGCAATTTCAAGAAAAATTTGCTAGTGATGTAGAAAATTGGCATAACTGGCCTAAAAAAAATATAACTTGGTCAAACTGGTTGTTCAAGCGGAATCAGTATGAGAAACAACAGGTACCGTGGTGGGATACTAGCAACCAACCAAAACAAAAGCAACCATTCTGGCCTGGCTCTATAGGTTGGACAGGTGATCTAGGTCCCTATGGTGAAGTACCACCTCCTCCGTGGCTTTCTTAAGAATTAACTAATTTAAGTTTAATAAAAAAGTTATCCAAACAATGCCAGCAAAAATTTGTTATGTCAAATTTAAAATTAATTTCATTTTTGATCCATTCCTTACTAATTCACTATTATCCTACTATTTAGTAGTGCTTTTTATTTCTAATTTATTTTTCAGGTTTATTATTACTATTGAGATTGCAGCTAAGATAACATAAGCTCAAATAAATAATTTGATTTAATTCTTTTAAAATTGCCGTACGTTTTGCTTTAAAAAATCTACGTCAATTTATGTTTATTCATTTCGAATAAAATTTCATTTTCACTGAGAAAAATTATAAAAGTTATTGCATAAAGTAATATCATGCTCGTAAAATTAGAGCGTTTTACCAAATTAAAGAAGGGAAAGGTGCAGAAACAATGTAAAAATTTATCTGTTGATAAAGTTCATTGAAATTGTCAATGACAAAATGGAATGATTAAAAATTTGATGAACCTTTAGACCAATTAAGAAAATAAAAAATTCCACTGTAATGGAACAATATGTGTCACCGTCATATATTCATTTGTCATTTATTTTTTCTATACTAAAAATTAGACATTTATTCATTAATTTACAAATAAACTATATTTCATTAGACTTTCAACTATCAACTCAATTCGCTTTCTTTTTTTTTTTTTTTTTTTTCAGTTCTCATTAAGAAATAAAACTGATCAAACTATATTAAATTCATTTCTTTCTTTAATGGCGAAAATTTTCTATCAAAATTCATCATGAAAACTGCCATTTTTCCTTTCACTAACTCATGCAATAGAATTTTTTCTTTCGAAATGGAACGAAATATTTTCTCTTTCTTTTTTAACTTATTGACTCGTATATTTTCAATTGACCTTTTAAAAATTAATTTCTCATTGCTTAACGGTTCTCTATTACGCAATAATGTACCATAAAAAGAAATGATTGACAACAAAGGTGAGGGAAAAGATATTCGGGTAACGAAGAGTGAATGCTAACCAGAAAAGATGAAAGAGAAGAAATGCTGTACATTATTAATTTATTTTTATGTGATTTCCATCATGAAAATGTAATTTTAAAAATAGCAAAAAGATGAATCACTATTAATTACTGGTCATTTTTGTCTTTCTGGTGAGAAATGTCGATATCTTATGGCGATTAACTATTATGTTCTGCTCGTAGAGATGCTTTTCGATACGTTTAATTCTTCGTGATTGAGCTGTTCGTTCACATCCAAACAAAATCACCAGAAGCGGTAATATTGATAAAGCGCCAATTGGTCCAAATTGATAAACCTGAACAAATTATTTTTCAATTGATCAATCAATGCATAATAGCACTTTATGGATTGGCTTGAAAGCATGCTTTGTCATCCTATAATATTAGCTACCTGTCCCCAAAACAAATCTGATGCCATTTTCTGGTCATATTTTTTGTAGTAAAATACTTAAAAGTGAAAATTTTGCAAAATGCTGTTTGTCACCTATGAAGTAAATAAAATGAGGGATGGTGAGAGTGAGATGGAATACCTTTTGATTGTAATAAAAGTAAACATCGGATGTCTCTAAGGATTTGCAGAATTGTCCGCTATATGGCATCTCACATATACAATTTTGTCCACTTTCATCCGATACACCATGAATGCACTGAATTTGATCACAATTAATACCTTTCCAACCATCCGAGCAATCGACGCAACTGAAATTTTTCACATACACTTGTTGTGACTTTGTTTTTGTTGATTCTATTATTTAGTTTTAATTTATGAATCTCATATATGCAAATAACAACTCCACATAATTCAATTAGTAATGATTTTACGATCAAATCGAGAAAAATTTACTCTCTTCTATTTAAATAAAAATAAATTCATCTCAAATTGCAAATGAGAAACTGTAACCTTCCATTCGATTGAAATTTATTAAACTTGCAGTGCATGACACGATTGCAGTAAGTACCACTATAGCCCCTTATACATATACATCGACCACCGATTGAACTACCATTGTTACAACTGAATTTAATTCTTTTTTCATTCTTTAATTTTACTTGTAGAAACTTTTCACATTTAATATATTTCATTTATAAAATTTATCTTTCATAATTTACACAAAAATGATAATAAAAAAGTGTAAAATTTTGAATAATACAAAAAAAAAAGAGATTAAATATTGTGAATATCTAAATATAAAAATATATATATATATAAAAAAGACGATTAAAAATAATGCATGCTATACATTCTTATTCGTTGAAAAACATCTAAAAATTTTATCATTAGCCTATTAAGACTAATTTTAATCAAAAATTTAAAAAGTTAAACAAATGAATTAACTAATATTGATTTGACTTGAATATATTGACTGGCTTACTATTCATGATATTCATGAAAATGTCACATGATATTGCGATGATGATTTCGTTGATTGCCACCGACGAGATCGATAACATTTAATATAGCAATTGACAATAGTATCATCCTTGTATCCATCAAATTTTATTTGTTATCGAATGTTATAAACTTCTGAAAATGCACATTTGAAATCAAATTTAAGCTATGTGTTATAGGTAAGTGTATTTTAAATAGGTACTCAGGTAAAATGAACGATGAATTTGAATGCCATATGAAAGCACAAAGTGTTGAACATTTGTAATTTTTAAAAAGTTGAAATTTTTTAACAAAAAAATTAATTATGAGAAAATTTTTAAAATGATATAATTAAGAGAAGGATGCGAAAGAAAGAAATGAAAGAGATGATAGTATAATCTAAAGTTTAATTAAAGTAATTACGTATATGTAAACACGTAATTGTTACAGAAGACAATATTTTGAAAATAATTTCAAACACCATTTACTTCAATAATCATCATAAAATTAACAGATATAGTTTGTTTGTTTTTTTTTTTTTGAAATAATTTTCAATAAGCATTAAAATTTCAAAAATTTTCAAATTTCATTTTCAATGAGTAAAAACATTTTAATTTGAATGCATTCAATTAAGAGTCAAATGATGTAATACTAATTTTATAAGTATTGAAATTTGAATAATTATTAATCAGTACCATCCTAATTAATGTATATGATAAAATAAAAATGTCAATAATATCATCAAGAAAACAGTTATCGCTGTGTACTTTATTTTGCTGAAATGATTTAAGGAAATTGTTGAAATATTGAGAGAAATGTTGCGTATATGTTACGGAAAGGAAAAAAAAAATTAAATTAAATTAAATGTGAAGTGTTTGAGAAAGTGGTGATCATTTGATGGGAACAGGTTCTGACCATCAAATAGCTATTAGAATTGAAATAGAAAGGACATAATTAATTAAAAAGGACATAATTAATTATGACATATGCAATATACTTTAAGATATGATTCTTAGTACTGATCGTTCCTTCAAAATATTGCAATTTCTTATTTTTAGAATTTAGAATCTACTTGTTGATAAATATTATCCAATTGAGGGAATTACTAAGGAATGTATGGAAAGTAAACAAATGTAAAATAAGTAAATAAAAAAGAAATACCTGAAATTATATAATAACAGAACGAGTGAATAACATACATGCCAAGCAGTAATTTCACTAAGTTTTATCATTCCTTGGACACAGTTTTTGCATTGCGAACCAAATGGATCGCTTAAGGTCGTTGGGAGGTGTGCTTTTTGGGATACCATGGAAATCTCGGGGGATGGAAGATGACACCAATGAAGGAGATTTGGTATGTTTCTGAACTTTTCGCTCTCTAAAAGTGTTATATTTTTTTTATTTCAATAACTAATTAATTTTTATTCGTAAAAAGCGTTAATTTATCTTAGAGAATCTTTAGGAAATAATTGTTGCAAGATTTGATATTGCAAAATGGCTGTGATTCAGTTTGTAAGTTTAAAAAGGAAAAAATAGTTTATCGAAAGGCTTCAGAATCTTGAAGAACTTTTGATAATTTATGGGCTACTTTAAATTGATAGTATTTTCAATTTTCTCCTCTGCTACACTTTAAGTTCATTTTTTCATTTGAGATTTCGTAGTTGCATATCAAAGTTCTGTTAAGAATGCATCTCTCACTTTATTTACGTATTAATCATGGACTATAACAGTTCAGTTTAGATATATAGCAAAATCCTTATGCTGAACATCGCAAGTTAAATTTGCAAATAACATTTGGATAGCCCCGCTCCTAATTTATGTATTATTAATTAATAATTCAAGTACATGTTGTCAAAGTGTTTAGGTTCATAGAATAACACGAGAAGAATACGAGGAACCAATTCGGGATGCCTACGTGGAGTCACTGGCACGTATGTCATATGCAGAACTTGATGACAAATACAACCCAGGTATTCAGGTTGGAGTTTAAACCTTTAGTCTCCGCAACTGAGAAGGTTGCTGCAGGCTTTTTCCAAGTCCTTGATGGTTTTTTTTCAAAAATTATAAGAGAGTATTGGTGCGATTCAGGTAGTTTTTCTCAGGTCCAACATTGCCAGATGGAAGTGTGAACTTTGAGTGTCACTGTGTTGGTCACTTAGTCGCCAGTCCATGCGGTCATGAATTTCGTGAAGCAATAAAGTGCCAGAAAAGTGCTGGGGAAGCAGCCTTAGAGGAAGGAGCTTGTGCCACAGAGTTCATGAATTTTATGAATTGTGTTATGCGAACAGGATGCTTTAAAAGTGAGTTCGTCAGTTTTGTTTTGAATTTATTTGCTCTCGCATATCTTGATGAACATACATATATTATGAGGCTGTTTATTATGAGAATATATTTCATGTATGTTGAATATTATGTGAAATAGCCGTTTAATTGCAAATGAATGCCACTAGGAAGAAGGGTGTAATTTGGATTGCAGGTACGCGTGATCTTAATGAAGATGAGGATAATCAAGGGCAGAAAAACGCTGAATTAGAGGATTCGGTGCATTCTGATCAAGCGTAATGGTGCTAGTTCCATGTTTTTTTTTATTATTTTTATTGCATTTGTTTCTGAAATAGTGGTTCTTCTTTAAAGTTCTGTTTTGGACTTAAAGTGGATTTATAATTATAAGTACATTATTGCTCTCTTTTTGTAATCCTTACTGTTTGTCTTTTATTTGAATTACGCCAACAGTCTTAGTGCTTTATTTATTCATTCGTAAATTTTTGTTATGTTTTACTTTGATAAAATTTTACTAACTTGAACGGTCACAAATTTCCTAAAAAATTTGGTGAATTATGTTAACAGAGTTCCAATTTCGTATAGCAGATGCTGTTTAAGTAGTCGTGAAACTGGATCTGCAGAAAAGTTTGTGCTAGTTGATACGCAATTTCTTTATTTTGACTAAAGGTTTTAAGGCTAATCTCCAAAAGCATGTATTAATTTTTCAAGTGCTACCTTTCCTATATGAAATATTGCAATTGGAGTAAGAAATTTAGAAGAAGAAGGATTTTCTTTCCCTTTTTTTTATTTTCTGGAAGTATTTTACCCCTTTTATGAGATCTCTAATGACATCTACCAGTGAATGAGGGAGTCGCAAGCGTACCCTTATGCTTTATTCCAAATCCTATGTTTCTTTTGCAAAAGAAAATGAAAAAGTCTCACAGTGCTTTTCGGAATTGCAATGATATTTGCGCGGCAAATAAAATGCAAATATTTGCGGTGAAATGTGTACTTTTACGTTTTATGGAAAACGTAGTCGGGAGAAGTCCCTTCGACTATCTTCTGGTAAAGATTATTTAAAGCTATGCGAAAGATTGATTGCGTAACGTGTATTTGCGTCTGAACGAAGAAGCTTTCTTGAGCAAATATTGACGATAGATGGATGAGGAAGAGTGAAAATATTCGCTAGAAGTGATAGTATTAAGGTTGACAAATGAACAGTCACTTTTCACCTCTTATATTTTGCTGGATCCATTTGTATTATGTAAAGTATATTGCTTCAAGTCATCTTGAATTATTTTGAACTCAATTGACTTTGACTACATTTGTCCGAAATTGTCGTCTGGAGGTAAGGGCTTGCAGGAACAGAAATATAAGTAAATTGAAAGTAGCAATATGAGAATGTAAGCCGTAAATATTCTGCCGTATATTACCTATAAATTAAAAAGAATGATTTTTATGTCAATGATGTTATGGTTTTTCTTTTTTTTGCTGGCGATGAATGACAGTAACTGATTATACCAATCCTACTGTGATCAGTTTGATATTACAAACAATTCTTTTAATAATTTAAATTATTCAATTAGTTATTTGCCATTTTCTGCACTAATTTACTTACTATTTTATTTACTTACTATCTTATTCCTGTCTCATCCAAGTGTTAATATTTTAGATGAAACAATTTCCTTAAATAAGTGATTTCACATTTTTTTTTTTTTCGGCAACAGATAGATTCTCGGGATTTTATGAAATTAAGCAGATGTCAGTTCTTTCCCTAATAAAGGGGCGGAAAGAAACGAACTCAAAGGTATGACCTTTCATTCTAAGAAGACTTAACAGATCTTTCGGTTTTCTTCCCTTGAAATAGTCATATTGCTACAGTTCTTCAGTACATCCATGGGTATTCATATTCTGAGTACACGGATTAGCATAGCATTTTGTTATCATATATCAAATGAAAAATAATTCAGTGCTAGATGAAATAAAAATGATTAATTTTATCTTTTCTAATCATTACACTACTACTATTATCATTTTTATCATTTCCCACTTCTTTTTTCTATTTCTCTTTTATCATATTGGAATAACTGATATAAAATCAATGTTGTAAACATTGATTAAACTAACAAAATTATTAATCTAATATTCCATATGGTACTACTTTTTTCATTCTTATAACTTATCAATTATTTTATTAAACTTATAGAACAGATTGCAATAGATTTTTATATCATCTCGAACATTATCATTCTTTATCATAAGCTATCTCTTAATAAGCTAATAATATGATGTAATTATCGTAAATACTTTAACTCTTATGTTATGCGCATCTGAACAATTAAACAACAAACAAACATTAATCTAAAATTCAAAAATAAATAAATAGAATAGTATTAAATAGAATTCTAATTCTTACTAATATCATTTGATATTAACTGATAATTTTTGCATGAGTGTTTCATAATCATTGTTTTTATATTCAAATTTAAATTTACATTCTTTCTTCTTTTTTCTTTTTCTTTTCGAGAATAAAATAAGCAATAAATCATTTTAGGAATATTTTATCAAATTTGATTGCTGCTCGATTAACATACAATAGTGCTAAGCACTTCATTTTATCGTACCAAGAAATCCAAATCCGCAATGTACACTAAAGCGGCTGCACCTTTTTATATGCAATCATTCCTGATTGATACCTTTAAACAGTCCTGTCCTGTGACTCTGTCTCTGTACTAATAGAACAGACAAATTATTACTGTCATTTCTAAGTCTTTGTCGCCTTTCTCGATTTGATGACATTAAGACAAGAAATCAATCAAGATATCGCGAAATTTTCATGAAATGTCATT